CATATAATGACTATATCATCAACATATCTCTTATAAAGTGAAACCCTTCCAATGAGATCGTCAGCCATGTTTTCAACATATGACATGTATACATCAGCTAGCAACGGTCCTAATGGACTGCCCATCGCGACACCATCAATCTGTTGAAAGTGTTCGCCCTCGAATGTGAATTCAACTTTATCAGTGCATAATAACAATAAATCTTTTAAAAAATTAATAGGGATAGGGAATATAAGACTGTTAGAAGAAATATAGTCACATAAAATATCAATTGTTTTTACTAGAGGTACATTAGTAAATAAAGAATTTACATCAAACGAGTACATAGTCTTATCCTTGATATTAATATCATTTAAACAGTCAATAAGGTCAAATGTATCTTTCAATGAGGACTTACATAAATGGCTTCTGACAGGGTTCAAGAGCTTTGCCAACCATTTGGCTAGATTATGTGTGGGTGATCGACACATAGACAATATTGGACGCAGTGGGTTGTCAGGCTTATGAGTTTTAGGTAACCCATATAGATGTGGATGTTCAGATCCCATAGGTTTTAGACGATTAAATTCCTCCTTATTGATTAAATTCATACCAAGCATTTTCACAAGTTTAGAATTTACTCTGCCTTCCAATTTACGTATCCCTCACAGGGGGCATCTGACGTAAATTTGCTTTCATCACTGAGAATAGATAACATCTTACTTTTATAATCAGACGTGTTCATAACGACCACACCTGATCCTTTATCGGGTTTTAGTACGACAATATCAGAGTTATTTCGTAATCCTTTCAGTGCTTGGAAATGCTCACGCGTTAAGATGCTTTTCTGTCTTGTTACCTCTGGTAAGATTTTACTTTCATCCTATACCCAGAGTTCAGATGACTATCAAAAATAATTTAGATTGATAATAAAAGTGTATTGGGAAATGTTACTTTAAATTCTTCATTGCTGAAGTCGTTTCGAAAAATGTTTTGTTGACACTCGTCTTTCCATACATTTTGATATTCGGATAAGCACATGTTAACTAATATGCATCAAGAATGAACAGTACTCAGTTAAGCTTCGTTGAATAGTGTAAGTAATCCTGAAGTCTAGTAACAAACAAAGCTAAATTTTCATCACATAAAAGGGGATGACTTTAAACGTCATCCTAGCAAAAACTGAAATAACTGACTAGATTTTCTATTTTATGAAGGGCTGTGAGAATCGCTCAAGATAGCATAGAAACTAAATGAACGTAATCAGTTTGAAACAATTAGTTTCCCTAATTTGACTTCGATTAAACAAGAAGACGTAACCTGTGTGAATAAAGAGTTGAGTGATAGGACGAAATATTTACGAATGAGTTTTAATCAAAGTGGGTAGTAAGAATTAGTTGATATTATGTAGGAAATGAAGTGACTTCAAAGGCTACCCTGGCAACAACTGAAATAAAAAACAAAAAATAATAAAAATTATCTGTAGCTTAATAAGTTGGGTCAGGTGACCCTATTTGTTTCCTAAGGCACGGATAAGTTATGCGGCCTCTATTTTCGATGCCCAATGAATGCTTCCTATGTTTGTATGACCGACATTTAAATTAATAAATGCAATGGGATGTGACTTCATCTTTCACCTGTTCCAAGGACTTTATGGGTATATATGCTTTGAATTTCCAGTTATCCGAACCTTATCTGCATAATAGGTTTTATTTACGACAGGGTTAAGGGGGCAGGGCCAACAGTACTTCTCAACGTTCAGGTTACTTAAGGCTGACTTATAAATTTCGTTGGGTAGTTGTTCTTAATAATCTTGTCTCTTCCTTCAACGTATCGGGTGTGCAAATTCGTTGAATTCACTTATATAACCACCCAACTAAACCACGTCTGTATTGGAACGAACAGAAACTAATAGTTTTAATATTGCCCTGTCCAAGTAAGCTTTTTGTGAATAGATCGGGTCAATGACCCATCTTGTCGTCGACTGGTAAATGCATCTAAGAAAGATAAGTAGTTGTCATTCTCTTCTATAATTGTTGAAGATGTACTATTCTGAACTACATGCATTCGATTCTAAAGCGAAGTAGTAAAACATGGATCATCACTTCTGATTTATTTAAAAGAACGAAAGAAGTCATCCAAATCACATTTGTGATGGCCCTGAGAAGGGCCTTTATTCGTTCACTTGCCGTCGTGAAGCATAAATTCATTTCTGGTGCAGTTTGTCTTCATCTGAAATGTGAAAGTGAAATGGGCACAGTGGTAGGAGACAGAGATGCAAATCACCTGTTTCAGCAAAAGTCCCTCTAATTCTTAGTTGCATTATCACACACAGGGCACTCGAGACAAAAGCTTTTTGGATGTGGATTCTATGAGCAGAATATATAGAATATAGCATGGCAACGGCATGTTATCCATGTACCAGCATGTGGAATGGAGGTTGGTGCATCAGTTTGGAAGCATACCTCACAAACTCCTTCGTAGAAATAATCCTCTTCGTGTACATCTACATGGTCCCTCTCCTCAGAGTTCCGAGTGATCAACTCCACAGCCCCCGTTTGATCGTTGACACTGGCATCTAGATCAAAGTTGAAGTTACTTCCTGCATGAGTTATTGTTGTTATAGGTGACTGTGAAATTGTTTCAAGTAGAGTTAGTGATCTTCTGCCATCTGCCACTGTGATCGTACTCACAGCTGCAGCCGTCATTTCCATTTCTTCTTCGGAACTACCTAGTAAAGTGTGTGCTGCAGGATATTCTGAACCTGAGTCTTCCAGCATGGGTGTCCTACCATCTAAAATTTTCTGTAAATGACGACTACAACACTTCGGACGGTATCGTCGCTCATCATAGAAATAAGGCAACCCTTCCCCAGTTCGCTCTCTTTTATAGTACTTCCCGATTTCGTGCAACCAACCATGTGGGATGTCTCCTCGTCCATTTCGATTCGATAAGAAGTGTAACAAGTAGTAAGGGAGAAGGGGTAGAAAATAACACTTACAAAATATGATTAGCCGTGGACCAAATGTATTTCCGAAACTTGAATATTAACCTGAAAACTTAGTGTCAGATTCATTCTCTTGAAAAGGATCTTCCTAGTAAGATCGAAACGTTGAGGAACAATGCGAAATATTTGTTTGTTATTTGTTGATATAATACGTCGGGATCATACGAGTAAAATACATCTTTTACGATGAATCATACAAGGTGACTTTAAAAGCCGCCCTAGCAACTGATCAGACGGCCAATTACATTCCTTTTTATGATGGGAAAGTACTTTCTGGGCGAAATACCAAAGCCTGATTGGCCTTTTCAGTTGTTGCAAAGGTGGCCTTTAAAGTCACTCGTCATACTAACTTGGTGCCCAAGTTTTTTCAAACCATCCAGTCCATTGTTGGCAAGGCTACGTTCATGTTTATACATTGATTAGTCACTGGAGAGCAATCGATTTCATGTTGTATAGTTCTGAGTGCTGACCGAATTCTGTCGATCATTTTGTAGTGTAAGCACCAACGTATAAGGTTCATCCATGTCAGTACACTTTGATGGATGTTAGTTGGCTGGAAGCAGCCGACAGGAAGCCCTGCTTCACCTTGGTTTCGTGTTTGTTGGTACACGTCAGCAAGATGTATCTACAACCTCGAGGGAGCTGAAGTCCTCAACAGGGGTCTAATAAAAGGAATTAACTGGCTGAGAATTGAGACTGATATAACTCTTTCACATATATGGAGTAATAGGATGCTATTGAGGTCATAATAGCCGAGTATATGATATCGAGTGAAACACAGCAGAACTTAAATTAAGGCAGCTTACAAAAAACTGAAAGATATTTCTCATCAGAAACCGGTACCACCTGAAGGATAGCTAGGATGCAAGAAGTAGTGTATGAATGTTTTATCACTAGGTTAGGCCCCCATATTGAACTGAGGATATTTGGTGTATAAGGTTACAAGTTGGTGGTGTGTGACCTTTAGATATTCTCGAGCTCATACCACTATGTTATACAGACAATTGTAAAGTTAGTTACCTGCAGACTACATAGCTGTATTGAGAAAAGGCTAAAACTTACTCATTTATATATTTTGTATTATTATGACTTAAGCTGAATTGAAATCTGAGCGGTGTCAAGATTTAGTTCAACACATCCGGGTTAGCAACTCGGTGATCGATTTAAGAGGCCTAGCTGGGAAACGATAAACGAGCGGTTGATGATCTACCATTGAAAAGACAGGTGATTAAGCTGCTGTTGATTGAAACGAGAGTGACATCCAGATAGAAATTCAATCAATACAGTGCCAGGTCGGTAGTGCAAAAGTCACCCATGTGAATCTAACTGCGACCAGAGTTTCCAGTGTACTTTTAACTGTCATACGCTAACAATGAGAACATGCAGATAGTCTAATCACTATTCTTTATTAACCTCAAGTGATAATTAATAAAACTGGTTATATACACTACCATCATCTTACATTCCTTTCCTCATGTAGATTTATTACTCCATTCAAATTAAGATTGATTGATGCATGAAGTATTGTCAACTGTGTTGTTCCTGATAAGATGAAATAAAACTTCACTCACTGGGTTATTCACCATAAAATCACACAAAAATTTTCTCTTCTAGAAGTTCTTCATTAGTGTTGACCTAACATCTGGTAAACGATCAGTTTCAAAACCATCAGATGTCACTGCAAGTGCCATATCGTTTATCCATTGAATTCAAACTTAACGACTGGTGGTTCTAACCTCAGTTCGTCAGTTATCGATATAACATAAGAATGAACGTCCACTGATGACACTGGAGATCACTTGCTAATTGCCTTCGAATTTAGGTTTCATTTAGTGAATTTCAAATCAGTGACTATCAACGAGTAGAATAAAAGTTCAATAGTTTTAGTAAATTCACCTTCTGAGATGAAAAACTTCTTACTCTAGTTATTCATTAAAAATTTTCTATATATTCTGTTAAAAATTAATGTTAAACAATTTGAATAATGTTTGAAATTGTTTTTATTTTACTTAAGGATGATATCGAATTTTTTCTACAAAATTCAGAAGTTACCAAAGCAGCAATAAAACAACTTCGTTGTCGAATAGATTTAATCTTGGAAAAAATGGAAATTATTGAAAATCAGATAGAATATTTGTCGGATAGTTCCAAAACAATGCCATTGAACCTGTCTTGATCATAAATACACATAATACATATTTTTTTGTACATACCACTTAACTGAACAACATGTATAAAAAGAGGCAACACAACCAATAAATTAATAACTGTGTATCCAGTCAATAAAAAAAACATAATTATGAGAATTGTGAGTAATTTGCCCGATCTGTTAGTTGTTTGCTTTTCAGTGTATTATTACCCTGAAAATGATGGATTACTATTACAGAAATACTAAAGATTGTTTAGCATGTACATTGGTTAATCACTGGCTGTAAAATGGTTAGTTGATAAGTGTGTTGTCTAATTTTGGCATATTGAATATTTAGTTTCAAGTTGAATCACTTGTTCTCTTTGTACAGTATAAATGATGTAAAGCTTAAGAAAAGTTATAAAGAAATCATTCTTTTCCTTTTGAAGTATGAGTGAATCAGCAAGAAACATTATGGTATTTGCAGGGCTATAGACTGAATATATGGTATAAACTTTCTTATTTCAAGGTTTCCTAGTTGCAATTCCCTCATTCGGTTTCCTTTGATTGAAATGATTTCATATAGCAAGTGATAATGAAGTAATCACCTAGGAAGAACTTGACTTCATTAGGACCGTTAGTGGACAGTTTTAAATTCTTTAATTTATTAAATCTCTGCTTTACATCGTTTTCTTAATGAGACTATCAGAAGTAGCCTCAGTTTGTTAGACACTTGTTTTGAGTACTGGGTGATGATTGAAGCTAGAATGAAAACTCGGGTGGCAACAGGATTTGGGCATGCGGCTTCCAGGTTACCGACTCGATGCTCCACCAATTGAGCTACTCTACACTACACTGAATCTTACCAGTTTATTGATCTCTACTAGTAGGTGATTTTCTTGTATTTGGCTAAAGCATAATACGTAATGAAGAATGTTACAGCCTCATTGTTACATCAGCACCCATAATGAATGAATGACGGTAAGCGCCGAACGACAATACCTGATCACATGGCTTAACGCTATGTGATAACAGTGAAGCCGATTCAAGTCTTTATTCACAATTTTTAATCATTCATGCATTGAAGTGTTCTGCATAAGGGTTTATATGGAGATCTAGAAATAAATTTGAATTCATTTAGTTCCCTTGACAAATTTGAACAATGCAAGATTAAAGGCATTTGAATAATAAAATGAGCTCATTTTATTTCATGGACTTTCATCAGTTACACACACCCTATAATTGAAATGAAATATTAGTAGTAATTGATGCATGACATAATTTAAATATGTAGAAACAAATGGAGATTTGAAATCCAGGATAAACAATAAGGTTGTGAGTGAGTCAAGAAAATATAGAATTAATAGTTACAAGGCTTAGTCAAAATCAATGGCAATTGATATCTGATGGGATAGAAAATTCTGCAGCTGTGTAGTAAGAGGACAACAAACGAAAATCAGTGTAAAAGAAGTGACTGTTTAAGAGCTAAAAGGTTACGTAATTATATCAAAAAGTGAAAAACTGCTAAGTGATTAACAATATTATTTATCATTATTTGCCCTCTGGGTTTCTAGTAGAACATAGGGCTTCAGTAACATGTCACCATTCCACTCTCTTCTCTTCATTCTTGTTAACCTGGCTCAACGACTCCTCACAAGCTCTCATTTCTTCCTCACACCATCTCCTCCATGTCACACTCACCTCCGACGCCCATCTCATCGTTTCTCCTTTGAGTTCCACTCGACGGCCTGATCTGGCACATGATGTCCCAAAACCGTCTTCTCGATGTATGTCCAATCCAATCCAATCCATCTCCATTTCTCCTGCATATTTGTTGGGTGATGCGTTCTTGCTTGGTTCGTTGCCAGCCAGTTAGCCAGAGTCCCTTCTTGCTTATTCTCTCTGACCATCTGGCATTCAGTATCGAGTGAGCGTAGGCGGCAGTTGTTGATGTGATGTATGTCTGTAGTTTGTTTGAAATGCTTTTCGTGACGCGCCAAATCTCTCAACCATCATATAGAAGCACTGACTTACTTGAGTGGATTAGTGTTGAAAATCTGGATCTTGTTCACGCTTTATGCTGATTACAATGCAGTGGAGTGGAGTGGAGATTGATGAAGGCTTGTCTTGCTGTCTTTCCGATCCTGGCTTTGACGTCGTCATCTGTGTCTGTGTTGCCTGTAGTTGAAACGATGCTGCCTAGGTGGGTAGGTAGGTAGATGAAAGAGACTACTTCCTTTAGATTTCTCTCATTGATGGTGATTAACAATCAGTAAGTAATTAATGAGATGATGCAATCAAAAGGAGGGAAGACTATATACATACACATGCAAAAATTACAGTTACTGGGGTGAAGAAAGATTAATTACAGTCTCCTTCTGAGTACATAGGTCAGGCTGAAAATGTTTGATAGCCACAGCTTCCACAAATCGTAATAAACATGGCGTTCTTTGTTTATTGATTATCCTGAAGGACTGAGAAACATCTATTTGATATCCTGTTTCCATCAGATGCCTGGGGATTGCGCCCTTACAGACCTGGCTACTATTCAGACATAAATTTCTCGAAATATGCTAATAAAATCGAGTAGACGCCCTTTTTTCGGTCCGTCCTACTAATACTTAATTTCCATTGTAGGTTGTTTGCAGCTGATGAAAGGCCATGAAATAAAATTAGCGAATTTTATTATTGCAAATGTTTTTGTTCTTGCATTGTTTAAAATTACATTGTCCTTCTGCATAGATTATGTTCCGAAATGGCAGAATGAGAACTTTCATTATTATTAGTTCATGATGCGTTTGGCTGCTGAAGAATACAGTATGCTTTTGTTGTAAACGTTACACTCATGAAACAATAAAGACGGGTAGTGGGTAGCAGTAGAACTCAAAATACACGTCTTATCCTATTTGAGACTCTCACTATGAATGTAACACAAGACCAGTTGCTTCAAGTACCAGAGGGTTTTGTATCAAGGCCGCCGACTCATGATAGCCCCTCCTTGTGTGACGATCAAGGTATAGCTTTGATGTGATAGCTTGTAAACTCCAGCCGTTGATTGGACTGAAATAACCGACCACTATTGGCATTTAGGTTCCTGTATAGATACCTCGATATTGCCGGCATATATATATATATATATATATATATATATATATATATATATATATTCATTATCAAGAATTTATTATCTTATCCAAAATATTAAACATGCAGCTTTTCATTATTTTGAAGGAGACTGTTTTCGTGAAACAGTAAAAAGAGATTTCGTAATTGATAATCTCAAAGGATAAATACATTTAAAAAAGCTGGGAAAATGCCCACAGGGAAAGTTCGAATTACTCAGACAATGTTTCCAGGGTTAACTGCTGATATATACCTTGAATCCAGCATGTAATATGACTTCTCTGGGGGAAAGGGAATAGATGATACTTAACGCTTTCAAGAAATGCAAATACATACGTGAATCGGTTCTACTGAATCTCAGTGTTTGTTGCGCAATAGAAATGTTAAGTTTCATGGCAAGTAATCGATGAGTTCGTCATGAAAGGAATAGTAAGATTTTCAACATAAACTACATTAATCATGTAGGGCTACTCTTAAATAGCTTTCATTTAATATTAGCTGACATTCTATCTATTTTGGCTTGTCATGGTGAATGGCAGGATAATATCAATATAGAGAAGTTGATCAAACCTTGTTATACTCACTGTCACACGATGTTACATGTACATGCTATGTTTACCTCCAACCTTTGGAGTATAACTTGCTGAGTACAAAGGTGACTATACGGCATACAAATCTAATTGATACATTTTCCGACAGAAATTCAATACTAAACCTTATACAGAGGTTGATTAGCTTGTTTTAATAGTACAACATATGAAGTAAACTAACCTGGTTTTAGGAATTATACTCTTCACTTAGATAATGGAATTCAATTATTGCAGGTTGAAAAATGTTATCGCCACTTTTAACTTCATACATTCAAACAAATCCTATGCCAGTACCAGTGTAGAATAACAACTCATGAAGCGTGTATGATCTATAAGTTTCTTGTTCTCGTCAAGAAATCTATACAGAAGTCTATTCTTGACCTAGGGACTTTTGCATTTTGTCATGAGAAAGAAGTTGAAGATGAAAATGTTGTGTATGAAGAAATATGGAATGATTTTGTACAGTATTTACAAATCAAAAGATGTGGATCTTGTCTAATTTAACGACAGAAAGAAACGGTTCCAATGAGTTTCAAAGAGAGACTGAAAATTAAATATTGAAGCTGTTCATCATGAAACATTATGAACTTCTAAAGGAATCTCTGTCTTCTGGTTCCGAATTTCATATCCCACACAAATCAATTTGGAAAATGAAAAATAAAGATGAATTCAAGTATATTTTCGAACTATGATAATATGTTAAGTTGCGGCTAGGAGAGGAATCCAGGACGCGGGTTTCATCCTATTTGGGACTCATCAGTCCCGCGTGATGTTGTTCGATATTAGAGTATCTTAATGGAAAACCTTGAGTTCAGAAGTGCTTTAACTTTGGCTGTTGTTCTGAGGCATGTACAACACTATACCGTATAACAGTGATACTTTCAGCATGATAGTCCTTAAGTTTACGTGTCAACAATGAAGCTGAAAATGACATAACGACTTCACTCAGAGTACATTTACTTAAGACCGCTTTACAAATCTTTATCTTCCCTACTATCCTGTTAAAGAAATTTGGTACCTGCTGACTGGATTACTCATATACTGACAATGTATTATTTGATATGTATACTTTGAATATCCATTATTGTTGTTGTGTTGGAAACTATTTCAAAACTTCATTTTTACAGTTCAATCGTTTGTTACAAGGGTAGTGGGTTTCTCCAGGTATTTAACATAACAGTTTAACAATTCTTTTCGAACGTGTTTGCTGATAAAGAAGGTGAATGAAAATCTAGTTAGTAACCTTCCATTCAACGACATTCATCTATTTCATCCCATTGATACTTCACTCAGTTTTCGTTTTTAAAAAATTCTTTAACAATCTAATCGATCCTATCGATGTATTATATATGATCCAACAATCGTTGAGAAATTTACTATAAATTAAACCATTGAAGAATAAGGGCTGTCTAGTTCTTGATAGTTCTCCTACCGATATTTTCTAAGTGATACAAACCATCTTTTAAAAAGATATGAGGTTGATAGTTCCAAATTACTCAGTGATCCGCTGCCTTAAATTCCTTCTTCTCAACTTTAAGCGTCAAGTTTGGCATGTTTATAGGTTGATACACACTGAAAGCATTTTTATATGTATCATCAAAATGCATGCAGAATCTGCCAAAATAAGACGCAAAATATCTAGATTGTGGGACTGAAAGCTCCAAACTATATTAGAACTCACCATTGATTAGTCTTTTATCATAGCTATTCATCGGGGAATGAAGCAACCACTCAAAGGAAAAGGTTACTTCTGGTTGTACTAAATAAATGAACCGTTATATACTTTATGTTGTTGACTGAGGCAATCATAGAAGCCACTAAAGTATAATTGGTAGGATGTGTAGAACAATAACAGAATATTGGATAAACTAGTTATATAAGTGGATGACGACGAGTTAGGCGTCCGAGGGCGACATAGAGGAGATGGTGTGAGGAAGGAATGAAAGCTTCTGAGCAGTCGTGAAGGGAGGTTAAAAAAACTGCAGAGAAGAGAGTGCAATGGTGACGTGCTACTGAAGCCCTATGTTGCACTAGGAACCCAAAGGACAAATAATAATAATAATAGTCAGTGAAATTTATATTAAAACTTAAACAATAAATGAAATACATCAGACTCTATTATAAGAGTTCTATCAATAGGAAAAGCAGAAATAGATTTGGATGTAGGCAAGTGTAAACAGTGTCGATATGCGTCGAGTCTGTTTTGTTTGGGATTTATGGATTGAAAAGGCTGTCAACCGACATATCGTAATAATAAGCATATGCTACTGCTTATAAATGTCTAATCATTGTAAACAAAATAGAATGTACTCATTGCATTATCGACAGATATTGTAGAAAAAAGAGGTTACAGAAGAATAAACAACAGAATATGCTGTTTACTTTTATCATTACTATTGTATCTCCTCAGCTATAATAGTAAATATTTTCTCACAATTTGAAGGGCAGAGGGAGAAATAATACATAGGAAAGACACATATTGTCACAAGTTGCTTCGCATGAGATGAATTTTCATGTGAATCAGCAGGTGGAGTTCAATTTTCAGGTTTGGTAATGGCCAAATCTATTTCATGAATCATAAGCTAAAAAAAGAAAGAAGTGTTAAACAGAAGGTATGATGGAACACAACCAATGAAAGAAAGCAAAGAAAACTTAGTTACCAAAGGGGAAAAACAAAGTAAACAATGGGATGACCACTTAAAAAAACTCCTGGATCGACCACCACCACCAACAACTCGTCCAGAAATACCACCAGCAGCCCAGCCATACAACTATCTTTGAACACAAACCCTCCGACAAAAGCCGAAATCATGAACGCCATAAAGTTACTGAAAGCCAGGAAAGCAGCAGGATCAGACGAAATCCCGCAAGAAGCACTGGAAGCAGACTCACAGATAACAGCGGATATGCTGACGTCACTACTTAAGAAGGTTTGGAAGAAGAAAAGGTACCTGTCGATTGACTGGAAGAAGGACCACGTTGTCGAACTCTCAAAGAAGACTGATCCAAGTCTTTACAAGAACTGGTGCGAAATCATCCTCCTGTCCCTGTCCACCCCAAGCAAAATATTAAAACGCATCATCATGGAGAGGCTAAAGTATGAGCTGGATTCAAAATTACGACCAGAACAGGTTCGGTGGCTTCAGGAAGAACAAATCATTTTTGGATCAGATTGCAACGCTACTCTAAGCATCATCATAGAACAGAGCACAGAATGACTGTCCACTGTACCTGTACCTCAACTTCATCGACTTTGAAAAGGACTTCGACAGCGTCGAACGAGAAGTAATTTGGCAGGCAGCTGCTTCAACACTACGGTTTTAGTGCCACAAACCTTTATCAACCTCATTCAACAGCAGCTATATGCTATATGATGCTACATGCCGAGTGATTCACAATGGAAAGCTCAGTAACGCCTTTGAAGTGAAGACAGTGGACATGAGTAAGACAAAGTCGTCGCCGCCTACTATCACCGATGATCTTCCTGATTGTGGTTGACTTGATCATGCAACAAACTGTGAGAAGCGATAAGATGGGCATACGCTGGCTGGACCGATGAAAAGACCACAGAAGATTTGGACTTCCCCGATGATCATTTATGACTTATGTAGCACCAACTCGAAGATCTACAGGTGAAAGCTAACAAGTTGGCAGAAGAGGTGAGGCAGCGAAGACGGGACTTCAAGTGAATGTAGAGAGAAGACAGAGGTGATGAAGATACCCAACCAACAACTACAAGTACAAGCACCAATCACCATCAGTGGGAAAAATCTAAAGGAAGTAGTCTCTTTCACGTACCTACCTACCCACCTAGGCAGCATCGTTTCAACTACAGGCAACACAGACACAGATGACGACGTCAAAGCCAGGATCGGAAAGACAGCAAGACAAGCCTTCATCAATCTCCACTCCACTCCACTGCATTGTAATCAGCATAAAGCGTGAACAAGATCCAGATTTTCAACACTAATCCACTCAAGTAAGTCAGTGCTTCTATATGATGGTTGAGAGATTTGGCGCGTCACGAAAAGCATTTCAAACAAACTACAGACATACATCACATCAACAACTGCCGCCTACGCTCACTCGATACTGAATGCCAGATGGTCAGAGAGAATAAGCAAGAAGGGACTCTGGCTAACTGGCTGGCAACGAACCAAGCAAGAACGCATCACCCAACAAATATGTAGAAGGAAGTGGAGATGGCTTCGGTTGGGTTGGACATACACTAAGATGGTTTTGGGACATCATGTGCCAGACTAGGCCCTTGAGTGGAACTCAAAGGAGAAACGATGAGATGGGCGTCGGAGGTGAGTGTGACATGGAGGAGATGGTGTGAGGAAGAAATGAGAGCTTGTGAGGAGTCGTTGAGCCAGGTTAACAAGAATGAAGAGAAGAGAGTGGAATGGTGACATGCTACTGAGGCCCTTTGTTCCACTGGAAACCCCAAGGAACAAATAAATAATGAAAATAAATGATAGAACACTGCTGATAAGATACTTCAGTGAGTGCATTAAAACAATTTCCTGGTCAAATTCACTGTAACTGAAGGATATCTGAAGCATGTTATAAAAAACGAGATAATAGTGCGTATCGGTAAGCTAAATAGATTTCTATTATTCCTGCAGAAATGGTGATGGTAAAATTGATGACATATAAACAGTTGAAGAATACCATATGTTGGTGACTGGACAGTAACTAAATTCAAGTTATCTAGTCCTATGTGCTGACTGAATCATATCAATCATTTTGCAATATGATCACAAAGCTAAACAACTCAACCTCACAGGGCACATTATTGATTGATGTCAAGTGGTTGGAGGGAATCAGCAGGAAGAATATCAAAGAAATGGTGGCGAGCAAGACAAAATGTAGATGCTCTCATAGTAAGAATATTTCCCACAGAGATGAGTATCCGAAGGCTAGATAAATGTGAGACAACAATAAGGTGAGTTTTCAGGAGCGTGAGTGATTGAAGCTATACTGCATTTTTACTGTTACAACCAGAGTTTAAAAATTGTCTGTTACGCCTTAACACACGACTTTTCATTGACTAGCCTATACCACAGTGAGTGATATTTGTCCGGTTACGACGATTCCTTTTAGGTTTGAGTCTTAATGAGGAAAATATCGCATACTAAAAGGCAGGTACATCCAGCTGAGGAATCTCGAAGAGAACGAAACGCACGTTCTGAATTTCGTTCATGGCCACTATTCATTCTTTATATCAAAATCGAAACGACAGGTAGTACCAAGGCATCCATGTAGGAACCCAGATACCGACAGAGACCGATCAATTTGGTCCAATCAACGAAGGAATAATACAAGCAACAGCATATTACATGAGTTTCTTGGAGTGTCAGTGATTGAAGCTATACTGTATTTTCACTGTTAGAACAAGGGTTTAAAAAATTGTCTTTTACGTTTTAACTTTTCGTGACTAATAGTAAGGTTTACGCTGAAAATTGTGTACAGTATCCCTGAAATATCTTTCACAACAAAGTTGATAATAATGTTATTATTATTCTTGAAAAATAAAACTTAAATCTATGATATTTGACCTTCAAATATACTACATGTCACTAATATCAAGAGAAGATATTTCTTGCCAACTTCTATCATACAGTAATCCATTTGGTCTTTCCTATACATATCAAATTCTGAGTTGTGACCAGCTGAGAAGTATCGACCACTCTCACACACGCATTTATTGGCTCACAGATCTTTTCTTCCTATCTGAAAATGAACTCATAACTCTCAAACATGAAATACAAAGGAAGTGAAGTCGAAATCTTGATGATACTGTGTTTTCTGAGCTAAATATTTTAATGGGTAAGCTTTCATTGTCATTCTAGACAACATCATCAGCACAAACTTCAGAAAGAAGTGAGTTATACGGCCATCATAACAGGCTACTAAACAACTAGTGGAGAAAACCTTCAAGTCGGAATCATCAATGCTGAATTCTACAGGTTAGTGTTTAAACTTCTAAATATCAGTAATTATTTTTCAAGTTGGTATTCATCATGGACTGACATCAGTTGGAGAAACATTGGAAACCTGAGAGCACTGGACAGCTGTTTCGTCCTAGTATGGGATTCCTCAGCAGTCGCACCCACGGCAACCCTCCGGGATTGGACCCAGGACCTTCATGTTCCGTGGCCAGCACGTTATCACTGAGCCACTGGGTTGGAATGCAATGGTCCATATTTCCAACTTCTGACAGTTCATGACATAGCGCGATCATCACCTTATGTCATCATTGAGTATTTGTCCTCATAGCCACCAGGTTTGTCCCATCGGTATCGGTAAATGAATCGAAGGATATGAAAAATGATTTATTCAAATGGTTTAACATTAAACGTTTACCTAGCTCGAATGAGTCATCAACGTGAATTCGACTCTAACACAATTTTCGATCCCACTGGGAAATGAACACATATAAAGGATGCAATTCAACGGGGTGTATCGGATGTGATAAACTCACACATAAGATATGTAACAAATGTCATCAGGAGCTAATGAAACTACTACCTACTACCTACACAGTAAGTGGAGCAAGGTCCAAACTTGTAACTCACTAGTTGAAAGTCGAGTGCTTAGACCAGTGAGCTACAGCTCCACCTTGAAGTAACGTAGCATGACGTAAACATTCCGATTTGCATTAACCTTTCTTATTATGTGATACTGATATCACTGTTGGGACACCTACTATGTGTTTTACACCCATATTTAAACGTTAATGTGCATCTTTTGGAGGTACAAGTACCTCGATCATGATTTATTCTTTTTTCTTTGAGATAGATCTTTATCACGAACAGCATAAAATGTGTACAAACATCTTTATTCTTCAAGAAGATATTGATAAGATAAAGAATTCGTAAAGGTCTCAACATCTACCGTTAACCTCTTTTCAAACAAACCGTACTAACTACAAAGGCAGTTAAAGACATGATGTTATATACTGAGAAATTGATAAACTGACCTCAGCTAGATTAACATCACACTCGAACTGTTTTTTCTGATAACCTGATGTAAATAACTTTTTTTGTTTCTCTTTCAAAGTAATCAAAATCCCATTTTCATTGACAATCGGTATACCAGATACATTTTCCAAGGGAGTTTTCCAATTTATACAAAATGTTCCCAATATATCCATTGATTCAATTATTAACAAATCGCTAACAAAATATGAAAGATAATATAAATAATTAAACATTTTATACACTGAAAACTCAAAACTTTGGATGAAAAAGTATATGATAAGTCAACGTTCACTTCTTTTCTAGCTTACTAGCACAAATTAGTAGTTCAGTTGAATACAGTCGATAAAGAATTTTGTAAACATGAAAAAAAGGGCTAGTTATGATGTTAGTTACTTCAAAGCTAAAACTACTAAAAAAATATGTAGTGAATGGACAAAGTTGATCCTCATTGTTTGATAATACTCATTATTATCAGTGAAGTTATCAAAAAAAACTTCATACAACATGTCAATTGCATAATACAATCTTTACCACATAAACTGTTTTCATTATCTTCATGTGAAGAAATTAATTCTCATAAAAGTAACAAAGAAATCAATTTCTAAGTCCATTTTTGTGATATCATTATCAAAGTATCTTGAGTCTTCTACAGAACTGAAAACAAATTTTAGTTAACTTAAAGAGCACATTGTAACACAGATTTCTCAAAAACATCTTGAATATAAGCCTCTAGTGAACGCATTTTTCTGATAACATGTTATATACACTTATGCTTTATTTAACCTTGAACACTTAAGAATCGATGGTATCAGATAAATTTTGGTATGAATGTAGGTGAGATGATGTGAGAACACAAGGAGTTTTCAAAAACACTATCATAATTTCTATTTCTTTTAATCCAGTTGTTGATTGTAGTGTAAATGATTCAACTTGAATACTACATACTATCATAGTGTAGACATATAATCTAGAGGAAAATTCAGCTGTTGCAGTGCAATGCAATGATACGCCATCATGCAATCAAGTAAGAGCAATCAAGTCAGAGCACACGTACTTAGACAGAAAGATTAATTAGCAAACTCTGCCCATTATACGCGATAGAAAAGATAATAATGACTGGAAAGATGCGGAAAATTTACAATCATTTAAATGATAAAAAAACAATAGGTAATCGAAATATAAAAACGTAGTGAAATGATGGAGAACATTTGTAGCTCAGGTGGATAAAAACTTAGTGTAAAAAATGTGGGTGGCTTCGTCCATATAAGTATGGAGAATAGATTTAAGTATCTAGTGAATAAGGCAGTTATTACCACTAATGAGAAAGACTTATACTAATCTATTTATCTTATTGAATAGAGCTATTGCAATAAAGTTTGTTTTTATGATTGGTTTAGTGGTGGCAGTGGATTCCATGATACACATTTCATCATATTCAGAACATGTAACACTGCCCCAGTGAGTGACGGTGTTCTTACGGAGACTGTACCCGTACGCTAGAGCGTTATCCACTAGGTCAATGAAGTATGATAACCATTTTCTATACAACGTCAAGTATAACGATTAGATCAAGCTTAACCAACGAGAAATTACAAGTATGAACAAATAATGAAGTTTATTTGTTATTTATAAACAATTATGTCACAACGGGCAGAAAAATAAGTATGCACTATTTGGTAATAACTTATTGTTTGTCTATTGGTCTTTACTTCTGACTTTCGTCGATTATTTGCTGTCCAATACATAAATAGTTTGAGATAATGTTGCCTGAGTCAGACATTTTATGCATAGGTGATTCCTTATTTCGACTGGCCAGCGGTTTTGTATTCTGATCACTACACAATTACCACTGATATATACTGCGCGAAAATTGGTCAAAAAAGTGACAATCAAACCTCTTTATTGTAGCGTTGATTTAATCGAATACAGTATTTCTGTGTATAAATAAAATTGTACATGATAGACTCATAAAAACTACACAGAAAAATAGACAATTGATTGTAACACAATGAAGTATGAATGAAGAAATCTTGCCTACAATCCCTACCACTCCTTGTGTCTTAAGTATGAACTTACTTTGTAGTTAAAAGTAGCACACTACTTCCTCGATTAGAGTGAACATGGAATATGTACTGACCAAAATTACCATCTTTATCTACATTCTAGAAGGAAAAAAAGTCGGAAAAGCAACAAAAGTAGGTTTATTTACTTCACTATAAATAGTATGTATTTGCTATGGTAATTGACTTGGTTGTGGTTAGCAGATGGATCCAGAATGTGTGTTTCATCTTAATTAGGACTCGTCAGTTGGACGTACCTACGCCCAGTGAGTGATGTTCCCACTGAGACTCGAACCTCGTACCTATCGCTTCAAACGCCAAAGCACTATCCACTAAGCCACCGAGGACGGATAGCCACCTCTTATACAACGGGTATTAGTTATTACTATTTGTTGATATGCTCGTAATTCTCCGCTGTTTTACTGGATCGAATTGTTAAACCTCTATTGGCATATGGGCTCTTATGCGGATGCCTCGATATTGCCTGAATATTTATGATAAATTACTTGGTTGTAGCTAGCAGAGGAATCCAGAATGCGTGTTTCGTCCTATATTGGACTTGTCAGCTTGATGTACCTGAACCTCAGTGAGTGATTTCGTTCCCACTCGCATCAAACACCAGTAAATTATCACGATAAATATTCAGGTAACATCAAGGCATCCGCATAGGGGCTCATATGCCAGTAGAGGTCGAACAATTTGATCTAATAAAACAACGAAGAATTACAAAAACAAATGTTTTATTTGTCGAAATATTACCATATTATCATTGTGCGTAAACTTTGCATTAAAATTTTACTTATGATTTACAAACTGAATGGACCTCGACAGGTACCTATGAAGTATGGATATACATCCAGCTATACTGAGAGATTGAAAGTCTAGCAACATACGAAGCGGATGATCTACATAGTTTCGAAGGAAACTGCATTTCTAACTGTCAACCTAAGGGGTGATAGTGTAGTCGAAATCCTGAAGAACCACTTGTTATATGAGTGAGAACATTCCTTGATGTTAACTATAGAACAAGCTAACCCCATCTTTGGAACTAGTGACCACACAAATCATACACTTCTCAAATCCATATCCGAGCGTTACTCTAGATGGTTGTTACTAGAAGAATACAAATTAACCATTATTTTCGGTTGTTTATCACCTAGTCAATTCTGGTCGCTTAGCTACACTACAGTTTGCCTTCAAGATTACTTAAAAAGTCAAAGCAAACAATGATATCGCATCTTGTGCATTGCAGAGGTATTCATAATTCATCAATTCAAACCAGATGGTTGTGTGCAGCAGAAGTAAATTCAATCTCTGCTTTTACCGTGGTCTTGTTAGTAATGTAGTACCACTTGGTCCTTTCCTAACGCTAAAATCATTTCTTCTTATTCTACTTTTGATATTTATAGAAGTCATGTGACCATACTAATTAATAGTAGACTACAATTTGTTCCTGAAACTTACTTATACGGCCTTAGTAAATAAATTCATTAGAAAAATTTCTCTCTCCTCGCTGGAATGCCTAATAGTTGCGGATATTTTAACATCTGAGATTCAACAATTGTTCACGGCAGACGACTTTCTGATTGACTGAATTACTTGATCAAGGACGATCAGGTGAATAAAATTAGGTGGTATTCAGTCATTCTAATCCCCATAACATCTTGTATGGCTGTCTGATGTAAAGAACCATACAAAGTTCTAATTTGTATAAACGTTTGTTTAGTTACTTTTTTCAGTGGTTTTCAACATCTGCTTCGGCTTACTAGGAGAACCTCGACGAAAGTGGAAATAATGTTTTGTCTTGATTCACAGGTACTTAGTAAAATAAATTTCGTATTTACTATGAATAGACCAAGAATTATTCGTTCTTTCAGAGAATATTGGGGTTGAAAATCAAAGATAATGATCCTTTTTAAGACTTTATATGAATTTGCGATATCATGAGAGCTATCCACTGTTGAATGGTCGGCTGCATCCGAAAAGAACCTCTTTTTAGCCAAATATTTCGCTTTTAGGCACTCATTAGCAGTTCCTGTTCTCAACCTTGACGGCAATCAACAATATATTACAAACTCGAATCTATGTTACACAAAGCTACAGTCTAAGACATTAGGATACATAAGCTGAATTGGATTCCAATTCGATGGGTGTACATCGACGTCACTAAGTAGAAACACTAAGGTTTCTGGATTTCAATACATAGTAAGACTAATCACACAAATTTGACGAACAGACTTAGTCATCTGATCCTGATTTATATGCTTACTAGAAAGATCACCAGGCAACTTTATCACCTTTATCAAATTTGCAATTTTGTTTGAAAACCCATACAATACTTAATTGATGGCTGTATACTTAGGTTTAGTTGTTTGATGTACTTATAAATTATCGATTACAACAAAATTACTAATAGTGAGTAAAGAAAGAAAACAAGATTAGGGGTGACTCTAAAGGCCACCTGAGCAACAATGGAAACAACCAATTAGACTTCTCTATTTCACAAAAATCCACCTTTCTAGCCGAAATGAAGAAAAATAATTGGCCATTTGATTCATTGGTAAGGTGGCTTTTAAAGTCATTAAAGATAAGCCTATTTATTATTAGTTACTGCCGTAAGACACATGAAAATTAGTAATGTCAATCATGATTATAACCGGTAAACTAGTAATAATTATTAGTTAGCAAGAGTAGCGCTTGTGAATCATTAAGTTAGGCTTAGCTTTAGATAACTGAGTTATTATTCTTATATAAACTGCGAGCAAGGCATTCTGTGATAGAGTAATAAAAAATAATATTTACCCACAGAAATGAATATCTAGGCCGTCATAATTTCTGATGTATGATCTAGTTTTGTCTAGATCTTTGTAGCTTAACATTGTGAATTATTACCGGTACTTTACCAACTGAGCTACGAGATGCGTTTATATGTAGGTTAGTTGAATGCAAAAAAGGTCCTACGCGCTACACATAATAGATCGATGTACGATAGTTGCAGGCCAAGAATAATAATAATAATAATAATAATAATAGTAATGATAAAGTTAACCATGTTTGTAGGAGTATCATTACGGATTGAAAGTCCACAATAACAATGACATTTCCAAGGGAATTAGAAATGAAAAACTGCTCGTGTTAGGTGTTGATTCGACGAAGAAAGATTCAGTAATCAATCTTTCCACCGAATTATACTGAACTTGAATACGGTAGTTTCATGCCACCCTATTGTGTGATGGTGTATTGATGCAAGCGTTACATTAGCCGAGCTTTTTTCCTAGATTACTGATCTATCCTTCTATATTTAGTTAAATTCCTATGTTCCGCCAATCTAACTGACCCTGACCGGCTAGTTTAACCCATTTATTTGACCTCACAGTCACTGCATGGGATTTCGTAGGTTAGATTATTCTGCTTAATTCGTTCTATCAGATCCTAAAGCTGATAAATCTAATCTCAGAGCGAGTTTATAAGGGGTTTAAATCCCACCCTGATTCCAGCCTTGTCGAGTATCCTATGTGAAGTCTTTGATGTTCCCTCCTTATATGGTAACACAATAGAGGATTTCAACTTCTACTCGTGTTATCGATATCATTCGTATTCGTATTACTGTTATTATTTCGTTTCTTATTTGTTAGTATAAATTTTTAAATAAACTGTAGAAGATAATTATTCATTAGTAACGCTTTTCACTCCTACTAGTTGAATTCGATGACTTAAAGTTCAAATGGTAAACCACACGATTTGAACAATATTTTGACGTTGCATTCCAAAGACTCGCGAACGTACTAACTTCAGAGACTAGAAAATAAACAACTGTACAGCTTTGAATTAAACTAAATTAATTTGAAAATTATGTGAGCTTAACGTTCATCTGAACTAGTCTTTGAATTTCATTATGTTATGACAATCAAAAACCCAGCTATAAACAGCTGTTAATGATGAGGCACTAAGAGATTATTCATAGACAGAACATTATCACAAATTGTGGAATATACTTACTCTAAGGATAAGATGACCATCAGCTTCACGTTTTTCATACGGTCTTATAATTCCATCAGAACGAATAAAACGTGGAGGACGAACACGTGAAACTTCTTGAGCAGTATCAGCTAATCTGTTTTAAAATATAAATCAAATGAAAAAGATATTTGTAAACCAGTAAATTGTATCTGGTACTCCAATGAAATAAAAGATTACTGTAAATCCAGCGAACGATGGAAAAAATAGACTAATTTTCCTTTGTTTTTTAATAGCAAAATATACAGAATATGAATCATCCTCTGGAATTGCTACATTCCTTAACAGTGTTAAAAAGTATGAAAAAGTCAATAAAAATAGACAGATGGGTTCAGGACTGAATGTGACGAACAATTGCAAAACATATTGTCCACGATTAACAACAATTATCTATGCATATGAACAAATACAAAAAAGACTGATCATATTGCTATTTATTGTGTTTGTTTAGTATGCTATTCATGGGGATTTTCTTGCATTACATCTACTTCCCTCAGTGCAATTTATTCTATTAATTCTTAGCTAATAAATAAATTGAATACGGCAATTCGGTTGGTTGTGACTATCAGAGGAATCCAGAATGCGGGTTTCGTCCTACTTGGGACTCGTCAGTTGGATGTACATGTGAGTGGTGTTGTTCTTACTGAGACTCGAACCTCATACCCATCACTTTAAACGCCAGAGCGTTATGCACTATGCCAAAACAAAGGAGAATTACAAGTACATCAATAAATAGTAATAAGTTGAATAGGTTACAAAATCTAGTTAGCATTAATAATTCATATAACAGACTGAAAACGTTATTATTATTATTAGTCCCTTGGGTTCCTAGTGGAACATAGGGCTTCAGTAGCACGCCTCCATTTCATCCTATTCTCTGAGATCTTTTGAACCTGGTCCCACGACAGCCCACAACCTCTCATTTCCTCCTCGCACGACCTCCTCCATGTCACCCTTGGACGTCCAACTCGTCGCTTCCCATGGGGATTCCACTCGAGGGCCTGACGCGTGATGTCCTCAGTCGGCCTTCTCAGTGCATGGCCAATCCATCTCCACTTCTTCCTGCATATTTGTTGCGTGATAGGTTCTTGGTTGGTTCGTTCCCAGAGTTCCTTGTTGCTTATTCTTTCTGGCAATCCATCTGATCTATAGTAGCGAGCGTAAGCAGTTGTTGATGAATGTCTGTAGTTTATTGGAAATGCCTTTCGTGATGCGCCAAGTCTCTGAACCATACAGGAGCACTGACTTGACGTTGGTGTTGAAAATCCAGATCTTGTTCCGCATGCTGAGTGCAGTGCAGAAGATCTCCACACTGGTTTCAGGCTAATGAACGCCTGTCTTGCTTTTCCGATTCTGACTTTGACGTCCTCGTCCGTCCCGCCTGTAGTTGAAACAGTGCTTCCTAGATAAGTGAAGGAGGTTACTTCCTTTAAGTTTCTCCCGTTGACGGTGATTGCAGTTTGTTGTTGTTGTTGATGGTGGTGTGCGGTATCTTCATCACCTCTGTCTTCTCTATATTCACCTGAAGTCCCGTCTTCCTTCGCTGCCTCTTCTATCAACTTGTTAGTTTTTGCCTGCAGATCTTCAAGTTTATGTGACATTAGGCACAAGTCATCGGCGAAATCCAAGTCTTCTAGGTTTTTTTCCGCAGTCCAGCCAGTGTATCCCCCTCTTCTCACAGCTCCCCACTGTTTGCTGCATGATCCAGTCGACCACAAGCAGGAATATCATGGGGGATAGTAGGCAACCTTGTTTCACTCCTGTCTTCACTCCACTTCAAAAGCATTACTCAGCTTCCCATTGTGAATTACTTGGCTGGCATGTGGCATCTTCATATAGTTGTTGAATGAGGTGGATAAAGGTATGCGGTACTCCATAGTAATGAAGCAGTTTCCAAATTACTTCTCGGTCGACGCTGTCAAAGGCCTTCTCAAAGTCGATGAAGTTGAGGTATAGAGCTGATTGCCATTCTACGCTCTGTTCTATGATGATGCAAAGCGTTGCAATTTGGTCTGCACATGATTTGTACTTCTTGAAGCCTGCCAGCCTGCCTGTTCCGGTCGCAGTTTTGAATCCAGTGCATCTTTAAGCCTCTCCAGGATGATGCGGCTTAATATTTTACTTGGGGTGGACAGGAGAGTGATTCCGTGCCAGTTCTTGCAAGCACTGAGGTCTCCTTTCTTCGGCAGTTTGACAAGGTAACCCTTCTTCCAATCGTCAGGTACCTTCTCTTCCTTCCACACCTTCTGCAATAGTGGTGTGAGCATGTCCGCTGTTGTCTCTGCATCTGTTCTCAGTGCTTCTGGCGGTATTCCATCTGGTCCTGCTGCTTTCCCACATTTCAGTAGCTTTATGGCGTTCAGGACTTCCATTTTCGTTGGGGGATTTATGTTCACTTGTAATTCAGCGGCTGCAGGTGGTATTTCTGGACGAAGTGCAGGTGGTGGTCGATTCAAGAGCTTCTTGAAGTGGTCGGCCCATTGTTTCTTTTCTTTCTTCTTTCGTAATTAAATTTCCTTCTTCATCTTTTATTGGTTTCATCTGTGTTGGTCTCTTCCCTGATAGCAACCTGGTTATTTGATACAATGTCATCAGGTCTCTCTTACCTGCAGCCTGTTCTGCTTCACTTGCCAGTGTGTCGTAGAAGTGTCTTTTGTCTTTGCGTGCACTCTTCTTTACTTCTTTGTTCAGTGTTTTATACATTGTGCTCAGTTCCTCTTGTCGTTGAGCATCCTTGCACTGGTTTATCTTCTGCTTCACCATCCTCCTCTCCTCTATCAGCTTCCAGGTATCCGTCGAGATCCATTCCTTGTCTTCTTTCTTCTTCCTTCCTAATACTGTTGTGCAGGTTTCTTTCCACATAGCTTTCAAAGACTTCCAGTGTTCTTCCACACAGGTTTCTTCAAGGATGTTGCTCGATGTCTCCCATTTTGTCTTGATGGCTGCCTTGAAGATCTCCTTTGTAGTTTCATCCTTCAGTTTCCGAGTGTTGTACTTGAATTGAGGTCTATCACCAGCTTCCTTGAAGGCTTTTAACTTGATTTGGAAGGTTCCTTGCACTAGATAGTGGTCTGAACCTACATCTGCTCCTCTTCTTGACCTTGTGTTAAGTAGACTGCGTCTCCATTTTCTTGAGATTGAGATAAAGTCGATTTGATTTTTAGTGTGTCCATCTGGTGAAAAGAAAACGTTATAGTTGAAAATAACGATAAAATACATAGTAATTATAATAATTAACAACTTACCTGCGAATTCCTTCAAATGAACTGCTAGCGAAATCTACAACTCCAGACACTGGACGAGTAACTGCACCAACAAGACCTTTGCCAAACCCTAACAAAAAATATGGGAATAGAGCAAAGAAATAAAATTAAAAGATAAGTAATTCAGTAAAGTGAACTCTTGTCAACAAGTTCGTGATATCTGTACTCAAAATTATATTAGTGGCTGAAGACATAACAATTAAGTAAATGGTAAGAATGGGTTACGTTAAATTTTGACACGTTTGTAAGATGCACATAACCTAAGAGAGGGGATACGCTAAATGTCTAGTTAACTGGAACGGTAATGACCACTTTTGAAACCAGTTAGCAGGAAAGCTGAATATGAAGTGTAAGTGCGATATAAAAGTTATGGTAGATGACGTAATAAGTGAAGAAAAGGGTGGCTAAACAGAAGGCTGATCTGAGGTAGATGTGAAAATCTTCTTACAATCACCAAGAAGCCAGCAGCTTCACAAACATCCACTGAATGCAGCACCTGGGCGAATAATACTACATCAACAAGTAGGTTAGTGCTCAAGCTATAAATACCTGGTGGTAATAAATAGAGAAAGGTTGGATGCTTTTTAGTGACCAGTCAACATGAACGACAGGTCTGATTACTATGATCACATTTTGTTAATATTGAGAATGATGTAGATTTTACTAGTATTTACAAACTGTCAAGTGTATGATTTTGAAATTATGGGGTTGATTTACAAATGTTTTTGGTTTCGCTGTAATAAAGTCTTCACCAACTCCAACTATCGTTAAATCTGACCTTCTGAAAATCCTTTATTGACTATAGGGAATAACCTATTGACTGGCATCGAAAGAAAGAAAGTAGCAGAACTAGTTGAATAATTTTCATATAGTCTACAGTGTTTAGAAAATGTCAATAGTTCGCAGTTTATTAGTTCCTCAACATCCAAACGTAATATCAACGTTGTCTCCGATCAAAACTACCTCCAGGAGATCATATTTTGTAATCGTTTGTAAGCTGGTAAAATATGTTATTAGATGAGATGAACAGTCACAAAATGACACATCCACTAAAAAATCAACATACTTGACTAGAACAGAATAATAGCCGTTGTAAACATGCATTGAAGATATGCATGTTTTAAAAATGTGGTGTGAAAGTGGAAGACACTCTGGGTTAGAACATGATTCAGACTAATAAGGGTCGTTAACCGACTACCACTGTCACTCACTACCACTCACAAAACTGTCATCTTCGATGAACTTAAAAAAAATATATTTTACCCAAAAAAGTGTAAATTGAACGGATATATACCTTTGAAAAAGCCTTCAACTCCATCTTTTCTTGCACCTTCAACGGGCTTGGTTACCACTCCAGTAAAACCATGAAACACACCCTAAGTATTCAAAAGCAAAAAGACACCAATTTTAATTAAGTTTTTGAATATAGAGAACAAGAAAAAGGGCCCGGCTTTTAAGACCATCTTGACAACAACTGAAATAACCAATTAGATTTCTATATCTTATCAAAATTTACCTTTCCAGACGAAATGAAGAAACTTAATTGGTTATTTCGATTGTTGCTAGGGTGGCCTTTAAAGTCACCTGAAAAAGAGAAAGTGAAATAATCCTTCTTCTTACCATAACTAAGCCTCGACCACCCTGAGCTAGGCCAGCCCCAAACGTTTCTGGACGTCGTGCCAGTTGCTCACGCCGTTTGCGTTTATATTCTTCATCTAAAGTGAGTGCAGCTATACCTTTACCGATAGTTCCAGTAATACGAGAAACTGCACCAGCTGCTCCACCTTTAAGTGAAAAGTAATATAATTTATGTGGTTATTTTTGTGTAAAGAAAACTTGGAAGAGGAAAAGTTAAATAGATTAAAATATCTGTAACTCAGCTATCCCATACACACTTGTGTACTGAACTATGAGTTATACTTATCAAGGTTAATGAGGTCATCTAGCTGCTCAAACTATGATTAATGGAGTAGGGTTAGAATGCAAGACTCATTTCGTAAAAGTTAACCGCCAACAGAAGTATGCCACAGTTTTAATTCGACGGAAATAGGAGGGTTTTCAGGTTTCATAGACAGCTTCATCGTTAGATATGCTTGGTGATTTGCCTTTAGTATTTTAATAGTGTGAAACAGATTTAAATGTCAAACGTCTTTTAAACATATGCCAAATATGTTAGTATTTCCGTAAGTGCAGAGATAAACTACTGAAAAGGATGTTCTCAGTCCCAAAATGCTTACAATGGAAGTAACTCAGTGAAAACGTTACTCCAACCATTGGAAAATAAAACCTGTAGTATGTAGGATCGTAACTAACAACACAGAACTAGTGGCATTATTCTGCTCCATTAGGATGAAGATATAGTTTGTGTTAAACATCACTAATTCTGAGTAACAAAGATTAGGTGTGTAATTCATCAAAATATGAACATGCTAATTTTTAAAGTATACATGACATTTTCCAATTTAGTCAGTCATAAGGGTGGAAGTATGGTATATTAGAAAGCTCTTCAGATACAAACAACCATCCTTAGATACATCACTATGACTCTACAACTGTGAAAACTCGTTTCTACCGTTCTACTCTTTATTTCTCTTTTATAAGTTATAAACGCAGTGGAATTCTCTCAGTATCTGTGTAGTCAATCCTACTGCAACAGACAGGGATTGGGCTATCAAAGTCTCTTTTCACTCGGTTAAGAATATAATTCTATCTAGCTGTACTGGGAGATTTATTCACTCCATAAGGATATTCATAACAGGATCAAAACTTTAGAAAAGAAGATGGTTAAGGTAGAATGCGAAATATTCGTTTCTTATTGCCATTCTACTGTTGGTAGGGATTTCACAAAGGTAGTTGATACAGTGAATCATATAAACAATGCAAAAGTTATCCAATCTACTGTTCTCAAAAGTTGGGTAAGTTGAAAACTATGTGAAGTATGGGAATAAGTAAATCTAAAGACTAAAAAATATAACTATAAAGGTCAAAGTTATACCATACGTTTACTCAGTGATTCAATGAGTGAACACACCAATGTAGCAGGTGAACTTTCGCCAACATCACAAGTGAGGTCAAGGAGTTATTAAGCTGAACTGTTCTAATGCACCGAAACAGTAGAAGTTATGAAGTTGGTTAGCACCAAACAAGAGTGACGGTTTTATTTGGTGCTTTTTACCTTTCCGGTTTATAGTAAAATATCATGAACACCGCAAATAATCATGATCTCTTTCAAACAGAACTAGATATGTGATGAGTGAAAAAGGTTTGAACTCAGAGGATTTCTACATTGTTCAGTTAGTTGGTTATATACTCTCTGTGTGGAGTAGGACAGTTTTTCCGTCTCAAAATTTACAAAATATTTTATAGATATTGTACTACACCAAGGAAAGTTAGGGGACTCGTCGACATCTAGCTTTGTTGCTGAACTACGAAAAATAATAGATAGCGATTTTCAAATTGTAGCGATCAATTCAGTCTATCATCATGTTGATATCTCTTCCAAGAAATGTTACATACTAGTTCCATGTCAATTAACTGACTAGAACAATAACTTTGATGGGAAATAGGCAGAAGTTTGTGAATTTAATTCTTCTGAATGTTGATGAGGTTTAGTCATTATGAGTTAAAAAAAGGTCACTGACGGTTCATCATTCCTTAATTTAGATAACTAGCTGTATCTAACATCAACGTTAGGTTGCAAACGGTATACTTAATCAAAGGGAGTTAGGCTAGGGAAGTAGGTTACTTGGTGAATTGGTATACAGCCAAATACTACTACTCTAATATCGGCTATTCAACTACAAACATAATGCTTTTTGAGATCAAGAGAGGTTGGAAAAGAGTTCAGATTAATTGAGATGTAAAATTTATGATTGCCGACTTGGTTCATACATAGACTACTAAGATGAGTTTGAAAAGTAGTAGAAGTGTTGCCCAATAACTTAGAATAGCTATATTTTGTGGATATTATTAGTGCAAGTAAAGTTGGCTACCTCCTATTGTTAATTTCCTCTAATTAATCAACATACTGCCGACGGCTAGTTAAAACTTGTCCGTAAAAGGTCATCAATCTAGTTTTCACTTTTTCTAGCCTTAGGAAGTAGGTCACATGAAACTGACCCAGTTCACAATGCTGCTAGTTGTAACGTTTCCCACTGTGTCCCAACCAAAGCAATGCGCGTTCAACTGTAGTAGGGAAAATGAATTCCCTCAAAGTAGCATGAATAACTGGGTGATGGGGGTCAACAAATAAAAAACCCACATCTAGGGTATTGTGCAGACCGCTTAAAATCATCCAACACCAATCAGAATGAATGATAAATGTGACCCAACCAATGCAATTTAGTGACATGAAATTCTGATCACATTCATATTTTCTCTTAGTAATTACACTAAATTTGTACACACCTATTACCTTACTACATCACTGGGATGAAGCAATTATAAAATCCAAATCCAAAGGAAAGTGCTCACAGAACACAAGATTATATGGCGAATTAATTAAGGACTCTTTATATAATAACATATGCATACCTAATGCATGACCGAACAAACTTCGTACACCCAAAGCCACGCCTTCAGCGAATTCCTCTGGACCGAGAACAGCACCCTACAACAACAAAACATACGAAAGGATGTAGTTTAGTAAACGATTTTACATGATATACAATAAACAGTTATAACAGTAAACATACCTTCACTGGTTCATAGAAAAGATCTTCAACACCTTGAGCCATCCCTCTCAACACACCAAATGGATTACCCAGTACATCTAATCCCAATATCAGTACATACATTTGTCGAACACCTTGACCAACATAATGACGTGTCATCTCTACAGTCATCTGACTCAGTGTCATGATACATGCTTGACGCTCGAAGTAGGCCAGTCTAAAACAGAAAAGAAAAACATGAGATGCAAGAATGTCAATGAACAGATAGATAAGCTTAGGCAAAATAAGCAATCTCATAAAATATAACAAAGTACTGACAAAAAGTAGTTACGATTCATCTTATTGTATTGATGGTGCTGTGTTCTCTGAACTGGATTGTTTAATCATGGAGCTTTCGTTGCCGTTCTAGACATCATCAGCACAAACTTCAGAATGAAGTGAGTGATAAGGACTTTTCCGCAATTCACTTGGTAGATTGTCTTGATGGCCATATATGTGATTGATTGTTTCAACATACAGACAGCTGTGAACATGAATTCGACTGGGGAAATGTCAAAATTCTGGATAGAGGAAATATAAAGAATGCTAGAGAATTTTTAGAAGCTTGGTATTCAGGTCAAACAGCAATCAACAGACGCATCGATATTGACCCAACCTATCAACCAATAAGAAGCAATAAGTAGGTCAAATTTCAGGTCATCAGGACAACCGATCAAAATAAACATGGAGACAACGACAAGGTCTTGGGAGAAACAATCAGTCACACACAAGGTAATCAGGACAATCTACTAAACAAATTGCGGAGAAAACCTTATCACTCACTTTTTTCTGAAGATAGTGCTGATGTAGTCTAGAATGACAACGAAAGCTCCATGATTGAACAGTCCAGCTCAGAGGACACAACACCATCAAAATTATCTTCTTTAGCTACAAATATTCTCCATCATCTCATCTTATTGTGATTGATTCACTCTTAAATATGCTTTTTCAACCAGAAAATAGGCTAAGGACATTATGGCATATTACGATCCCGTTTACTGGATGCTTATAAAAAACAGAAAAATAATATTGAATATAACTGAACAACTATGATAAGCCATGGAGCAATGGGGGTATTAGCTACACCTTTTATATGAGCATTCAAGATACGTCATTCGATGAGTGTGTGGTTTGAATCGGTGACCCATTTGGTTGAAAGTCGAATGCCTAAACCAAAAATCTACACACAGCTAATGTCTACGGAGAGGATCACTTAAAAAGCAAACCAGTTTATCTGAAAGAACAGAAAATAACTTCTTTTTTTATTTTTATGGAATCCTTCTCTTCAACTATGCATTTGAAAAGCGTGTAACACGATAGGCGCATAGTTAAGCATTATGCGATTGCTGGTACTATATGGATAAAAGTACTTTAAGTAACTCGAAAGAAAAAAAGTGGAAAGACTCACTTATGCTAATAAATAAACATATTAAAATGAAGCAGTAATGAAAAATTGTGAGTTCGCTTACTTGAAAATCACATCCTGCACATCAGTTAATGCCACACCAAGAGATTGTAAGAAAAGGTTGAGAACTTCACTGGGGAATGCAGATGACTTTCCTTCTGTGCTTCCAGTGAGAGAGAAACTAACGTGTACCTTGTGAATAGAAGTTTAGTATAACAAAATGATAAATTGAATCAATGGTTAACCGGTAAATAAACTGAACTGATACACTAACATACTAATAACTGATAAATTCAGATAACAAAGATGAAGCAAAATCTAGTTAAAAATCACTACTCAGATATCATTTCCACATGTTTCTTTTCAAATTAAAGTGAATCAATCTTGCTGAAACCTCCTAATATACATCTACCACATATATAACCAATAATTCAAGTCAGTAGATTTCGATTTATCGTACGTATACCGAACGGCAGTAATGAATGAGAACTCGTGCCATCTGTTGGTAAACCCTAATGAAAATTATGACGGTAACTTTTACTAATCAGTATTGTCAGTTTCTAGACTAAAACATAGTAAAAAATTTCGGTTCTTCATAGCTGCAAACGATTGTGTAACTACGATATTTGGAAAAACTAAAGGACATCAGTAACGGACTAAACACGAGAGATGACAACCAAGAGCATTTAGTTACTAGTTTTCCACAAATTTGAAAGTAAAGGATACAAAGAAAGAGAAGAGTGAGTAATAAAGTCATAAATTACTTTATGGTGCTCATTAGTAACATGCTTCAGGATGGATATCCCCAATATCTAATGAGAAGCTAAAACCCGTCGGGTCAAGCAGTCAGAAATGAAGCAGATGCCAGGTGAAGACCTTGGTGGATAGTCACAATGTATCACGAATTGACAAAAGTAGGAAAATAAGGAACGCTGACCTACTCCAACCCAGTGGTTGAATGGTAAAGGAGTTCACCTCGAAACTTGGAAGTCATGGGTTCGATTCCTGGGGGAGTAGTGGGTGCGCACAGCTGAGCCCCATACTAAGACGAAACAACTGTTCAGTCCTCTCAGGTTTTTAGTCGTTTTCTAAATGACATCAGTCTATGGTGAATATTACGTTGAAGTGATTAGAATCCTCATAAATCTCACACTAAATTAGTTGTGGTATGTTTTTTAAAGCTTGTACGATACACTAATTTCTTTAATAGACATTTTAGCCTTGAGACAAGAAAAAGTAGTACCGATGGAGGGGGAAGGAGCAACGGCTTACCTTAATCGGTGAAATATGGAAGTTATCAAAAATTGACCGGTTTCCTTCTTGTAGATGAGCTTGTATAACCGGTGAGTCAATTAATTTACTGGTGATCAAATTGCAGTCCTGTTTGAACGCTTCCTCCTGAAACATGGAAATTAAGGATATGGTTGGATGAGATGAAATAATCAACCAATATTAGGTATGAAGAAGGGCAAAATGAAAAAGAGAATTAATCACCATGGTTAAAAATAAGAATCATTTTTGGAGCGATTATCGCAAGCTGACAGGATATTATGAGCTAGGATAAATCAATGGAGAAATAAATAGTAAACCAACATGGTCCCCTTCATGACTATTTACAAAATACATTAGAAGATGCATGCAGACAGGCGGGTAAAACAATGACGGCGATGATGAAAATGGCAAAAGAAACTGTAAAGTGAGTTCTTCCCGTCAAATTATTTACGCAATGTTCAAACATAGTTGAAATACGATAATACGACCAAAAAAAACGTGTACTAGGACTACAACATGAAGATGACGGGTGGACAGACTTATTATAAGTAAAAACGTTAACTTCATTTTAAACAAGCAGAAGGAACAAACTGAGGGAACACACTTTATTCAGTCATTTCCTGAGCACCAGCGCTACTCTAATATATACAGGTTTTGCAGTATATCATGATGTACTAAACCATTATTGGCTTTAATGAAAGATGATAGTCATTTGATTTCAGATGACCTACCACTGAGGTGGTATAGTATAATTTAAGGAGATGTACATCAGGAATTATTTCTTTGAGCTCGTTCCCCTCTACCATATCACCAGCTGAAATTTTTTAATTGCTCAAGTTGTTTAGTCTGGTAACGCTTCGCATTAACAGTTCAACATTATCAGCAACTCATTTGGTAGAAATGAATATTCCGTGGATTTCTCTATGTAATGTGACTATAGTCGAAAACAAAACTCTACGTAAACATATTTACACAATTACTACAGTAAGAATGACAATGGGTTAGTTTGCAAGTTGGTCCAAAATGACAAACAATAACGGCTGAAAATTCGCTTGCCTGTGTGAATTTTTAACACTTGGTCTAAGTTTCTAGATGCTCTTAGTAGGACATGTTCAATAAAGTATGAATGTCAGATATTAGTAGAATTGGACTATTTAGATCACCTAACACAGTTGTCAATTATCAAACAAACTCATTACTTCTTAAAAGAAATGGATCAACCCGAACGATTCGGATGATATGAAAAAAATCAGTTAATTCAGAATACTAGTAATGAATTCAATCCATCCAAATCAGTAAGACTATCTATCTTAGGATTCAACCTAGCAGGTGGATTGTAGAGAGATCATGAATAATTCATAAAAAAATCTATTAGTAGATCACAAAGTAGATAAATTTGTGGAACAATAGACATTGACCAAACCTTCCGTTGACAGTTGGAACGTATAGAATTGAAAATCATAAAACGAGGCTGATGAAATCAAACAATATTCTTAGCATCATATACACAAGACTGATTAAAAGTCATTCATGTACAAAAATGTCATTCGATTAGAAGAAATGGATATGAAGACAGGTAGGTTTGACGAAAAGAAAATTCTGATGACTAAGAATCTGATGATAGGTTTCTGAGATCTCACCTCTAAGCATTTAACCTAGATTTTTGTTAGTATGTTTGCGCACATGGAAAATATGAACATAATTCAGTTATTTTAAAAAACATCAACTAAATGGGTGTCAAGATGATACTATGATAAAAACAGTAAAAAAAAGGATAATCGAAGCTTTGGTAGTTTAAGCAAGGTTGATACTAATCGATAGTGATAAAGTTGAAATTAGTACCAATAATTCAGTCCTTCCCCAGCTTCAATTACTATTTCTTTGAATCAATGATAAATAGGTGGAACTTCAAGGAATTTCAAGACTGCTAGAAATGAAGTGATCGCCTTCAACTTAGAGCTCATCATGGACCGACATCAGTCGGAGAGGGCATACACATGCATACATTTCTTTATCACCTTAGAAGTCTTAAGTATTGTATTTAACTTGAATCTTTTTTCCATTTCAGCTCTCAAACAATTTTGGACATACTAATATCATTTCTTTTCTACCTACTCCTCTTTTGTATGAAAACTTGAAATATTTCTTTTCTTCGTCGCGTTCGAAATGACCTATATATATATATATATATATATATATATATATATATATATATATATATATATATATATATATATATATATATATCAGGTACTTCCAATAATTTAAATCAATAAACAACCTTCAAACACGTTGATAAAATCAAAGATGAGCAGAGATTATCCTTACACAAAAATATTCATGCATCTTATGTAACAGAAATTCTGTGAATACTTTTGGCTCAGTGGTTTTCTAATGTTGAAAGCGATTTTGTAACAAGAATAATCTTGAAATACAGCAGAAATTCACTTAAAAGCTATGAAATTCAATTCATTATCAGTAAGCATATATCATCATTGGGTAGGAGTTTATTGTGTGTATTATTACAACTATAACCTCTAAAATGAAAGTAAGGCGATTAGGGATGGATTAGAGGGCAAATGAAGAGGTGAAAGAAAGGACAGAATTTACAAATGACAATATTATACTTTAAGCTGTACCAGACCGCAGTTCTAATCGTTGATAAACAGGATGTTATAAGTTTTTTTCAATGAAGAGCAACAATATCCTCTAGATTCCTCAAAGAGGCCTGGAATTCCCAGAAAAAACCTCATAATCAACTATAGTATACTGAACATTCGCAAAAAACCACGTGATCATACGTGTGTTTCATTTCGACTAAGGAACTTTCTGGAAGAATGTGGAATAAATCAAAGATATCAAAAACGCATATAAACCGTTACGTTCTGTACATGCTCAACTTGAGACTAAACCGTTTGTCGTTTTTAGTGCTTCTTTATTTATTTCAAGGAACCGAGCGACCCTCAAGGGTGAAGCGCCAAAGGTTATTATTCAAGATTCCACCCATATATGTATCTACCGAAAGAATATATCAAGTTTAAAGTGAGCCTGTGCAACAAACAACAATATCAAAAGCTACCATTAGTAATTGTAATGACCAGTAGTGATGAAGAGCTACTTGTACCAAACTGAAACAGCGATAGTAAGCGATGCTTCTGAAAACATTTGCATTTAAATTTAATCCCACCTTTCGGTTTCATCAAATACTGCTTACCTTAGATATATGGGTTACAGCACCAGCAAAGAAATTAGCCACATCGTACAAGAAGCCTTGGTCAAGTTTAAGTTGCAGTTCTTGTATGAGTACACGGAAGTATCTATGAGGGAAGAAAAAAAAATTGATTGAAATCAATAATATTTAAGGTTGGCTAATTTCGTGAACGCAGATTATTCATGCTAGGTGGATGACCAAAGATTATGAAAGTAGACCACAGTAACTGATTAGGTTCTACCTGCATTACCATTTCTCTATTGTCTGTATAGGCTTATTTATGATGACTGTATACATCAAATACACAAGTAGTATTGTGCTTTACTTCATAATACAAACCCTACACATTAATCATATGATGAACTGATTTAGATTCAAGCTTTTTGTCTCCGTGCAGAGATTTCATAGACAACTAACCCATTACGCCTGACTTCTGAAGTACGCGAACTGGTCAACCATTTTACTCCCTATTTTCAGATGAGGTTATGATGCAGTCCAATCCTGAAGCCATGATTTACACTTGAATGGCGGGAAACACATTTCAAACATTCTAGAATGACCGCTTAAGATGTCCAGAAGGCCTCATATTTTGTCAGCGTTTTCACTTAACAGGACTATATCGTCTGTATACTTTAGGCCTGTAACAGGGTTAATCCGTTTAAAGTCAAAAGATGTGAGTGAGACCTGCATAAGCATGTCTATGACAAAGTAAATTAGAAATAGACTGACTACACATTCTTAACGAAGATTACTCGACATCCATAACTCAACACAGATTCTAACATTTACAAGTTATAAGAACTCTTTATCGATGGAGTTGAATGTCGTATGGAGGTCGAGAAATACAGCTAATGTCGGGCGTTGGTATGTGTGTTCGAGAACCTGGTTTAGAGCGAAAGTCTGTCGATACATTTGCAACCAAGTCTGAAGCCTGCCTGGTTTCCTCAGATCAGCTGTTCTCGATTTCCGTTTAGACGTCTTATAATAATTGAACCCGAAATCCTAGACACCAATTTCATTAGGCTGAAACCCTGTGGAAATCACAGAGAGATTCTTCTCTATTTCTGACGACTGAGACAATCAGTGGCTAAGAATAATCAAAATGGTTCCATTTTATTTTCTTAAGTCAAGCAACACTTCAGTCAGTCTAACTAATAATCTTCAACCAACCTCCTTAAATATCTATGATAAAAGCGTAGTGAGGCATGATCTCATTCCTCGCTTCAGATTACTGATAGCTTAACTAACTCCTGGAAGATTTAGAGGGGCTACTTCGAGGATTTATTCAGTATCCAACTGCATAGCGGGTAACAGAATAGTAGCTGGAGGCTAGTTGAAATGTTTCGCTCGTCGTTCCAGTTGTCGCTTCTGTGAGTGAACTAGAAACCCACCCATTTCCGCTATAGTTTCACTAACCATCAACTTTTATGCTCTAGTTCCAGCGATAGGCCTAATTCATTGTCTACTATCGTTTATCGCCTACGATCGCTGCGTGGGCTCTTTATCAGGATAAATTTAGGGTGCTACTGCATTATTTTGTCATCGCAGCCTGCAAGAGCACATTCATGTGCATCCACTAAATCAGTTGGAATTGTTGACCCCATTGACTCTTCCTGACCTTTTTCTGAGAATCAGTCATGTTCTTTAACGCTGGTGACATTATGTTCGGTAAGCGTCTAGCCATTTGCTAACTGAAAGCAGCTTTCATAATCTTATTGACGAAATATTAGCATCAGGAGCTTAATTTACACATGTGACGTACAGATTGAACGTAATCTCTAAAGCTATATGGTGATCGGGATGAAAAGTTTATGACTGTCGACAAGAACCTCAATAAGTAGGAGATGCTCAAGAAACTTAGGGAAATTCGATTTATGGAGGTGGATAAAAAAAAGTCAAATTCGCACTCTGCTAAGCAAATAAGGTAATCCAGTCAACTGACAAATTTCTATTAGTTTAATGTCCTGAACCAATGTAAATCTACTTAAGTAAGAGAGCCCAATACAAACAGGAATCTCATAGAGTTAAAAAAGCAATATATTTTCCACTTCAGTATCTTCTGTCGATCATCAAAATGCAACTTTACGAAAATGTGTGCACGATGAAAAAGTACATTATCTGAGAATAACACTTACTTGAAACGAAATGATCCGGGATTGGCTGTACGTCCAATAATAGCTGACCATTCAACCACAGGTTTAATACCTATTTTATAAAAGAAAACACAAATCAATGAAGACTTTAGATAATGTTTTTTTCATGATTCTATCTATACGGATAACTTAATGGACGCGGCCGATGACTGAAATCGAAAAAGTTTACAGTCAACTTTGATTAGTATCAATACAAAGTTAAAACTTCATGGGCAGATTTCGTTCCTGAAGAAAATAGTTACAAAAGTGTACCTGAAGAATAAGGGAACTCACTTATTCTCAAAGACTAGTATAACATCTCTAGCTGCACTAAAAGATACTAGTACTAAAGTATTCAGGTACTGGATAACCTCATTCAGGAGTTAGTCAAGTTCATCAGTCTAATGGCCCATTCGAAAGTTTAGTAAATTTAGCCTTTACTTTTTGAAAACATATTGATTCATTTCCTCGTTAAACTTGAAAACATAATACAACACCATGTCGTTGTCTGTTTGGTGGCTAGCGGCCAAATCCAGGACGTACGTTTCATACTACTTGTGACTCACCCGTTAGCTGGACGTACCTGCAACCCTAGTGGTTGATATTGTTCCCACAATGGCTAGAATGTTTCAAACACCAAAGCGTTATCAACGAGAAGCGCACCTTGGATTCAACTGCTAGCCATCAACAACAATATATTGAGTAATCAGGCAGTATTGAGGCATCTGCACAGGAGCCCGTTTGCCAACATACGTCAAGCGATTCAAATCAGTATATTAAAGGGAGATCACAAGTATCAAATAACAAAATGCTACACTTCAACTTAGAGGTGTGTATGGAAGGCGAAGGGATAGAATAACTGCAATAAAACAAATCGATTTGATGTGCTAGAAGTAACCAAAGGTCCTACTATATCGGCCGGGGTCAACAAAGAGGCTCAAGATATAATCGACAACAAAAAGTGCTTAAGGTTATTGCATGAGAATTTTTTACCGGGATGTTTTAGCACCAAAGCAAAATACTAAGTCGCATCATCCTGGAGGGATTAAAAGGTGCTATGGATTAAAAACAACAACCGGAACAGGTTGAGTGGCTTTAGGAAGAACAAATCATGTGTCGAACAAATTGCAACGCTACGCTACGCATCAGCATAGAACATAGCATAGAATGGCAGTCAACCCAACCTCATTTTCATCGATTTTGAAAAACTTTCGACAGCATCGATCGAGAAGTAATTTAGCAGCTGGTACTTCAACGCTACGGAGTACCACAAGTCTTTATCAACCTCCTTTAACAGCTATATAACGATGCCACATGCCAAGTGATTCACAATGGAAAGCTCAGTAACGCCTTTGAAGTGAAGACTGGAGTAAGAGAGGGTGGCCGCCTACTATCATCGATCATCTTCCTGATTGTGGTGGACTGAACTGGATCACGCAGCAAACAGTGAGGAGCGAGAAGAGCGGCATACACTGGCTGGACCGATGAAAAGACCCTAGGAGATTTGGACTTCACCAACGATGACCATTCATGTCTGATATCTTATGTCGCAGAAACTTGAAGATCTACAGGCGAAAACCAACAAGTTGACAGAAGAGGTGAGGCAGAGAAAACGGGACTTCAGTTGAACGTAGACGGAGTTGATGAAGATACCCAATCAACAAAAACAACAAGCACCAATCACCATCAACAGGAAAAACCTAAAGGAAGTTGTCTGTTTCACCTACCTACCCAATTATCTAGGTAGCATTGTTTCAACTACAGGCGGCACAGATGACGACGTCAATGTCAGGATCGAAAAGACAGAAAGACAGGTCTTCCTTCATCAATCTGAAATCAGAGTGGGGATCTACTGCGCTGCACTCCACTCAGCATAAAGCGTGAACAAGATCCAGGTTTTCAACACTAATTCAGTCAAGTAAGTCAGTGCTTCTATATGATGGTTGAGAGATTTGGTGCGTCACGAAAAGCATTTCCAACAAACTACAGACATACATCACATCAACAACTACATCAACAGCTGCCGCCTACGCTCACTCGATACTGAAGGTCAGATGGTCAGAGAGAATAAGCAAGATGGAACTCTGGCTAGCTGGCTGGCAACGAACCAAGCAAGAACGCATCACCCAACAAATATGCAGGAAAAAAAGTGGAGATGGCTTCGGTTGGGTTGGACATACACTGAGAAGACGGTTTGGGGACATCAAGCGCCAAGTCGTCGAGTGGAATCCGAAGGGGAAACGACGAGTTGGGCGTCCGAGTAGAGGGTGACATGGAGGAGATGGTGTTAGGAAGAAATGAAAGCATGTGGGAGTCGTGGAGCTAGACTGCAGAGAAGAGAGTGAAATGGAGACGTGTTACTGAAGCTCTATTCTCCACTAGGAACCCAAGGGACAAATAATAATAATAATAATAACTTAGTACATCGTATTTTTGTATCATCAGCATGAGAATATATCTCAGCGTCATTAATATTAAGGCGTATCTAAGCATACCGTATTTATATACCATCAGAAAAATACCCGCCAAAAAAAAATCTTAAAAACATGATATAGTGTCGAAATCGGACAACACATAAAGAGTATAAACAAAGGTAACCCCATTCATGCACTATGTAACGTTTGGATTTCTTTAATGACAGATTTACTGTCTATTCTTTTTTAGGCATTTCAAAAATGACAAACGTCAATAGTTGATAATTCTTCTCAAATTGATTGTCGATATTTACGTATATGTATCCATCGCTCAAACTAAAGATTGTACGTGACAATTCTGTTCAAAGAATTGACACAAAACAAATGTTTCCAAAGTACAAACTTTAAAACCATCACTTAAGGTAAATATAGTTATAATATCCAACTTCTACAACTATTTATAAATAAAAGAACAACATTTCAGAACTTTAATTGAATATAGTAACTTGTAACATAGTCCACTTTCCTGAAAAAGTCTTTGATAAAATATTACAGAAATAAGTATTTAAATAGTCTTAATACCTGAATCAAGTGCAACTGATTTCGGATGTGGATAAGCTGCTAACACGACAGGAAAAGTTGAATCTAATCGTTGGCTATCAATCTAAGAAAATAAAGGAGACAGTAAAAGAATACTTGTAGATTTATATATCGTTAATGGACAAACAAAATCAACGTCGTACATCACATAGAAGTTTATCCACTCAAGTTATCACACTTCATACGAGTATATAAAAGACAAGTGGATAGAAAAGAAGTGATATCAAAGTAGTGTGACAGAACAAACAGTTTTAAGATAAAGGTCAGTCCGAATATTCAAGCATTAGATGTCAAAGAGTGAATATATCTGCACCACTGCGATCGATCTTTAGCCGTGTCACTAAAAACTCCAAACCACTGATTCTTGTTGTCTTGAGGACCCCAGCAATGCAACAAAGACACTTGTGATCAAAAACCTGTAATCGCTTCATATCTTCTAACTTAAACGGTCATGTCTTACCCATATAACAGGACAGAACAGACTGAAGTGCAGCATCGTCGGCCTTTGATAGATAGTCGGATATCTCGCCAGTCTGCACAACAGATGATGCAAGTTGCGAAACCTCAAGCGGGTCTTCTGTATCCGAATTATTTATTACAAACACATGATTTCTAAAAGAAAAATATTCAAAAAGGTCCTCTTCACTCTAACAGAGCAGTATATGAAATGACAGCAAAGGTCCTAGCGATTAATGAGAACCCAAAACATGAAATTGGCACTGATAAAACGTGCAAAATGAGAGTTGAACTCAAAAATTACAACTAATGCAAACAACGTTGATACGTAGCTACAAAAAGGGCAGCCAATAGAGAAATTGTTTTCAGATCATGTTCACATCATGTTTTTATGCATGCACTGACATGGTAACCTGACTGGACAAATTTGACATTAAACAACAAAACGGATTGGTTTATTTATGGCTTCATTTTCTGAGAGTTATGTATCACATATCATGGATTTATCTAATAAAGTCGTCGTTATTCTTGCAGTCACAGGCCGTCTTTTGTTTCCTGATTTTTTGCGGCTCAGTGAAGCAGAAGGTACTGAGGAAGGTCAGTCGTAAAAGTATTCGGTTGAGGTGTCTATTGAGTCTCAGTATCATTGTACCCAAGGCCGTGATTCCACTCGGTCACAACAATTGGCGACAGGGTTTTCGTTTTGAATGACAATGTCTATTTCGTTGGATAATCTGAAATCTATTTTAAAACTGCAGCAGGCCTAAAATAAAGCAACTCAACTGAATTAATTGAAGCCTTCACTCAAAAATTTTCAAGTCAAATGACTTCAGCATCTCATCCAGACAAATATGAAGGCATTTCCAATTCTGTCAATGTTTAATTATGATCCAGTACCAGGTATCATTTTCGATTCATGGTTTATCGCTATGAAGATGTCTTTCGTATTGAATGCTCCATGTTTGATGATGCAGCCAAAGTTTGTCTATTATTACGAAAACTTGGTACTGTCGAGCACAACAAATATGTCAATTTTATCCTATAAAAAAAATCTGCATGAGTTATCTTTTGATATTTACAGTCAGCATTCTTTCTCAAATATTCGGCGAACAATTATCTCTATCTGATATTCGTTATCAATATCTTCAATTATCTAAATTACCTTCTGATGATTACGTGACATATGCTGGTAAAGTGAAGCGAGAGTGTGAGAGGTTCAAACCTAACGAAATAACGGCTGACCAATTTAAATGTCTGATCTTTATTTTTGCTTTGCAGAACCCTGAAGATGCCGATATTCGAACCAGAATTCTGTCACCCATAGAGCAAGATCCAAATGTGACTCTGAAGATAATGACAACAGAATGCCAACGATTGCTCAACCTGGAATATGATACTGCCATGGTGGAGTATAAGTCACAACCATCTAACTTGGTCGCTGTAAATACGGTGAAAACTCCACGATCTACAGTCAAACAAGCAGACCTTCAGTCTTCCAATTCTGGAAAACCTCCTTCAGTGTGTTGGTATTGTGGTTCATGGCATTTTGTAAAGTTTAGTCCCTTCAAGGAGCATAAATGTCATCAGTGTCATCGTTCTGGACATAAAGAAGGTTATTATTCACCGACAACAAGTCCTGCTAAGAAAAACAGACGTGGTCTTTTCAAACGGCGATCACTCTCTCAAATACAGAACATATTTGCAACTTTCAAAGTCGATTTTGCCACCAGAAGAAAATATCTTACTTTATCTATCAATGATAAACCTATCCGTCTGCAACTGGACACAGCATCCGATATCACCTCGATTTCTCGCAGCACGTGGCGCACACTTCGGTGTCCACAGGTTTAACAACAGAACATACTGCTAGAAATGCTTCGGAAGATGTTTTAAAACTCACGGGTAGGATTAATTGTCGTGTGCAGTTTAGTGAGCATCAATTCCATGGTGACTGTTATCTAACAAACCGTCATGATTTAGACGTAATTGGGTTGGACTGGATTCATAAACTTGATATCTTGAATGTTTTATTGAGATATTCGGTTGATGTATGCGTATGATTAAAAATGCTTTAAAATTAAGAGAGATTTGATGGGTTGTTAAACTGTTACGAAATCAAAAGACAGTAGTTTATTGACTGCAGGAATGAATGATGAGCGTGTGCAAATTTACAGGTTTCAGCGTCTTAAAATATAAAAAAGTGAAATGCATGTGTAATAGTGAACAGTGTGATGTGATCTGAATACAAATTTACCTGTAATCGAAACAATTTGGCATGGATTTGCATTTGACTTGTTGACGATTTGTACTGCAAAAATACACCTGGTTCAAAAGCACGCCTCAACTCGCATTGGTCAGGTTTAAGCATAAGCATTCGACTGAAATCTACTTCAGTTGGATGACTAGTATCGGTCAGTTTTACAATACTTATAGAGGCTTTATCTGCATCATCTGATGAATTTGCATAGGTTGTATAGGCACGTTCTAAACTTTCACTCAATGCAAGTTGTAATGGTTTTAAACGGTTGCCACGTTTCACCTGACTCCATCGAACACCCGAACTAATAATGAGGATAGTATGAAAAATAAGGAAAGAAAAACGTAACCAAGGGGAAATGGATATCTACTTATCAACAACAACAAACCTAATAAGTCTTCGTCAATATATGCTTAAACTAGCCTAATGTGGAAGTTGAGTTATGCATTCACTGTGCAATATTGATTCATTCTGGCAGTAAAGTGAAGATTATTTTCAGAGTGTAAATTCATCATTAAACATGCAGTAGAACGAAATATTTTGAAATATGGTAAGTCTATACACTTGAAACTATGAATAATTCAATTTCACAAACCTGGTAACAGATACATAAGCTATTTCGGCTCGTGCAGCATTGTCAACTAAAGAAATTCCAATTGACTGAAGGGAGATAACAATTTCTTGATCGACTGGTTCAAGATCAGAACTCTAGGAGAAAAAGTGAGTATGCTCAGAACAAAAATAAGTATTCACACTACATTATTATAAAAAAACATATGAAATTCACTTAGGAGACGATAAACATCAATAAAAAAGGTACAGAAAGTATGGACAAGGTTGGAGACACACTTCGCTGAAGAGTGTTGCCGAGAGCGAAACCCTAGTTCGTTGTTTCCCGCTGTCTGATTTGTCATATCTAAAACAAATTGATACGCTTGTTAAACCGTGGCACAGTAGAACACTGCATTTTGATAGATTTGTTTGAATCTATTCAAAGGAAACGTATTACAGACTGTAATTGAATTTGTTACAGAGCAACTGTTTCTCCTTTGAAAGAACTAACCTGCAATGTATACCACTAGGCAATTAGAAAACTTCGTTTGAAAACCTTTTTAATAAAAGCAAAAGGAAACTTCATATACATTTGGTTCGAGAGCATATCTTGACTTGCATTGGTCAGGTTCAAGCATAAATATTCGACCGAAATCCACTTCATTTGGTTATACTCATGGGAGTTTTATCTACATAGCTTGATGAATTTGTAAACGTCAGTCAGCCATGTTCTAAGCTTTCACTTGATGCAATTACGTGAACACAATATTGGACATCACCAATAGAGTAACATATATGGGTGAAGAAGTGACATCAGCTTAGAAATTATATGGTAGTAACATAGTTTGATAAATGACTTTTAATATCTTTTCTTGATAGATCTGGAAACTAAGAAGTTGGAGTGAAGTAATCTATTGTTATGTTTAGTAACTTTGATAAGATCTAAATGGATGTAAAATTAGCTAGGAATTTCAAGACTAACGGGTAGAATAGGGTTTTAGTAATCTAAAAACAAACGCTCGAGTTAGGCGTTAAACCCTGAAGAAGAGGAAACTGAAATAGTGAGAATTCTATAGGTATATATTATGTTGCAAAGATACTGTCCAAAAAGTGCGTGAATGAACAAAATATGAAGCGAAACGCTGATATCTGAACACCAAACTGGACAGGGTAAATAAATTAAAGATATGATGAGACAAGCTAATATGCAGTAACGGAACTTCTACGCAATAGAGCATATAAGACTAAAGTGAAATGAAAATTATAAAACTACTCATCACTGGTAAGTAGTTTACAGTTAAAATTATAAAAGTTAGCTTCAGTAAGAAGTATAAGAAAAATTAACTCTTGTGCCATATTTCCAAGTTTGGTACAGTATGATCGCATTTACCTACCAACTAAGTTTAGAAGTTTACTTTTAGGTAAGATCACTTACGCCAAACTTGTGAAGAACATCACTAAAAAAGTAGGCATCTCCATTGTTAATACTCTTGCACAAGAAGTGACTATAGTGACTTGGTGGTCTAGTGAATAACGTTCCGACGTTTGAAGCAATCGTTCCCAACTTCGAGTCCCAGGAAGAACAACATTACTCAGTGGGAGGCAGGTGAGTTCAGCTGACGAGTCCAGAATAGGAGTAAACGCGCGTTCTTGATTCCACTGCTAGCCAATACCTGCCACCGATTTCCGTGCTTATTACTTTCTGGATGTCAAAATAAATTTTTCTTCAAGGTGCATACTTCATCTTCAGTCTCTCAAGCAAACTCTAGCATTTTCAATAAACAATTGAAGTTCAAATATGGTTTTGCGTAACACGTTTCAGAAAGGCTTTTTCGCCATATCAGTATGTCAAAATATGTAAGTCAAAGTTAGTAATTGGAAATGCAAAACATAACTGGTTCTTCAATACTCGTAAATGAGATACACAGAACACCAGTAAAGTATCAAAACTACACACTAGTCTCTCACGTTTCTACCTCAACGTTTGCTTCTTTTATCTCCTTACCTTGTCGAAAGTGAAAACAGGTTAGAATAGGTTATTTGACCAAATGCGTTCCAAATTTTATTAGACTTCAGGTTTCATCGGACACACGGACACAGCCACAGATAAAGCTTATCATTTCAATTTCAGCATATCGTTTGACTCAGTTTTCTGATAATGTGACCCACATTTTTTCATTGGCTAAAACCCGTAATTATAATGTCAGAAAAAAAATGATTGGACAAGCAATGCGAAGATATAAAAAGCAGCCCAATATCTGTGAGGAGATTTTGAAATCACCATCGTTGATTTCAAACTGTCAGCAGAAAACAAAATCCAAACATAAAGTTAGCTAAGCGATAGTTCTAAAATTCCAATTTGATAGTAGTGACAGATCAATACAGTAGTGCGATTGACAGCTATTACATTGTTGCTGCTACACTGTCTAATTTAACGATCAAGAATAAGCATTTTCTCTGTAAATACAAAACCACTTTCTATTATTAGGGACGATTTATATAGGAATGTTGGTAGGTTTGTAACGAGTGGCTGAATACGATTCATATTCCAGTTAATAAACTCATATCCTTCATCCAAATTCAAACTGTCGCTTCAAAATTGGTCTTTCGACAATACAGAGTGAAGTAGTTGAGCAAGCTGAACAATTCCCTTGCCTGGGAAATTATATCAAACACTTTTGTGGACCAAAGGCGGAAGAAATCTCGACACGTGAATGTGAAGGACTGAAATGATTTTCATAGTATTGTCTTCGAATCCAGTTGACAGTGAAAAACATTGAGATCTATGCACATAATGGATTTCAACGGATATTATGTGACACATCGATAAAACGACACAAAAAGATGAGAAGTAACAAAAAACTCCTTACAGAAGAAATGCAGAGAAATGTGTTTAAAGGAGAAAAATATTACTGGTAGGTGAAAATATGAAACTTACTAATCTAGCATTTTTAGCTACATTCACATCTTGTGTGAATAACAATACTCGTTGCAAATTCCACATAAACGATACCCAATATGCTTTTGTATTATTCACATAGAATTCTTCAACAGCATCCTACATAAATATTACAGAAAATAGAATAAAATTATGCGTATCGGCAAAGAATCATTCTGAAGAGGGAAAAATATTTGCGGAAAGAATACTTTACTCATATGTGCTCAAACAAACAAAACGGCTGTGTGGATTAATTACTACCACTCACTATGGACCAGTTAAACAAGGCACATCTTCCCTGATATCAATAAATGCGAGTTCGAATTCAAGATATCACTTCCGTCGAGGTTGTGGATATGCCTTCCTGTCGATTGCCTCCAACCAACTAACATCGATATCAATGTGTACCGCGATGCTGAGCCTCCTAGCTTGGTGACCACATTGCAAAAGTGGTTGATAGAATTCGGTCAGCACTCAAGACTAGACAACATGAAATTGGTTGGCCTCCGGTGACTAATCAATGCAAGTGTAGGTTTTATTTCCTCGTAAAGTAATCCATATGTGCATTCTATTGGCTTGAAACCGACTTGTTCAGACAATTTACGGGTTGAAATCTTATGATACAATCACAGTTAATAATAATCATCATACCAAAATGAAACTTACATTGGTTAATTTATTTGAATGACGATTATCAGATTCCTTGCAATAGAAGACTAATTCACGTTTAGCACGCGGGCAATCCCATACATACATAATAGACATGCCAGCATCTAAACGACGAACAGTCTGTGGAAGTCCGCTGTGAAAGACAAAGAGGCGGAAAAGAATATTGTTATCGCAGAAACTTACAAGGATGTGTACAATATAATATGCTTTCAATTCGAAGATAAATTACTTACATTTTGAGTTTAAACATTACGTAAGAAATCTACTAGTCAACTCAGTTACTTATTTCTACGCTGACAGCATTATTAATGATAAAACTGTTGAGAAGTTAGTCAAGCGAAAGAAAGGAAATCTTTGTATGGAATAGTGACGTATACAAAGTTAGTTTGTTTGGTTATTTTAGTTTTCTAACAGTAACAGTATTTGAACGGGATTCTCAACTTTTACAACCATATTTACCAAAAAGGCAAGAAATAGCGACACATACATAGAATATGAAACTGATTATAGTTAACAAGCTTACTCTTAAAGCAGACCAGAACTAGTACAGAGTTAGTTTATGATTGTGGTAGTTTTGGCACGAGTGTGCTGTTTAGAGTAAGAAAAAAATATGGGGAGTAAATATATAGTGAAGGAGATGATAATATCAAGGTTTCGAAAAATAACTGCAACCATAGACGCCTGTACTCTGTGGAAGCGCTTATTCTAAAAGACTTGAAAAAACATCTTCAGTTAACTCGACCCTTTGAAGTTCTTAGAAGGCAAAAATCTGACAAATGCAAAGGATGACAATCGAAGAGTGGATGGTTAGAGGGTAGATTAAGAGCTTATTGTCAAAATGGAAAGTTACTTCACATCGAAATGCCATAACTGCTAAATTCTTGGAAATGCCTTCTATGCATATAGCAAGACATTAAGATGAACTGCAAACCTTATGATTCCTGCAAGCAGTTGATGAACACATGTAGTAGTCATCAAGTGTTGAAAGTTATAAGACGAATAGATATCGGTAAATGAGTTGTAAGTAGAAGTATCATCATTGAGCAAAAACTAATGGCCTACCTAGAAACTACAAATACACTGCTATAAACATCAAGTGATAAGTACAACAGTACAACATAAATTTTATTTAGATGTATTCAATGAGTATATACGAAAATCACTATTCAATTTGACAGAATAATGCATCGACAGTTTTAGCGAAAAAAACGTTAAATGGCAATTTAAAGGAATTCATTTTCGAAAATTTATTCTTTGTAGGTATTTTTTGATTTCTGACAAACACAAATAAACTGATACAAAACGTTTGTTAACACGGGTAACTTTAATCGAATTTTCGACCAGAATTAGGTCGATTCTAAATCAGAAACATATACCTTAATCTTGAACCTACGGTAAAGTCTACTAACCAACCGCCATGCACCAGTAAGTTAGCAGTATACTACTTTCTTACAGTATACGTGTACAGATAACTAGCTTCTCCTAAAACAGGATGTTGTTAGTCGTTGTTCTTCCTGGATTACGTTTCGGACATAATTTATCGTCCATAGTTATATTACACCACATCACATATCATCTTAATATGACTATGGGCAGTAAATTATGTCCGAAACGTAATCCAGTAAACAGTACTGTACCACTGTGTGGTACAACCAATAAATCAACTACCACAAGACCCAAGATTTACTCTTTTCCTAACTAATTTTAGCGGAAGTAGTTATCGTTGCTACTACGACTCTTCAGTCTTCTGTTTCATAAACTAACACCTGGTAATAAATGTTTCAAAAATTCCCCTGGAAATTATACAACTTATATTTTGAAAAAAATCATGCTTCAAAACAAAATCTTTTCTTCAAGTTTACTTAGAGTGGTAAACTAATAGAATTAGCGAACTGCTTCATATACGAGTAAATTTATTAACATCATCAGATGAATTGTTTGTCAACATCAGGTCTACATTACACTAGATATACTGGTAGTTTAGACATGCGTATGGATGGCATAGGATATGAAATAATTGCGTAAGCTGAAGAAGGTAGTAGCAAAGCATCGATCTAGTCTTTTATAATACAGTCATGAGATTCATTCAGTTGCAAATTAGGAGAGTAGATGATAACAACTTGAGGATGTGGCGAAACTTCGATGGAGGCAAGTTAGTCAAACTATATTTACAAGTAAAATTGAAAGAGCAATTAAGAGAAACAAGGAAAAAATTCAGACAATAATGACAAAAATTTCCAGTGAAAAACAATTCTCATATACAATTAGTAAATTAAATCCTATAGAAGAAAACACAATAATTAATAGTCCAAAAGCACTTTAGAAAATTTAAAAACAAGGTTTTGGACTGTTGACTGGAAAATGATGGAATCCTATGAAATGACATTACGAAAATAATGAAACTATTGAGAAGAGATAAGCATAAATGGCTCTTATATATACGATATCGTTTCACTTTTCAAATAACTAACCTTTGATAATAGAAAACAGGCTGTGAGTCTCCCAAATTGTTAACAAGACGTACTAAAGCCATGCCTTCTTGATACATTTGTAAGGTGATTACAGTTGCCTCTTCAGTGGTTTCCACTTCGACAAATATACCAGGATACTGAAGAAAATACAAGAGAGGAATGTATATATTTGTAATTTTCTGTCGTTTATTTGATCGACTCAATTTAGAGTAGCGTATAAATACTGTTAAATGGTTAGCTTAATATTGTTATTTTAGTAAAGCAAGAATAACAACTTTTGCAGAATACGCTAAATTCACTTGTTGTTCTTGCTTTGCTAAAAAGTTTGTATGGAACCGATTGCATAAAATATTGCTATAATTTTCACTTTGATTTGTAGGAAGACCATTATTCACTAAGTACTGGTACATTCGGCTGACCAGTTCCGAAATAAGATGAAACATGCCGGATCCAATGATGATCACTACCAAACAAGTAAAAATGTACATATTCTGCAGTAACATAATACCTTATTGTAACAGTCAATGTTTACGTCCAGCTTTATAGTATGGCCTGGTTAGCGATTGGCTACAATAAATTTTTTCTTCTGAATATATTTCACAAATTCTTCCCTTTCTGTTTGTTTTAATCTCCTAAATATGTCTTCGAAATGCATCATGTACTTTCGCACCTTTTTAAAGTGTTTTCAAACTGTCGTTTGTCAAGCTAAGCACGAAACAGCGGATTAATGTTACGTAGAAGAGAAATAGATACATTGATGCTTAAAAAAATACAATTTTTGTACTGGTTAACTTAACTACCACAACAATGATTGGACTCTATTTTGTACTCATACCCAAGTCAGGACTAGACGCTAACGTAACGCCTGCTAATCATTTCAAACTAGTGCCTTTAATTTTGTTATTATTAACACTACTCAGATGCTAAAATTATTTCTTTTAAAAATATTGTACGGAGAGCGTATTCAGTGAAATATTACCTGTTGAAAATTCCATAAAGTATGACACATATTATTTGGAATAAAGTGATTATTATTATTTAAAGATAACTGACTAGATAGTGAATTTAAATTTGATATAACTGTTATCTATACTGGGTGATAATTGGAGGTGAGATGAAAATCTGGACTGCAGCCGGATTCGAATCAGCGACCAAGGTGTAACCGGCCCAGTGCTCTACTAACTGAGCTACGAGGTCCGATTGCTGGCCAGAATTTTATTTCACTTCAGTCACCAAGGGTTTTGCCCGACTACCATGTGAATTCGTGACGCGTTACAACCGCTTGATCGTATTTACACTAGGTGCCTAGTCAGGACTATTCATCTCAATCGAAATCCAACTTAATTAAAGAGGGTGAGCAGCATATTGATTATCAGTTGACTATCTGGGATAGCTGTAGTTTGGCAGACTATAACTGTTATCATCAAATAAGAGTTGTTGATAAGTTGCTGAAATTGATTAAGATGAGCTTAAGTTTATTACAGGGGATTTTCAGTTGTTTATTTTTCGGTAGGATGCAAACGATAAATCACATCTTGAGCTGGCAACTTAACACTATCATAATCAATTAATTTTTTAAAAGTATAAAAGTGCAAAAATAGATACTCACTTTATCATCTAATTTCATTAAAGTTGAGTGTGATTCATAATATGGAAATGCTGTAGTCATGATTTTCTTTCCTATACGACATTTTAATAGCATATTCTTTGAATTAGTTGCAGTTGGCCAAAATGGTGTAGCCTCACATGCAGGGACTGTAATCCACTGTGAACTAATAGACTGTGTAGACTTTTCATCATTTTCATCCACTTCACAGCATTCAATATCTATCTACAAGTGTGAAGGAAAATATACAAAGAACAAACTAATAGTAAGTGAGAAATTATAGACTTTAATTGAGTAAAATGGCTCATGGTATTCGATGGAATTGATATGAACAAGATGTGTGGGTCAGGACATCGCATACACTTGAAGTATGGAGGCGGACACCGAACCATCAAGCCACACGGTCACTCGTTAGCGTATACTATGAGGCATAACTACACGAATTCTCCGACGACTGTCGTGTTATAGCTATTAGTAAAAACTGAAAACTACCCATAAGGATAAAAGAATGTTCGCTATGCTAACCATGCCGAAATTACGTGTCATTTTGTCTTTAAGAAATTGAGAAAGTCTCAGGCACTCAGTAGGTCAACCCTTAACAGTTCGGCATACCAATGACACCGATAAACTTTTCTCAAGAAAATTAGAATGTCTTTTCAGTTCGAAAGGAAGCGAAAACATTTTCCTACAGACTTTCATATGATTCTTGATGCTAAGATTGAAACAGTTATAATGGTAAGCATTTGCAGCTTGGTTTTAGCTTTGTAGTATGTTACTCTCAAAAGGCTTAATGGAGAAACTTTTATTTGATTCAAACAGCTTTTTGTCTTTTAAAGAATGGAAATCCTATTGTATGATTCACCCAGAACTGTAGGCGGTCCAGTCGAGTGTTGTTAATTTCATTTTCTTACAAATTGAGTTTGCAAACATCCAGGCCATGGTTGTTACGAATATTCTAGAATAAGTTGGGCGCCGATTCTGATTGAATCATTATAAGAATATATTTTAATATAACTCCAGCGTGTTTAAAAAATCAAAACAAGCAGGGATTATATTAAAATATATTCTCATAAACTGAGATTGCTTTGGAAATTTATTGCTGAGAGGTTCATAAGTTGTAACTAATTACGAATGTGCGTTGATCACATTTCCAACTGTGTAAGAATTCCAGGAAATCTCTTTAAATGCTAAAACTAACATACTACAAGAATTTAGTGGTTTTCAGTGGAATATGTGATAATATGGACCGAGCAATAGTGAAATTAGCAAATTTATGAAGAACATTTGCAGGATAAAACCCTTATAAACAGCTGTCAACTGAACATTTTTCGGAATTAATAGAAATTTATGGGCCCGAAATTCTAAAAAGAAGATATTTTCGTACATTTTAGAATTCAATTTTGTTGTGCTTATCACAACAAAAGATAAGACTGAGAACGTTGACTTGTGTTATTTCACTTAAAGTTCATTTTTGACTGCTTCTATGTGTACACCACTACTATATCGTTGTTACTTTGTTCCGTTTAACTAAACCAAATCCCTAGTGTTTACTTTCGACTGAAGTGATTTCAGTTAGCTAGGAAATAGTGTCTTTCGCGTTGAGATTATTCGTGCATTTTCTTCCAAGAAGGAAGGTATTTTGTTTACATACGGTCTTCTTACAGAAGATGCGCTTTGAGGTTTAGATATCTTCAGTACATATAAGTTACGTGGGCTTAAGTAATATTCAGAACCATTAGGCTAGCCAAATGGGTAGCAAAAAACATCTTTGTGGTAGGACATTGTTACTCCCGAATGGACGACTGTATGTAATACGATCAGTGCAGAAGGTTGTTTCAGAAGGAGTGGACCAATTTGCTTTCAGCTGCCCACAAGCGTTGTTGCAAGTCACAAGCATATTGGCTATGAACAAACGTCTTCTAGAGGCACAGACCCTCACAAGAGTTTATAGAGATGTTGAATTAAGCAAAGAGTTTTGATGAAAACAAAGAGACACTTTACAAACATTGGTGTTGTTAGTTTCGTTGCAAAGCCAACTGACGATTTGAATAATCTGTATTGTTACATGATCGGGTAGCTGACCTACTTGAATTTGGATTCACCTACTTCTTATTCGTCTAACTTCTGGATGCAATACATGATGAATGAAGCGAAAACGAAATCTGCTTAACTGATGGATAGTAAGAGTTGACAGTAGTCAACTCGTCACTTAATTTTGTATGATATAAGAGTTTTCTAATCAAGCTCCTGTACATTAAAATTAGGAATACTCAATGGTATTTAAGTCGAAAATTTAATCACTTACATTAGCTTTATTGACTATCATGAAGTATGGCATAAATGTGATAATCTTTGTTAAACCAGAACTGGATAAATCAATTTTCACACCAATCTGTAAAATAAGAGAACACGTCATACACAATAGATTGCTATTTTCTGGCTCTAATGAACATAACTGACAAACACCTGATTCTCTTGGTAATCAAGGTAGTGGAATCTAAAACCCGATATCCACATCTGTATTCAATAGAAGATATCCGTTAACTCAAACCTCTTTACTTGCATAAAGTGTGTAAGTACTACACAAAAAAGTAGTATTACATACGATATGCTCAAATCCCAACTATACTTACGTTTCGACCGTATTTAGGTTTTTTATTCACAGTTAACATATAAAAAAGAATAAACTGTCGAGTAGTAATGAACGCATAAGTTCTTAGGTGAAATGCTTGGAGAGTGCTTTTACCATAGGCTTAAATTGGACAAAAAAACGTAACACGTTAGGTCAAACTGGGTAGTTACCATTTTGATAGCTAGTAACTTGTGAAGCTGCAATAATTACTGAACGATGAGTTCAAACAACTCATGAGAAATACACGACACTTAAGGACAGGTGTTCTGCATGACCAATTGACTTAAGCACAAAAAATTGACTCGTGTCTATTGATTAAATGGTAACGTTCATTCTGATACAGAGAGCCCATCGTCAGAGAAACAGACAGAGAAAATCAACGTAGAAACCGGAATACAAGTGCATCACTTCAAGTCGCCACACTTCACAGTAGCATGCAAAGAACAAGTGGGTATAAAAAGGTGTACAGGAGGAGAGGGAATGTAAAAATTAAGACTCACCAAAACATTCACGATTCAAAAGGCATCAAAGGGTTGATAAATTTGCGCTATTGTGACTGCTTTTCAGCCATGTCATTACCAATCCTCAACTACTAATTCCTATAGTTTCGGAACACACAGCTAGGTGGATCAAGAGCCCCTGGTACGATCTCAAAAGAGGTTTATAAGATACAAGAACGAAAAGAAAACCTTTCAACTACACGTAGATTTGCACAGTATGCATTGAGCCTATATCTACTACTTAGTAGATGAAGCGAGTTTCAAAACTGTGATCAAGTGGTTGAAAGCTGAGTGGCGAAAATAAAGGGTCGGTGAGTTTCAGGTAGCATAATAAACATTCACAACTGGCTATTATTCACAATAAATCCCGTAAGACGAATGAGGTAAGAAATAACATACACCGTTAAATGAGAATTTGATCTCCAAATTTCCATTCAATGGTTTGCAAATCAGTAGTCTAAAAGCCAAAGCAAAATCAATAACGTGAGCATCCATCGCACACAAGAAAGTACAGAATACATCATAAATGTAAAATATTGAGAGATAAGATCAACTTAATGATTGTAGGGATTCATAAAAGTTATCAGTTTAGTGTATATGAGCTAATCTACAGTTGTAACAATAAATGCCGATAATTCACACGTCCAAGCACAACAAATGTATTGTCGGATAAATGTCCTACAACAATTACGGTTTATTAATAGTTTCAAATTTCAAGATCCGACTACCTATCAAAGGACGAGTATACTGCGCTGTGGTCCGTTCTCTCCTGTTTTACGACTTTGAGACATGACTATTGAAAGGAGATATGAAACAATTACACGGTTGTGATTACAGATATCTTCGTAGTATTGCTCACGTATGGTGGAATTATGATGTGAACAATGCTGAAGTAGACGAGTGGTATTAGGGAAGGAAGGCAAGTTAGTAGATGAGTTTGTGAACCTTAGTCGACTGAGAAGATGGCTTTGACATGTACTATGCATGCCAGCACGAGCCACCGCCTACCTAGATGTGGTATGTTAGGAGACATTGGATTAGGTTGCAAGAAAACTTAGGGTGGCCAAACCAAGACGTCCATTATCTTTAGATTGTTAATTCTCCTATACAACTTTGTCTACTTTGATATCACTCTTCTTCTATCCATCTATTCTTTGTGCACTAATGCTGTGAAGCGTGGCAACTTGAACCAATGCACCTGTGTGCGAGGTTCTACGTTGTTTTTGTCAGTCTGTCTCCTAGTTAGTCGAAATAATTAGTAACATGAACGTAAAGAGTCTCAAGACAAACTACACTTACTTCAAAGGAAACTTTCGATTTTGTTGTACAATGTACACGACCTGAACTTCCAACAGTATCCAGAGAAAATTTATCTGACCAACCAGAGTCACATACACGAAGATTAGCCTATGAGATAGAACAAAATTAAGTGTACAAAATATTTTTAGTCCATTGAAGCGAAAAACAAAATATTGAGAATTTTCAAAATACAGTACCGAAATATGTGATCAAAAAAGAGCAAAAACTGGAGTGACAGTAACAGAAGGAAAAAGTGCATTATCAAATAAGCAATCACAAAAGAAAGCAAGCAAAAGTATTTTCCAATAATGAATACTTACAGTAGATCCCTTTCCTTTTTAGAAAAGAATAAGATAGCCGAGTTTGGTTATTTCTCATAAGGGGAAATAACCAATGAATCTGTGTACCTACATCGACTGGCAAAGTTGCGACATGTAATATAAGATGAAAGTTGGTTGATAAGATAAAAAGAAAAAAGTAACCAAAGAAAGGTATGGCACTCATATACCAAATCTCTAAATATCGATCACAGCCACCTAGAAAAGTGTCGATTTCCTGGTCACAGTCTTCATGATGGTAGAAATAACGATTTAAGTATGTGACTTGGTCTAAAATGAATCCTAATGACGTAGATATATTTTCATATTTGATTGTATAAAGCCAATTACTCCATCCCAAATTTGAATCTATGTACATAGAATGTTTGGCTGAAATTACAGTCAAATATAATTGTAATTCCGAATATTTATTTAAACAAAACACCATTTCATAGTCAGAATTATTAGGCCTAAGTGTCATTATTCTTAAAAGTTATTTTTATCATAAAGAAACCATAACAAAGGAATGAAAACACTTGATTATTTTAATCACTAAAACAGTATTCATAAACATGAAATCATAATAACCAACATCAGCTTATTCTAAATAATGGATTAGGATAGGTTATAGAAATTAGGCTGAAAGAATAACACAACTCGATCTTTGATAGCGTAGGATACAAAAGGAATAGAATGAAAGGATAACTATTGTATAATCTTATGGGAGATTGGATTTATTAGACCGGAACGTAATACTAGGTGATTACTACTCAGTGAATAGACTGTGAACAATGGAAACTAAATGTTTGCGATTTATAAGTTAAGTGTGACTCCACTGGGATTTTGTGGATTGACTTCAACTATGTTACCACATACACTTATTCAAAGTTGTACGGTAGTTACTTTCAGTTTTTACTTTAAAGATTCGTGATACGATAAAATCCCTTTACCCTTTAAATATTACTGATTGTTATATTGATCTTGGTGACTAGCAGTGGAATCCAGGATACGTGTTTCGCCCTGCTTGGGACTCGTCAGATGGGTATACCTGCACCCCTGTGCAGAGTGATGTTGTTCCCACCGGGGCTCGAACCAGATGCTCTTCACTCTAAACGGCACTGGGGCACGAAAACCACCTCTTGTGCAACGGATGTTAGTCGTTGTAATGCTACTTGTAATTTCCAGTTGCTATACAAGGCCGAAACACCCGACCACTGTTGGCAGATGGGCTCCTATGCGGATGCTTCGATACTGACGGATATTGATGATGTTATATTGATCTTGGTGACTAGCGGAGGAATCCAGGACGTACATTTCATCCTAAATGGGACTCGTCAGCTGGATGTACCTGCACCGCAGTGTGGAGTGATGTTGTTGTTTCACAAATTAACTAGACAATATGGAAAAAATAGCCACACAAAGTTCAATTATGCTGGTTAGTTAATTAGCTGAGAAAATAATTTTTAGCGAAAGGTGAAACAGAAAACCGACGGCATTTAAGCATCTATCTAATATACGATGATAATTAATCGGAAGCGTTGGTATATATACTGATGATTAGAAAAAAATTTCTGTGAAAAACACTGAAGTAAAATTAAGGCTTGGTTTGAAAAGTAATAAATCAAGAATGATTTCATATATGAATGCAAATAACACCGAATATAAAGCCGAAAATGATAAATCTTCATTGAATCCTAACTTTGAACTAATAATTCACCCGAAAGACAACGATCGTTAGGAAAACTTAGCAACTTTTTGAAAAAGAATAGCACTTATTTTTTTAAAAAAAAGGGAGATATAGGGAGCAATTAGTAGAAATAACAATGACTTTGACAGAGACCTGAAGTTTACTTCCAAATTTTAATGAACGAGCAACAGTTTTATGATTCAATGTAGTAGGCGTTTTACGCTTTCTTGAATGACACCGGCTACAGCAACTTGAATTAGAAGAATCACGATGTTTTGACGGTAAACGCCACCATTTTCTTGAAGGTCGACTAGATGATTTCATTTTTGAATGTTTTTCAAGATCCTGTCTGTTTTCTGGTGTTGTAGATACAGACTGTCTATCTATGACTTCAGTACCAGTAGTACACACTGAGTTGAAATTGTATTTACCAGATTCTTGATTTCTCATTGGTGCATCCGGCTTTTGTCGAAGCAATGGAAATGGTGATGATGAGACCAGCTGATGATTCTCAGCATATTCATCGTAGTCTTCATCAGTGGATGAGTGAAGGCTTTTATTGCGTTGTATCTGTATGTTCATCATAAAATAATGGTTGCATGTTAGGAAGACAGATGAAGAAGGATGAAACACTAAAGAAGCAAAAAACTAATACCAGTATACTAGCATAATTACAACTTCCACCTACTAATTGTGTATTTATCAAATTTGTTTCATCCTACTCTGAATTAAAGGCGGTTAAACAGTTAACTAACACGCTATATTCCCTCAGAATTGTCATTATAACACACCATTTCGACAATATAACCATAAAGCCTAGAAATATATTCAGCGATATGAAAAGAATTAATAAGACACCAGTAATGTTGTGGCAAGAAAACGACTGATTTTCGTAGTACGTCATATGTTTACAAAGAAATTAAAAAGGTAACAACATATATTAGATTAGAAGGGTAAACAACGTACATAGGTAAAAATCACTTAAATAACATCAATATTCGAACTTGTCTATGCACAAAGTCAAAATAGGGAGAAAATAGCCAAACAACAAATCTGATACGAAGAAAAATGATTAAACATGAGAAACAAATGAAAAATGACTAGTTGAATAGTTAGGTATCAGTGTTATCAATGATAATATGGCAGATGATGAATATGCAAAAACGATGATAACAATAATCTACCATACTGATATGTGTTACACTCACACGACTTCACACAACTATTAACATCAAAACTGTTCATTTTTCTCACCATATTCGAGTAAGGGACAGTGACTGACTTCATGATAGTCAAGTGTACAGTATTGTCTAGGATGTCATAGAAAATTCTGCAAGTTAGTAAACATTAATAGTGACGATAGAATATTTAGCCTAGAGAAACTTGTAGTTATGTAGCATGAAGTACCTTGAATGTTGGTCATTCGTTTCGTAAATGGGAAGTAGACATCCTACAAAATTTAATGCATGCTACTGGCTAAAAAAGCTGGTTGATTTGTTAGATCAGCTGAAGATAACTACGCAATTATGATTTCATGAGCTATAATTGTATACTGAGTGATGTATCTATGCATAGCAAATTATTCATACTAGTAAATAACATGATGAGGCCTTCAGATAAGGTATTATTGGTGTAACCATCCATCCAAATCAACATAGGACCAGGTATTACTGCGTAAAGGTCCAAGTTGCCACAGCTCATATCAGTACATCAAGTAAAAAGGTAGTGAAATGGAAGATGAAGAAAATAAAACTCAATCAAAAGAAATATAAAGTACTAAATGACAGAAAGGAAGTGTAATAATTCACAGCACAACGGTAACTGCTTTTCGTCTAACCATTATCCAACAGACCTTTCTGATACGGTAGGACCTCGAGGGAACAAGTGTTCCACCAGAAAAGCTCGTTCGGTTATTGTGATATGCAAGCCCGACCACCACATCAAGGTAGTAGCTATCGGCCGGGCATTGGTGTAGCAAAAATGACTCATTACCAATTCAAGTCACTCAACACCTTTTCATTACCTTTCATTCGATACACTCTATTACCATTGATTTTTGAGTGATTCCTCACAGACCAGAAAGTAAATTTCTTCATAATGATATGATAAAATTAACAGCCTGTGACACTTGCTTGACATTTACTCAAGTTGGTACTCATGAAACTATTTAACTGGGTGATAAAAAATCTGTATTCAGATAAACTTGAACGAGTCTCAAATTTCGACTGTACTGTAAAATTTCAACTTACTCAAAAAGTGATATTTTCTATGCTTTTCAAGGTGAAGAGTATATTTTGCCCTTAAGATTTTACGATCAAAGAGCGCTTCTAATTTTCCAGAGTTAATTAAACTAACATCATGAATGATTTTATCGTAATCGAAATCGAAATAAACTCAGCAACCTTGTTTATATTCATGAAGTAGGAAACAAGCTACATGTATAGGGGTTAATGATACATCCTGGCTACCCAAACCCCTATAAGTGAGGTAGGGTTCGAACCCGCGACTCCGTAAACCAATGAGCCATATATCCATTATGATTTCAACTTAAATTACACATAACGATTCCTCATGCCTAACTGAAGTAAACCACTTTAGAAAAATACACTACCCAGTTGCTCAAACATGACTTGAACGTTAAACTATGGAATAATCGATCAACTTTGACCGCGAAGTACTGAGACCATATTTAAAATCAAAATACCTACTTTTACTAATTAGGAAATCCCTGTCCTTTCAAATAATTGATTTCCTAGTTGTACTTTATGTTGTGGTTACTTTATGAAGTTTCATTTGCTTATTACGATCAGACTAAGAGTTTGATATTTGCAACAAATATACGCAGCCATTCACACACACACACACACACAAATGACGGAACAGGGGAACTCAAGGTGAGTTGAAAACTTCGAATAGTACTCAAGACCGATTCATGGTGTTTTTCTCGATAAACAACCCAGACAAATACACAAACATAGTGGCATAAAACATGATGCAGTAGTGCATTCGTTCTAAATCCTACGCTTTTAAGTAGCAGAGAAAACAAAGGCGTGATCAGGAGGTATTCAACTAAACAAAGCAACTGCGTGTCCAGTAGCAACCTTTTAAAGCAAAGCACATGAAGAAGATGAGAAGTGAACAGATGTACACCAATCCAACAAGAAGAGGGTAGGGATCAAGTGAGTCAACTTGTTACATCTTCGTCTACAGCTTTCAGTAGTACTTGCTAAGACATATGAAACATATGAGTCCGACAGAAGTTTTAAATATGTTTCGTCGATGAGTATTGCTTTTTGCCTTTAATCACCTAATATAAAGTATCCATTTTTCAATGAAAATCAATCTTGCTTAATAATTATGGTTAGAAATAACTGAACTTATTAATGGACATAATCTTGTTGAACAAACAGTAGTAATTTGAGAAAGTAACTGTATTGTCTGTAACGTTTACCAAAACAAAATATGGTAACTTGATACAAAAATTTATGTGTCGATAAGACTTGTACGAGGAAATTGGTGAATATATGAGTGAGGTCAGCAAGATGTCAAAAACTAGTCGTTGGAAGAGCTAAGTGTTATAACTGGCTCAACCACAGTCAATACTGATGGAAAAGTGACAGACATTCGTTTTCGTTTTTTCCCCTGTAACTAAACATATTAGGACCATATTGCTGTCTATTTGTTCATTTCAAGAGATGTGTAATATGGATTTTTTTCAATTCAACTCGAGAAGGGTGTTTATATACCTGGTTATGCACGAAGGCTTTCGATACCACCCGGTTGGTCAGGCCGAAGTAAATAAAGCTAAGTCTGAAGCCAGGATTTATCAACGGAAAGTGAAATACTTTATCCAATGAGCGAAATGTCCATCATTTCGAACTGCGGTAATTTGAATCAATAAGCTACGCTGGTGTTGCTGGTCTTCAACCTACGGTAATGTTACAGAAGTAAACAACCTCAACAGGTTTGTTTTCAAAAAATGGGCAGGCGTATATTTAATGTCACAATTATACATAAGGAAGAATAAATCAATGGTATGTTAACTAAGTACTCACCTTCCTTTTACCGAAAAATGATTTTGTCAATGATGAATAGAGTAGAGCACCAGTAAATGTGGTTGGATGAACGGTTTCCACATCATCCATAGACTGTTACAAAAGTGAAATGCGATAATGCAAATATTAGCAAGATACTAAAGGTTATCACAAAGCATTTAAGAGAACTGACTAAATAGAATGTTTATACACAACAGATCCTAAGAAGGCGATGGAGAAGTGTAATTAGAATTTATTAAAAAGGTGCTTTCCATTAGCGGTGTTCACACTAATCTTGCCAATATTTTTAACTGTTTCCATGTTTTAAATTAAAAAATGTCAACCGAGAGGTGCTTTCGTTAACTGGATGACAAACAGGCTTGTTTGGTTGTATTTGTCTTCTGGTTGCTAGTAAATGTAAGTGAATAATAGTAATGATAATTGAATTCAACCTGGGATAGGATTATGAAATAGGATATGAGTTACTCATATTCTGCGAAAGCTACTGATACTAACTAATTGTGCAGGCTAAGATAGATGGAGTATAGTTCTGAAGTCACGGCACAACATTTGAGAGTCAAATATCTCCATTACTGATAAGTATCTAAGTGATGAGACTGACATGTTTGGTGTCAAAATCATCCAGTTAGCGATATCAGATTTTTATGCATCCTAACTTTTGGTCTAAAAGGGTAATTGTGAATTATATGAATGGACCTCACTTCATAACGAATCAAACTAATAGTCAGTCGACTGAAAACAACAGACAACTTCGTGAAAGTGGAACTTAGAATAAACAGATTTTTCAGAAACATGTAGAGATAAGTACGTGAAAAACGTTTTAAGTAGTAAATATATATGGAATAATAGAGCGAATGACTTTAGAATTAGGAAGGACGCTTGGATATAATGGCGTAACTGAGAATAATTTTGAGAAATATTAGATAGTTTCTCTTCAGCAAGCTGTTTCTGGCATATCGCGGGAATACACTCTTCACAAACTCCCTTCTTTAATCGTTTCGACATTAAAAGTATGAAAATAAAATCACCACGTGTCGGAGAAAAAGGATGGTAGTAAATGTTCACGAGGTCACCCAAAAATTTCGATGAGAAATTCGTATCATAGCAAAAAAGCAATGAACAATTCGGGTATTAAAAGCAACGACTTCTCCCTAGATGATTGGTTAAACGAAACTAAGTGAAAAGAAGGTAGATTATAAGGTCATCAGAGTGATGTTTACTTCACAAGGAAGGATATGGTGGTGTCGTGTTTCTTTAGTTGGATAGTTTAGAGGGAATTAAACGCAAAAGACTGGTAGGTGTATTTATCAAGGGACAGTTAGTTTAACTTTCGATAGATTAACTAACAAGAAAGAGGGAAGGGCATAATATGCTCCTAGTTAAACCTGGTTAAGGTATAGTGTATATGACAACTTGTAGGTGATTAGGCTATAAAATAAACCAATCAGAATGGACAGTTTTAAAGGTTCTGAGGTGAAGCTATTTTTCTCACTTTCCATTAAGTGATTTATACAAGTGATGCAGGTCCTTTTGAAACTGAACGAATATTTTAAAACATTAAACCAAGTTCTGTTTACAAGTGGATCAGTAACACCATCAATTTTGTGATAGATCCGTAATGAATAATCATCTTATCGCAAGTATAGTTGACATACGTTAAAAACATCGAAATGCGAAATGCTGGGCTTTTCTACAATCTCTAAGAAACTGCTAGTTGCTTAACATATTCAAATTTTTGTTGAGTATAGATCAGAGACAGGTGCTGTGGCTCAGTAGTCAAAAGAGATGACCATCAACCAGTGGGTCATGGGTTCGAAGCCCACCCCACATACATGGGTTTGGGCAGCCAGGTAGTATCGCCCAACTTCACACAATAGGTGTGGCTCATTGGGTACTACAGGGATGTGCACAAAGTGGCTCAATGTATTTCGTTGTTTCTTTACTTTTAAAGACTTCTTCAGTACCATTAAATGGAAACAATAAAAAAGGAGAAGTTTGAAAAAATGATAATTCCTGTAACTTTGAACTCGACCATACGATATCGGTTCGCACAAATACTGCACTATTGCTTTGATAGTAGAAAATAATCACCCCCTAACTTGTCATCCTAATGTTGGCAACTACGGTCGACTAATAAATGCTATATTAAGCTCTTAAGAAGGGAAGGCTAGAATGTCCTGAATACCAAGGTAAGGTTATAGCACAATATGTTTACAGATTACCGATAACTCTAAAGACAAAGGTAATCCATTATTCAATGCGATCGTTTCTTTCCGTCTTCGTTTAAAATTCAGAAATCAGTCATATGAAACGGAAATATGCTGATTATTTGTCAGCAGAATAGGTTACTTATTACATGAAATGTTGATGATGTGAATTACAGTAGGTATTATAGTGAATGGCGGTTATACAGATAGGTGGGACCTACGGATTATTTAGAAAGATTGTTCAGGCACACGTGTGTCATCAGCGGGTACAATAATAGTTCAGAGAAATTGTCATAAATTTACGAGTAAAAAACTTACTTTATAGGTTAAATCTTTTCCAGTCTTATTTATCATCCAGTACGGTGCATACAGTGTAAGACATATCTGACCCAAATTCGAGATACTATGCAATCCCAAGTGCTTTTATAAACAAATAAAAAATAATGTATCACCAAAATGCACTTTTTAAAAATCATAATTTCCATAGTAATACTACATCAGAATGGTTAGTTTATTTGCTAGGTGGGGAAAAAACACTTCACCTTGGTTGGTATAATTAGTAGACTATATTTTGTCAAGTTTGAAATTAAAACACAGTACACAAAGGATACCTCGATACGACGAGAATGATACGATTGAAACCGAATATATTGATTCATTGTACAAAGAGTAAGACTAAGACAAGAACATTTGAAATGAGATGTGGCGAATTGGACTGTTGCACGGTCATGCCAGGTCCTATATTGATCATGTTGGTCTAGAAGTATTGATAAGAAATTATCCAAATACCGTAAACGCAGTGTGTTTTACATAACGAAAAGATGACTCCAACATTTACCGGACTGACATTTTGGCTTTAAATTATTAGTGTGTATCATATTAAAGGTTGACCGAAGTTTGATTTTTGAGTAATGTGCACGGAATTGGGGTCGACATAACCATTATGAAGACTGCTTTTTCTTAGTGAAATCCCGCTGCAGCTAAACTATCTTATTTCTATTTATTGATATACTTGTAGTGCTCCGCTTTTTATTGGATCAAAATTGTTCGACCTCTATTGGTATATGGGCTCCTATGCGGATGCCTCACTGGGGTGCAAGTAAATCCAGGTGACGAGCCCCAAATAGGACGGAACATGCATTCTGAATTCTTCTGCTAGCTACAACCAAGCAAATAGACTCTCTTAAATTAAGAGAATCAGCGGAGTTTTTTTTGGAAAACTCGGTTGGTTATGAGTCATTTACGATCTCGAATCCGCAGATAAGTTTCGTAAATAATATGGTAGCTTACGATTTCTAACTGTCACAGTAAGTAATTTGGAAACGGACAGAAAAATAATTACGCCTGGATTTTAAACCTAACCCTTTTTCAGAATACCCTTCTTATCCGGTACTAAGGTAACATTTTGTTGAGGCGGTTGTAATGCACACCGTAAACATACAAGTGAATACAACTAGGGCTAAAGTATCAGCGACATATATTCATAATTAGGAAGCCTACACACTATAAGAAAATTTTGCCAAAAGATGTCACAATGATATAGCGTATCGTTAGTTTGCCATATCGTAGTAGTATTTCTTCTATTTCCCTCATTCCAATCATATTTCACTTTGACGCCTTTGCCTTATGAGACTACTACACATTTCTCACTTTTTCGACGACACGGAGACATATACTCAGAAGTAATAAGTATTTTCACTCTTGGTACGTGCTTATAAAAAATTATTCATTTCAAATACAGAAGCTATACGATTAGGATATAATGAAATAACTAAACAGCATTTTAGTATTATTACGCAAAACTAGTCGGCAGAGGGATCAAAATTCGATACTTCATCTTCATTCGAAACTTACTACCGAGACCATGTCAACGATTCTACTGAGTCATAGGCCCGGTACTTATTACTTCAGGTGTTCAGGCACTATCTCCTAGGCTGATGAGCTATCATAACGAGTTGTAACCAAACAAGAACAAACACAAGATGACCAGAGAATGGTGTTGGTCTACGTTCAATGGTCTAGGCGGTCAATATTTGATTGTGTGATAATGAATATGAACTCAAATTAGCTTGTCAATTTTAGAGAGAGCTAATTAATAATATAATCAAACCTCATGTTAGTTGCGGCTTATTGTCTGATGTAAGCGATTGAGAATGGTATTTCTTTTAAATACAATATTGCGCATGAATCTTGTTCAATTTGATGGAATTGGGCGTTTTCAGTGATACAAAAAGGTTTATTTCAATAACTCTAAAAAGTTGTGGATTACGCTAAAACGACACAGTAAAAGTGGAAAAACTTACCAAATTAAGCACTTCATATTCCTTACGAGATTCGAATTCAATTACACAATATTCATCTATTTGTGGACGTAATTCTAGTTTCGCTCGATATATCCGGTCATTGTATTCAAACTAGAAGCAAAAACGTATGATAATCAGAAACACACTGTAGTACAAAAAAATAGTAGTGTATGACCAGATTAACCATAATAGCAGGCAAGAAAGCTCAGCCAATTGGAAAGGTACCTTGGGTGTATTTACGGAATCATATGCCGACGAACCGACAACGGTATTTACTTCTTACAATTTTTTTTCTAACTTCAAGAAATAAGAAGATACACTGTCTCAAATGGCGTCCGCTGACATTAAACTAACGATGGACACAGATAGATCATATTGCTACAAGTCACCGTTGGAGGATTGCCGTTCTTTATGGCGTACCCGCTTGGACTCCGATCACACGTGAATACGGGCACGTGTATGTCTAAGCCTTAGTGGACACAGAAAACAGACAATAGTTATGTCTAAGCATGTTCACTTGGAAGGTGAGAACGTCAAGTACGAATATAGGAAGGAGAGAGCTAAGTATTTATCTGAACGTGACAACAATCCTCATCCTAAGGAAACTGGGTGCCATATCAAGTCTGCTGTAGAAACAGCTTTAAAGACAGTTGGCAACCTACATTCAAAATTTGGAAAACATCAATGGACTTCCGAAACGTCATCGGAACTTATGGACACGAGAAGACTCATTCCATCTGGCTCTGATCACCTTGAGGAGCGAAAACAGCCCAAACGTAAACTGATTAAATATCTTCGTACTGATCGTGATCGTGAGCAGTGGTGTGTAGCGAAAGCCAGGGAGGTAAAAGAAGACATCAGTATTAGGTAACACTAGGCGATTATTTAGGATTATTAGGATCCTGGCAAAAAGATGATTTTTCAGAGGTAGTGCTATAAGATTTATCCACTTCACTAGTCGTTCCAATCTGTAGGAAGGGGAAGAAATGTTCTTTTGATGATCATAGAGCTAATATGGTATCCAAGATCCTTGAGTCTATGGTTATACGACAGCTAACTGAAGTTCAAGAGCACCTTACTCGAGAAACCCCGGCAGGTTTCAGACACAAACGAGGGTGTATCGACCAAATTTTCATCCTTCAACAGGTTCGGGAACACAGGCATCCCTAACGGCGACCAACACTTGCCATATTTGTTGACCTGAAGGCAGCATTCGATTCTGTGGTAGTGTCCGTCTGCGACGGGATATCGAGAAAGTACTTAATGCTAATCGAAGCTCTCTACATGAACTCGTGCAGCCATGTAAGGGTATATGAAGAGCTGTCATCAGAATTGACGACAAATAGTGGTGGTCGCCAGCGATGTCCACTGTCACCATTCCTATTTTTAATAATACAATAATAACAATCGCTTTATTCCAAACAATATGTATGACAGTATGGAGTTCTCAACATGCAATTTTTCGACAAATTCACTCCTAGGACAATATTTTCAAACGAAATGGTTATTGCATCTGAATAATGTTAATAATAATAGCATTCAATGCAATAATGTGAAATAGCCAGCTGGTTCTGGATGGGCATCCGGTCCATAATGAAGAGTCAATAGAGATGCAAGTGAAATTTTGGTGGTGGTGGTGATTCATTGAGATGGTACAAAAATCTGTAACTCAAGCTAAGCACCTGACAGATAGAAATATGATATATGTTTTTGCACCGAAAAGTCCATCTTTATATGACGTAACATTTTTTCCCTGGGTTTGTTTTGACTCGATAAACGGAGAGTTGAAAACAGTTTAAAAATGTGCCAGAGTACATGTTACGTCCTAAGGACATATTTAAATGATTAAAACGAATTGAAAGGGAAGAATTTGATGAGAAATGTTCAGTGGATAAATTTGGTAGCCCAAGGTTCAAGCAGGCCGCCGCAGATGTACTAATGGACATAGATGCATCTGAATTCACACGGATTGATCTACTCGCTGGAGGTCATTTAGCTGACTTAGGGTATGTAGGGGATATTGTTATGCTAGGTGAAGACGGTGATAAAATGCAGGGTCTTATGAACGCATTGAGCAGAAATCTGAGTATGTTTGGCATTTCTCACATGTGTCATACGCAGCATGATGCCCCACGACTGGTTTGCAACTACTCTTAGTTTAGTGATAGGAAGTGAATTGGTGGAATGCGTCAACCACTTCACTTACTTGGGGAGTTACATCAACCCGGACGTGGTGCTTGCTGACGAAATCTCAACTCGGATATAGAAGTCCTGTTTGGCATTCGGCAACTAACGTTAACTGCGGCAGCGACTGGCGAGATATCCGACTATCTATCAGAAGGGCGAGTATAATGCGGCTGAAACATGGCCGTTAAAAGTAGAAGAGATGAAGTGAATACAGTTCTTTGAGCACACGTTTCTTCGTAGCATTGTTAGCACATAGTAGAATCACAATGTGAGCGTTGCAGAGGCCAGGTGAAAGGCACTAGGCAAGCAAGGAAAGTCGGTCGATGAGTTTGTGTACTTTCAGTGACTGAAGTGGCTTTTAGATGTGTTGCACGTACCGAGCCACTGCCTACCTTGACGTGCAATGCTAACAGAAGACGGATAAGATTGGAAGACGGGTCAGGGGTCCAGACCAATATGTGGCACCAGTTTCATGAAGTCTGACTACTGGCCTAAGCCACATAGTGAGGTGCAGACTGTCCCGTTGGGATCACTGAGATCATAAGAATCAATGGTTAGAGACTACCAGTAAAATAGCTGAAAGTCAGTCACAGAGGCGTAGATACATTCACTGTTTAATGTTTTCGAAAACCAGAATGTTTTGACTAAGCTTAATTTTTAAATTCCCTCCTCCTTCCGTATAACTTTGTCTACTTTAGTATCAGCCTTTTTCTATGCACTCGTTCTTTGCATGCTACTGTGAAATGTGGTAACTTCAACCGATGTGTTTCTTCATTGATTTTGTCTGTCTGTTCACGCTACATGTTTTGTCTTAATGAGGTCAGCTAACTTATACGGACAAAATGGCGGCAACAGTCAGAAGATACTCGTTGGTGACACTATTGGGAGTTTTTATAAGATGTAAATTATCATGTCACTGAGATTCTCTGGTGTGGTAATGGTGACCATAACGACAGAGGATATAGATCTTTCCCTATTGTAGGTTCAAAATATCCCAATTTCAACCTCAAGAACAGGTAATAACATGCATACAAATGAAGAGTGATGGGACTGGATGAAAAAATCAAATCGTTGTAAAGGACCACTGACACAAATCCAGATAAGAACGTATTGTGATGTAGATTACTTTGAAGATAACCAATAATCACAAATTCATTCCCGAAACCTATGATCACTTAGAATTCTCATTCAAATTATTAAAAGTACTTTTTGCCACTGAGTCAATACACCTATTTTTAGTTCACCATAGGAGGAGTCATTGACAACCATATGCAATTTGTGAAGGAAAAAAAATGAACATGTTCTTCGGACTATAGAATGATCCCTGACAAGAATTGTACTTTGCTATATGATATAATGGTGACTTTGGTCAATTCAATCTATAAAGAGATAATTCATGACTGAACTAAGAAATATATATTACATTACGGTTAACATTATTATGATTCTGCTTACCGAGATCTCTACGAAGGCATTGTTTGGTCGTATTGTTTTCAGTGGATAATGACCCCCAGCGGGAATCTGTTCCGAAGTGTCCTGAGGAAAAAAAATAATTGATACAGTTAGAGATACAAAGTAAGGGATTTTCTTGACTATATATACAGAAGTCAAGTAGGTATTCATGAAAATCTATCGAATTAAGAACTAGGATGACTAGATAGATCACTGCCGAAAAAATTGCTACATGTAATGTTATGCTGCGTGAATTATCAGTAATAGTGTCAAATTTAGCGATTGCCAGTAAGTGGTTGAATACCTTTATTCAGGGAAATGCATCAGTACTAATAAGCTGAACGTTGAAGAAACCTTAACGTGGATACAGAAGTTTTGTTGGGCATTTACGCGTATACGCTAAATCTGATGCAGGCAAGATGTTTGACTACCAAGCAGTATTCTCGACACATCGAAATGCACTCAGCAACTAAGTTCACGTTCGTGAAGTAGACAATAAGTCACACCAATTGTTTGGGGGGTCAAGATACTACCTGGCTGTCCAGACCTCGGTACGTGGAGTGGAGTTCAAACCGGTGACTCATCAACTGGAAGTTTAGCGTCTAAACTGATGACCTACAGCTATGAATGCAGAAGGAAAAGAAGCTCAGACCAGACCCATGAGAAATGTTGGAATTATTTCCTTTAAAACACGCTGTGACTTAACATAAATAGAAACTATATCAAATGGCAACATTTTTACTCACCACCCAACATTTACCATACTATTCGGTCAAATCTTGATCGCACTTCACATAAAATATGTATCATTGTATTCAGATCACTTTGATTTAGCCAGAAGAATTTAAAGATAAGCGAAGTGCTGCGCAACTATTATTGCTGTTCAATAATATGTTTCGCTATTGTATGGCACTATTGTGTCATTGATCACAATCTATGGTCTTAATTAGGGGCGGAGGTTCCAATGGGAACTCTGTTGAAATCATATTTTGACAGTTGAGAAAAGTTACTTATTTGTGAGGTGGCTTAGACATGTATTGTGCATATCACCCATGACCTCTACGTGCCGTGCTAGGGGAAGTTGGATTAAGTTGGAAGAGAGTTCTGGGTGGCCAGACCGAGGCGCTGCGTGTTGCAAATCAAGACATCTCAATATCAATAAGGAATACTACAACATAATTAATGATAGTAATAAAACTTACTGGTAATATAAAATGTATTGGAAGAGGCAACTGATTGTATAGAACAATTGCATTCTGTATAACCATTTGGAAATCACAATCGGATGCGCTTAATTTATTTCCGTCAATCATTTTCTTTTGAGCTGAGCGTAGTTCATCTGCAATTGTAGTCAGTGATTTCTTACGTGACTCTGTACTAGTTGGAACATTTGTGTTTTTATTACTGCTAGTGACTTTTTCAAAACTACGCTGATTATTATAATACAGAACAGCAACAGAATAAAAGTATACTACTTCACTGATATTTGTTTGACATTCCAATATTTGATGAGGCCATTGGAATTGTGGTGAACTAAGATTTTCATTTTCTGAATTAATGGATACAGATTCTGCAAGTGGAGCGAGGAAAGGTAAATTAAAGTTTGTGTCTTTAGCGCACTTTACTACACCACAGGCGAATTCAGGCCAATATGCAGGAGTTCCGGATATGATTGGTCTGTGAGAAATACAAATTATGAACAGAAAATCAAAAAAGATAGAAATATATACATATAACAGAAAGAAGTTCTGTAAAGGAGGAACGCTCTCTTCATTTTAGTCTATTTATTAGAAATGTCACACAGTGAAGGGATGGTATCATTCACTGGATAACCTTTTAGACATAATTTATTGTCCATATTCATTACACTATCCTAATATTCTTGTCTCTTGTGTGATATGGGTTGTAGGATTATCCATACATCCGGAACAGGTGCTGAGTCATTCCTATTGCATGTTATTAGGTGTTGATTCGATAAACAAAGATTTACTTATTAAACTCCCCGTCTTCCCAACTAAAAATTAGCTTTTAATACTATCACTCTATACCATTCTATTGTGTTCTATTTCGTATTAGGATCTAATAATTAGGCTATCCGATAGGATGGGATAGAGTGGAAATTCTTAAAACTAATCTAGGGGATGGAGGGAGAAATCGAAAACTGAATCTTGGTTTGAACGTATCCTGACCAACAATAGATTGGATGACTTAGAAAACGTGGGCACTAAGTTAGTATAATTCATCGTAAAAAGTACATTTTACTTGTGTTATCCCGGAGAAGTAACATACACCTTATACGACAAATCTTTGTTTATCGGATCAATACCAAATACATGCAATAGAGTTGATTCTACACCTGTACCAGATATGTAGAAAATCCTACAACTCATATCACAAAGGAGGTAAGGAAATTCGGACAATATAAAGCATGTCTCAAAGTTGTGTAGTTACTTGATATGAACATAGACAATAAATTATGTCCAAAACGTCATCCAGTAAATGATATAGTTTCATTGTGACATTTCTAATAAACAGACTAAAATGGAAATACCATCTACTATAGTATTCAAGGTTTACTCCTTTATTGACGCTTTCTCCATTTGGTGCGTGTTTATTTGTCCACGTTAAGAATGGCTGGGCCTGACAAGACTTTAAAGCAAAATATGTAGTCGCTGAAACCTTCCATGTTATTCATTATAAAATGGGTACAAGAAATATTCAATAACTATTTCTTCCTAGTTCGCTAAATCTGACCAATGAGTGACTTGAGACCGCAGGAAATATTGAGTCGAAGATTGTCACACTTACAAGGTTTACCAGGAATAAATGCAAATTGTAAAAGTAGTAAATCATTTGGTCTGGTGGTGAATATTTGCAGTTCACGTTATAGATGTCTTAGTAGTACTGTTCTCCGTTGAACTTGTTTTCTAGGTAAAACCTACGGGGTCGAGCTGGGTATCATTTTCAGTCCTGACACATATATCAGGAAGGCAACAACAATGTTAGTGGAACAAGTCAGTCGAGTAATGGATTACACCACATTTAAACACCTTGCAAAATTCACAGCAAACAAGTGAAATAACCTCCCGCATGGTAACACATAAAAGCAGTGCAAAAGTTTAAATCACTAACTTTTCAGACTCCGGTCCAATAAATATCCCTGTGTGTTGGCGAGAACTCACCAACTCTACAGGAAGAGCATACGATTCACCAATATCAATAATAGCCAGTAAGCCAGGTTGTTTCATAACAGATGATTTTATTAAATGTGAGTAGATGCAAAGACGTTCCGATGTTCGATTCAGCACCTGACAAAATAATGAATGGTATTTATTGACAATATTTAGTCTACACTGAAGTAAAAACTGGGAAAAAGGTTAGCAAGATATTCTGATTCTAGAGCCCAGCTATGCTGATAGAGTTACTATACAAACCTATAAAGAAGGTCTTCCCTACAACGTCAATTCTAAAAATAACAAAACTGGGAGTTCACTTGGCAGAGATTACAATGGACATGCAATACAGAAAGCCCTTAAAATTATTCACAAACACGTACACACACACACACAAAATTGTGTTAAAGGAATAATAGTTATGAACCTTTGTCTACCCTAGACTACTTGACCTACTAAAGGGATTGGATATTAATATTTCCCTTAACTTCATATACCTGCAAGTGTTGACGAATAATTTATTGAAACTGACTGATGATTGAAGGTGAAATGAAGATTTGGGCCGGAATAGGATACGAACCAGCGAGTTTACCGCCCGCTGCTCTACTAACTGAGCTACTAAACCCGACTACTGACTAGATTTTCATTTCACTTTAATCAACAAGGGTGATTATTATTCTTATTGTGAACCATATTATTTGTTATACGACTATAGAGAAACTACAAAATTATATTATCTGGCGATATTTTTTTTCTGAATGTCTTATATAATTCAATAAAAAAAGTCAGATAATTCTCGAATTTAATGCTTGGTATATATGTAATAAAGCATTTATCCAAATGATCCAAACGGACTGTTATACACATATTAAGAGAATTAAGGCTACGCTTAATCATCGTAGAGTGTATGGATAAATATATTGGGAGCAATCAGGTATTATTTTTCTGAAGAACATGATCCTTTTAACAATCAAAAAACACAACAGATTAATAACGCTACAGGAGTCAAAATACCAATGCACATGCAGAAAATGGGTTAACAAGTCGTCAATAAGCAGAATTAAGCAGACATATCATGAAGATAACAGGCTAATATGATCAATCCAGCTGTTATCAACAGAAAAGTGGGTAGGTCATAAGTGACATCATGTGACGACTTTATTTGCCAAGCATGAAATTATAATAAACACCACAAATAAACATAAAATACCAAACAACATAATTAAAACCCTAGACAATAAGTGATCTGGTTCAAATGACTGAATGATTCATATCAGCTCTAAAAATCTTTTTCATTTTATAAAAACAGATACAATAGACAATATGAAGGAGATTCCTCGAATAACTCCAACAGATTTGAATACCTCACTTAGAACCAAGAAAATATATGAATAAGCTTTTTAATACTTACCTGAACGGTAGATCGAAGGGTGATTGACTTCATGCCTAGACATGCAGTGACCTCTGCCATTACAGGATAAACTGTAGTGTAACCAACTGTAGAAGTTGTTCCTTTAGAAACAGTACAGGAATCTTTAGATAAACACAACAAGTCGCTATCACCTCGATATAAACGGAAAACAACCTCTGTATCAGATGCAATAGGAGTACGAGCAGACGAATTGTTGACAGCACTTGATAAAGAAATCCAGATATGATGGCGTGAATCTTTCGATGAACTTGAATAAACTACAGACTGTTTCTACGGAGAACAAACAAAAGTTTATAATGAATGCATTCAGGCAAGATGTAACATGGAGCAACGCTATGTTTCGACAAAAAAGGGCTGAAAGATCATATTACTAGTATGATTATCACAGTCGCACAGAATTCAATTATAAATTTTCTAAAGAAGTTAGTTTTCTTAAACACTATCACCGCCAAAGAAATACGAAGATTACGTTTGTCTAAAAACTCGTTGAATATTAGAACCTGTTGTATAGCAGACTAACCTCACCTAGATAACTAGTTGCTAGCCGGTAATAAGGCCGCATAAACAGGGAAGGTTGGGCATAGGGCTGCAAGAAATGACCCCAATTGGTGAAAGAATTCGAGAAGCCAATTAGCCGATGTGTATTCCCGCGATGACAGCGAAAGTAAGAATAGGGACAAAGAAAGTCTGAACAATGTTTGAACATAGCAAGGCTGCATAGATTGCAAAACAGATGAGAAGGTACAGCATATACAAGTGGACTCTCCAAACTGTCAACTGGAGAGGAGTCAATAATCTACTCCGATATTCTCACCCAGACGACAACCACGACCACACTGAGTTTTCGAGTGGCTATCACGATATCCCCAAGAGCATCAAAGGCTCTCATACAGTGGAAACCAATCTCCTCCTGCAGGATCATGACCGCAAGGTTCAACTCACAAGGAACGAAAGCCACAATCATACAATCCTACGCTATGCAACTATAAATAATGCAGACCATGAGAAGACGGAGGAATTCTACAGACAACTGCAACCAGTAACAGATAAGACCCCATCACAAATGGCGACATCAAAATTCATTCTAATGGGTGTAGTTACATGAATGCCAAACTGAGAGCAGACGACACAAGAAGAGAACTTATCATGGCTCGAGAAGCACTCGGTGAATTGATGAGTTGGAATGGAGAAAATAAAGACAATACAAGGAATGGATTTCCACAGACACATGCAAGCTGATAGAGGAGAGGAAGATGAACCAGTGTGCTGCAGGGATGAACAACAAAATGAGCAACGGAATACAACCTATGAAACACTACACTCGACAAAAAAGTGAAGAAGACACTTCTACGACACATTGGCAAGTGAAACTGAACAGACTGCTGGTATGAGAGGTCTGACAACACTAGATCAAATAACGACGTTACTATCTGGAAGGCAAGAGATTAACGCAGATGAAACCAATGAAAGATAGTGAAGGAAACCTAGTTACCAAAGAGGAGAAACAAACGAAACAATGGGCTAATCACTTCAAAAAAACTCTTCAATCGACCACCGTCACCACCTGCAACTCGTTCACAAATACCACCAACAGCCCAGCCACAGAATTACCAGTGAACACAAGCCCTCCAACAAAAGCACAAGTGAAGTCCTGAAAGCCATAAAGTTACTGAAATCCAAGAAAGCAGCAGGACCAGATGGAATTCATCAAGAAGCACTAAAACAGACGCTAAAACCACCGTGGACATGCGACACCCCTACTGCAGAAGGTTTGGAAGGAAGGAAGGAAAGGTACCTGCAGATTAGAAGAAGGGCTACCTCATCAAACTCACAAAGAAGGGAGACACCTAAGTCTTTGCAGGAACTCAGGCGGAATCATGCTCCTGTCTCTGTCAACCCCAAGCAAAATATTAAACCGCATCATGCTGGACAGACTAGAAAAAAAAGACTAAAATTACGACCAGAACAGGCTGGCTGCCTTCAGGAAAAACAATTCATGTATACATCAAATTGCAACGCTACCCTACGCATCATCATAGAACAGAATACACGATGGCAGTCAACTCAAATCAACACTAACTTCATCGACTCAGAAAAGACCTTCGACAGTGTGGACTGAGAAGTAATATGGCAGCCAGCTGCTTCAACACTATGAAGTACAACAAACCTTTAACAACCTCATTCAACGCCACGTGCCAAGTGATGCACAATGGAAAGCAGCTCAGTGACGCCTCTGAAGTGAAGACAGGAAGAAGTAAGACAAGGTTGCCTACTATCACCGATCATCTTCCTGATTGTGGTCGACTGGATCACGCAAAAAACCACGAGGGGTGAGAAGATAGGCATACGCTGGCTGGACCGATGAAAAGACCCTAGAAGATTTCGACTTCACAAACGATGATCATTTGTGTCTGATATCTTATGTCGCAGAAACTTGAACCTCTTCAAGCGAAAACCAACAAGTTGGCACAAGGACGGGGCAGTGAAAACAGCACTTCAGTTGATCATAGAGAAGACAGAGGTAATGAAGATACGCAATCAACAAAAGCAACAACAACAACAACAACAAGCACCAATCACCATCAACCGGAGAAACATTAGGGAAGTTATCTCTTTCACCTACCTCCTCAACTATCTAGGCAGCATTGTCTCAACTACAGGTGGCACAGGCACAGATGACGACGCCAAAGTCAGCATTGGAAAGACAGCAAGACAGGTGATGACTCGATTTATTAGTGTTATTGTTTGTATTACACCGTCGTTGATTAGATCAAACTGGTCGGTCTCTATTGGCAGATGGGCTCCTGCGTGGATGCTTCGACATTGTTTGTGTTTTTAATTATGTAGTAATGATGCATAGTAGCTAACAGTGGAATCCAAGTCCAACCAATGACATTAAAACTATACCCCTCGCACAAGAGGTGGCTACTATGGCTCGGTGGTCTAGTTGATAACGCTCTGGCGTTTGAAACGACTGGCCCCAAGGTCGAGTCCTGGTTAGAATAACCACTCACTGGGAGTCAGGTGCATCCAGCTGACGAGTCCGAAATAGGACCAGACGCACATCTTAGATTCCACTGGTAGCCACTATTCAAGTTTATTGAGGGTTCACCTTCTCTAAGGTCAAGCGCCTTAGACCTGATTTAGCCTTTTCAAAAAGAAGCTGTATTTAGTGTATGTCTACTTTAGTTTTGACTCTGATTCAATTGCACCACATAAAATGTTTTGAACTAATTGAGCTTAACTAACAATATTTCGCGTGCTTCATCGAGTTATATATTAATCGAGTGACTTACTTTTGTAATCTTATATTTTAAGTCCTACAATATTTTGGTTACTACCTCTCTCACGTTTTCTCTGAGAAATTTTAATTGGGTTAATTATATAATTGTGACAATTTGTGACCATTTATTAAACTTGGATTTTTCGCTATGATCCACCACTATGCTATGACAATTTCTGTTCGTTTTAACTACTGACTGATATTTTGTTTTCCTTTAGTGAAACTATATACATTGACATTCTAGATTGTAAGCAGCTGACAAAGTGCCGGTAAGATAAAATGAATCTATTTTATCCTGCATTCACTGTTATTCTTGCTCTTTTCAAATTCATAAAGGGAAATTCAAGTATGATTGAACCTTATAAAATAAACTAGGAATTGGAATATGAAAAAGTAGATGAAACATATAACTTAACAAACATATGCAGGTGAGTCACCCCGATTGTGTGAAGACGGATGATACAATCTGGCTGGGAGGCTATATATATGAATTCTAATCGTTTGAGTAAATGAATGATTACTTGATATGTAGTATAGAAAACATTTACGCGTGTGAGAAATTAAGGTATTCAACCAATAAGCAAACTACATAAACACTTTCACATGAAGATATCGTCTTTTGTTACCAAAAACTAAAAATCTGTGCAATATAAAGATTTTTTTCAATTTGTAGTAAGAGGTATTCAAGACTTCAATACAAGATATTGGCATAGATGGATATGCGTTTTAAAAGAAAGTTCACAGTTGAACTCGAGGTATACAAAATTCTTATTGTTGTAGACTTGATAGAAATGGCTTTCTCTCAGGAAAACTGCCTCTCTCTTTTATATCGAAATATAAAACTTGCAACAGTCACTTAGTGTTTTTACAGTTTGATAAATTTAGCACTACTAAGTCTACCGCCTTATGTATATACACTGCATCACAAATATTACAGACTTTATTAAGAATTCGTAGAAAGAGAAAGTCACTTTAATGCTTACCCTCTCCTTCTTAACCAATTCTGTAAGTCCCACTTCTTGTTTTGAATCAAGTAAAATTGAATTATAATTTTCACCGCTTGATGTGATTGCCTTATCAGAATTGGGAACAACATTGTTTTCATGAATTAATGAAAGAGCTTGGTTGTTATAGCGTATGATTAACTGACATCCAGTATTATTGATAATTCGATAAGGAGCTACAATCTGATTCGACAAATCATCATATTTCGATTTAACATTCTTCAATTTATAAGCTTCTTCAAACGACTATAAGGGAAGAGTAGGAAAGTTGAAATAGATATGGACATCATAGGATAAATAGGTTAGAGACTAATTAGTGTATGAGTCTAAGGTAATCTTTCTTACCAACCTAGTTGGAGTAAACTGAGTGTATTTAGGCATATGTAGTAATGCTCCATATGATTTCATGGAAAAATCTGACTCTGGTCGCATGACCAATATCATAAAACTTAATAGTCCATTGAACTTAACGAAAACCTATGTACTGTCGTGAACCCTCGCAGCATCTGAACGATGGGGTCACAACCAACTGTGTGCGTGTGGTTGAATATGCACAGAGAAGTCCCATCGATTTGTACAAGTAAAGGTCACAGAGCATATTCCGAAATAGTAGCAACAACAAACCCAATCGAATGATCCACTGATCCTGGCAATAGATGTCCAACTTTATGTATAAGTAAACATATCATTGAAATAGCTCACAAGCTTGAATTGTATGCATCTTTCAAACCTAATAAGGACTTATACTAAGATTTGTTGAAGTTCTAGTTAACTTAAGACCGTTTTATGTATTCGAAAACTACTATAAACTCATGTTAGCAACTCAACTTTGATATCGAAGGTGATTAGAAGGTCAATTTTCTTGTTCTATCTATAATTAGACAGCTAAACTAACAATTCATCCCTGTATAACATCAATTATCTCAAAAAGAGGATCCATTTTTCCTTTATAATATTTCATATAAATACGTACAACAAACAAGCATGTGATGCGATTGTTCGAAATGCATTGCACTAATATATTACATTTTCTGGTAAATTACGGCTTTTTGATTATTTTATCGGAAGGTTAGTTGAGCAAATCAGCTATCGTCCGATAGCAACGGATGTTAGTTTTGTCATTTTTTATATCGAACAGCTCTTCATTGATAGTGATCTAGTGATTAAAACGCAGCATGAGAAAGACAAGAAGGCTGGATAACTAAAGCTTTAATCATACAGAATCCGGAAATTTATCTCTTTACATGCTCACAGAAATATGCATAGGATCATATTTGAACACCTGAGAATTCAACACATTCTAGTGTTTTGATCTTGTTTTGTACGGATTTACCACTTCACAAGTTAACAGATTTTAGTTAAATGCATACTAGGTTGAATTGTGATAAAGTTAACTGTTCAGCAAGAAATCAAGTAAATCATAGATGTAAAGCACAGCAGTTATCAGCACAATTTGTAGGCATTTGACGACTGTACTTCCCTGTGATAGACAGACACTCATAACATAGGACTTGGCACTATTGTGACATTTGATATACTTCAAATCTACACATAAAGGTGAAAGTCAATAGAAAAGGAGTTAACGAGTGCCATATTACAAGTGATAAAAAGCTATTCGATTAAAATAAAAAGATATAAATCAAACGAAGGTATATGAAGAAATGGTATGATGATACATATTATAAATTAGACAAGAGTTACACAACTCTGAGATGAAGTAGTTATTGAGTACCCAATACACTGAATAGTAGAGAATATTTATAGATCGGGTGGATGGTCTTGGTTGTATTATGTTCTCTGAGCTGGGTTGCTTAATAGTGGAGCTTTCATCGTCTTTCTAGACGACATCAACAGCACTAACTTCAGTATGAAGTGAGTTGTCAATACCTCTCTGTGAGTGAGTGATTCAGTAACTTGCCTTGACAAACTAGTTTGTGATTGGTTGTTTCCATTGATTACTGAGAACACTTGGAATTGGTGTGGTTCATAAGCCAACAAATCCCCTCTAAACACTATTATGCAGACCAGACGACGCAACAAACAAAGAAGACAAACCAAATATCACTCACAAAATCAATGGCAACAATTGTGATCAACACTATACTGGACAAAGTGGTCGCCTTCTTCGCCTTTGCCTACATGAACACCAATTGGCCATTAAAGGTCACGACATTTCATCACTCATTTCAGTGCATGTGGATAATTATGGACATGAATTCAGTTCCGACAAGTTCGTCAAGGCAAGCCACTAAATCACTCACGGAGAGACATTCACAGCTCACTTTATACTGAAGTTAGTGCTGATAATGTCTAGAAAAACGATAAAAGCTCCACGATTAAGCAACCCAGCTCAGAGGACATAATACAACCAAGACACTCTGAATGGTAATGACAACAATACTCTCCTTTACCGCCAACGGAAGATTGTTTGTAACATCAATATTGAAATTTTTGGGTAAGTAGCACTTTACAGTTAACCATTGACGAGGTCCACTTTTGAGTCCCCATCGGTGTTTACTGGGCTGAAAATGTTTCTCTAGACAGATGGGATTAAATACTGTCAGTAAAGAATACGCCCGGACTAATTGTATCACACGATATAAAAGATTACAACTATTTCGTCTTTAATTCACATTCGTTTATGAATAAGGTAGCCATTTCAAAAATGCGCGCTTTAATCGACATCAACTCTGAATGAAATCTAACAGTAGCAAGAATTCATTTTACACACAACTGTAAATTATTGGCTACTAAAATAATCATCAATTTGGCTTGCGAATACGGAAGTTGAAAACAATCACATTTTATTATTGTGACCATGAAAATAATTGATAAAAAATAAAACTTACACGGCCCAAATTACTCAGCATATCTACAGCAGTTTTCGATAAAGTGATCTCTAAATTATCTCTGGATACAACTAACATTGTATTGGTTGACGCTTGTAGACACCCAACTTCTTCCCAGTCTTCTTCAGCCAAACACTCCGCTTTATTAAGACTAATTAACTCTAACTGGAGTGACCACATACGATCACCTTCATCTGGTAAGGTTTCAATCAGTGGTTCCCATTGATTAAGAGAATCATTGTAGTATGACAAGGATAAGTCTATCAAGAACTTCAATTCAACCTAAAAGGGAAGCAAAAACAAAGAAAAGAAATAAGAAAACGTTAATAACAGTGATGAACGAGAGAAATAGTCAATGATAGGAAGTGTCAAAAAAATTATGGGACTCCTGTTTAGTAATCTGAGTACAGAGTTTTCAGTAGTCATTACACCTAATCTCGTCTAAACATCTCGGGTGAAATGATAGCTTCCCATATCATCTCTGAGGCATTCAACGTAGTATAAGAACACTATATGGAGTAAGTGTAGTGATAAAAATAATAATATGCAACTCCACCGAGTATAGGGTTAGTTACTAAACCTTGAGCCACATGGAAGCGCAAACCAAAGTAGATAAGAGCAAGGTTTGAATAGGAGAACCGCTGCTTGAAACTCAAACCCAATTGAGCCACATTTCCAAATGGTATGCAGTTGTTGCACTAACATGAATAAGGATTGAAGTACAAGGACGTAATATTTTTTGAACCACCCACAATAAAATGACAAAATTACAACAGATCAATAAAAACATGGTTGAATTAAAAATTTTAATACAAGTTTAAAACTGAACACATTGAGATAATAGCGTAATGTATATACTCATATCCAAATGATATTCATGTGTCGGTATAATATTTGCAGAGTTTTAATGGTCTGCTGGCTCAATGGTAACGGATTTTTTTCCAGCAGGCAGGTCAAGCCATAGCTCTAAAATAATCAGTACGACTCAGAAAAATCAAGTAGGTTTGACTGTTTTTATTACTAACTGAAAACTAAGTGTACCCAATTCTCTGTTTGGTTAGGAAATAAATCAATAGAAATTCAGCTCAGTTACCCAATACAAGTTTATGTACTAGCCTATCGACAGTGCGTATTACACGAGAGACTTGTAAAACTATTCTGTTACTCAGACTGAAATAGAGTAGTGTTTGGACAAAGGGGATCCACTGCCTGACAACGACGTATCTAAGTCAATTAGTGGTAAAGCTAATAAACTGAAACCACCGGCAGCAAATTTTTATCTGCATACCAAAACATACCTATAACACAGTGTAAACTCCACGTGGTTCAAATTCCTTTGCATTTAATAAATCATTCATTCAAAACATGAAGATTTATCTTTCGTATGGAATGACATCACAAAAGCTAACATATAATTAACTAAATCGTGATACAATTTAGCAAAGAAATTATATTGGTTATTATATTTTACATTACAGTATACATAACTCTATAATAACGCGATGAATGAATTAGTTTACCATCACGTCATCACACCATTTCAATCGCTACAGACGCGGTTGCTTTCACTTCATAGCGTTACAATCAACTTCTTCAGTATCATAGGTTTTCAAGTGCACTTTCTAAGTAGCGTAGATCAAATGGTTCGGTATATTTAGACATCCTTATCAGAGATATAACAATTAGTTTATATTGTTACGAAATACACATGCATTTACTGCTGTCTCCAATTTATTACAGTTTAGAAATGTTCATTAGGCATTTCTAATGTGGCAATCAAACTGAAAACTCTTGATCACTCGTTGATATGTACAAATGTTTCACACATCCGTTACATGTATACTAACAGTGGGTACCTATGACGTCTTCAAATGACAAAGCAAACTATTAACGTTACTTCCCTTGTATATTGTTGACAATCAATCATAATAATATTAGAAATATATACATACGAAATCAATCACATACATTTGTACTCGGTCTAGTTAGAACTGCATCGACTGAAGAGTCAAGAACAAGCATTGGCATAGTTTTTGTATCCAACTGAGATTCTAGAATGATTCGAATAGTTTTCAATCGAATATTTATCTGAAAAGTTAAAAGTTATGCAGGATGGCGAAAACAAAATAAAAAAAGAAAGTTATAACAACCATGTTAATAAAAATAGTGGATAGTAATTGTAAGGAAAAAAAACACTATTCGGACTTTTCGTCCACGCTCATGGAGATTCATAGAAGGGCGTATAAAAAGACAATACGACAGGTAACCAAGTATGAAAGGATAGGCAAGACGATTGTTGAGGTTGTGAACCTTATTTGGCTGAGATAAACTGAGCATATACTGCTCATGGTGAGCCACAACCTAACTCGATGCGCCATACTAGGGGAAGTTGGATTAGGTTGGAAGACAGTTCAATGTGAATAGACCAAGACGTGGCACCAGTCGACGAAGTCTTTTACTGTTGGTGTGAGCCATATGGGAAATGTAGACTGCCTGGTTGGGGTCCTCGAGACGAAAGGAATCAGTGGTTGACGGCACTTGGTGACATGGTTGAAAATCAGTAACCATGGTGCAGATGAATTCACTCCTTGACATCTCCTAAAGCTTGAATATATCCACTAACCTTTATCTCCAGATTGTTTATTCTTTTATACAACTTTGCCTACTTTTTCTGTACACTTGTTCTTCGTGTACTGTTGTAAAGTGTGGCAACTTGGACCGATGCAGTTGTCTGAGAAGTTTTATGTTGATTTCCACTGTTTGTCGATCATAAAAGGAAGAACGATGATCGTAGTAATGTATAGAACACCAACTGGACATTAGAATAGCTACTTCGATAGAAAGTATCTGGAATGGAAATCAACATCTCAAGTCATCGGTTACTGAGATAAAGGTCTTCAAGCTATATCAAGATAGTTTAACGGTTTTTGAACTGTTTATTGTTTGACCTACTAGACATGTCACTCAATCGTATATTTTTATTATATAGATCATGTTTATACAACTCCTTTTTAACTCCAGATTGGACCCACTATTTCACCCTAGAACATTCGGTCAAGACAACCCAATGTTGACCTGTTAGCCAATTTAGTAGACTCATCTGTTCATTTGTGATCATTATAAATACGATTGTGAAGCTGCTGAAAATGATTGGTCGAAAAGAAGATTTCCTTTGTTGAATTACTTTGTGTTTTTGAAATGAATATTATTTCCAGTCAATAAAGAGGTGATTAGTCGAAGAACAAAGAAATGCTCCCCCAATAAGCACAATCATTAACCTTCCAAAGAATACTGAACCGGTCATAATGAGGTCTATGAGAAGAGTATCCACTTGATTGACCATCGAATCTATTATAGAAGATGCGTTAGCAGGGAAGAAGGAATAATTAACAGGGTAGTAGGTCGATCAGGAAAGTATAATAAACCATTTGGTAGTTAACTATTAGAGAATTAACAAATTTGAGAAACCGGTAGTTAACCTTACAATAATCGTAGAAAATGAATATTTCTATTGAAAAGTTAGCCTTGTAAACTGACTTCCAGAAATCTCTCTACTGTTTTATGACTATTAACCTGATTTTACCTGCCAAAGGTTTTGGAAATACCGTTGATAAGTACCCAGCTAGAAGAAACAATGAAATGTGAGTTGGTTGAGTGCAATCGACAGAAAATCTCGGACCTATATTTTGTGTCTGCTGGTACTCGTAAGCAAGGCATCTCACCAATTTCGAGGGAACTGAGAGTATCGAACCTATGTCACGAAGTGTCCCAACAAGCGACGTTACCACTGTTCGACAGAACTCTGAGATGATATAAGATTATACAATATGAAATAGGTTACTGGAGAGTGACCAATCAATGAGACCAAAAAGGTATTCACCCCACGGTCATTTAAAGCTTAAGACATTTAAATAGAATACTAAACTACTTGTAAATGTAAATGGTTGCCCGTAAAAAACTTTACAAAAAGATGAACCAGAAAAGTGTAAAATTATACTGTGACCGACCACCTCAAAGCCGTAAGTCTTTACTTTGCAAACTAGATGGAAGGAAGTACAAGGTCAAGTCGTTGTACAATGGGTAAATTTGAACTAAACACGCTTATCGAACAATCATCTTTGACACACGGAGGCCTCACTAATACTCATTATCGCAACCTAGATGTTAAACAAAATGGAATTCTAATAAGTTCTGTCTACAATGATTTAGTGCAGTTGGTATGAGTTAATGAAAGCAAAATAAAGTGGACAAAACACTTATTCAACAATAATAAACAAATGATAGCATTGTATTTTTGAGATGAATGGGGATTTTAATTTAGAGGTAGTATTCATCACGGGCTAATATCAATTGGGGAACCATTGAAAACCTCGGAGCACTGGATAGCTGTTTCATCCTGGTATGGGACTCTTTAGCAGTACGCACCCACGACCCAGCTAGGCACTGAACTCAAGACATTCAGGTTTCATGGCGGATGCGTTAACTATTCAGCCACTGGATCGGAGTTCAGTAGTTTACAGACGGGTATCACGAAGTTCTAACCTGAAGCCTTGATTTGGAGGTCAACCAGTCAGAAGCGAAGTTGGTGAAAACTAAGGACCTTGGTTGACAGTCGCGCTTTATCGTAAGTTGACAGAAGTTGAGAACTGTGAACCACTGAACTCCACCACAGCGGCTGAATGGTTAGCACGGTCGCCGTGAAACCTGAAGGCCCTGAGTTTGACCCCTAGCCGGGTCATAAGTGCGCACTGCCGAGGATTTCCATACTAGGACGAAACGGTTGTCCAATGCCCCAGGGTTCTCAATGGTTACCCAACTGATATCAGCCCATGATTAATATTGCCTCTAAATAACAGTATCAACAAGTATAACAATAAATGTAATTATCAATTCTACAACTAACAAATATCAGCGCTTATGATAAATGAAACACAATGACTAAGAGCGAAGCAAAGCCGGAAACACTTACAACACTGTAGTCTCGCTAAAAAGGCATTAAAATGTAAGAAATTAAATTTAGAAACAATAGTTAGAGCTTTGGCGGATGAAATATACAGAATAAAATATTTTATTTCACGGATACTCTTCAGCTGCACACAGTCTAAAAGTACTTTGGTTATTAGTAAAGATATTTCAAAATTAGGAAATCAATAGTCTTGAGTTATACAGCACAATCATTGACAATCCACATAACGTGTAAGAGAAATAATTGTAAAAAGGTACCGTGGAAGCGGTTACAGTAAAACACTTTTAACCCTGATCTTTGCACACAGGAGAATGTGGTTAATCTCTCAATCCTTTGGTGAATATGATTTAATCCTGTTACAGTTTCATTTTAATTACATAACTTTATTTATTTATTGTTATTATTTCCTTTTTCTTACACTCCCTATTTCTTTACAATTAATTCTCTTAAACTTTATGTGGATTATGAATGATTTCGTTGTACAACTTAGGATTACTGATTTCCTGATTTGGGAATATCTTATGTACTGATAACCACTGGACTTTTAATTTGTATGCGGCTGAAGAGTACTCGTGAAATAAAATGATTTCATTTTACTCCGCAACTAATTTCCTTCTTGGTTCATCTAAATTTACCGAGGGATCTAAATGCATGAAGATGTAGGTTTATTTGCCTATTTCTTCATCGCAAATGCCCAAAGAAGGCGTGGAACCATGCTAACTGTATTATGAAAATTGAACTTAAAATTTCTAAGTTATTCGTCAATGTTATATCACCAGGTCGTTTAAATTGCAGAATACAAACCGATTACACATCTAGTGAAGCAACTAGATAGGTCATTCAGAAAACAGTGTTTTTGAGATAAATCGGAAAAAACCCAGATTAAACTTTCCTAATACATTCAAATATTTTTTTAAAAATGCTTATCACATATAGTTAAGAGGAAAATGCGATGCATTCACTGAAGTGTAATCTAGGATACAAAAAAAGATTGAGAAAAGTATTTAATTGGTTTCATTGATGAATAGTGGCTAGCAGTGGAATCCAAGATGCGCATTTCGTCCAATTTGGGACTCCTCATCTAAGTGCACCTGCATTAATGACTAATACCTGTTGTAGAAGAGGTGTCTCTCGTGCTTCGGTGGCCTAGTTGATAACGATTTGACAGTTGAAGCCATTGGTCCTGGGTTCGAGACATAGTGCAGACGAGAGGCAGGTACGTTCAACTGATGAGTCTTAAATGGAATGAAACGTGAGCCCGAGATCCCACTTCCAGCTTCTATCCGTCAATAATATCAGATTTAAAAAATAAACAGCAATATCGAGGCATCCGCGCAGGAATCCATGTGTCAGCAGCGATCTACTAGTTCGATCCCAATTAACAACGGAAATGAACAACCTATAGCATCAAAAATTATATGTTATAGATGGTGAAGACTACCTGGGAATATTCTGGTCGACTGATTGATTCTAAATCACAGAATCGATGACTGAAGTCAAAAAATAGTTTTGCCACCTCTTCATAAGATGTAGTACAGGATTTACAAAGAGTGCTTTTAAGCCTTTCAGACTTCAGTGTAGAATGTCATAACAATGATTAAATAGGCTACCGAATGATGCTACAAGCGGATAAGTAAATTATAAAAGGCAAGAAAGATAATAACTTTTACAATGACGATAAACTCACAATATCTGTACGTCGATTTTCTATTTCTTCGAGAACTTTTGAAACATCATATGCAACCTCGACATTTTCATCTTGATTCTTCACATCTTGTACCATAAGAGGAATCGTTTTCAAGGATAGAATAAAAGGAGAAAAGGGAAAGATGATATGAAAAAGATAGCTGGCTGTATGTATATGACAGTGCTCAGCCTGTTAACTTAGAGGAATTTTTCTTTGAGTCAATGATATTCAATATGCCACACCACCTCATTCCAACGTGGAGTGGAATGCAATAAACTAGGAAACGTAAAGCTCCATAAATCTGCTGACGCAAGCCAATGAACCGAGAGGGTTACGTTTGGAAACAATTAAGTAGGAGGAAACAAAGTGCTCGTTAGAATAATACAAAAACTTAGGAATATTAGGATATTTAATTTGGGGGTTTGTAGGGATTTGTTTTTTCAAGTTGATATTCATCATCGACTGACATCAGTTGGAGGAACATTGGGAAACCTGAGAGCACTGGACAGCTGTTTCATCCTAGTATGAGACTCCTCAGCAGTAGGCCCCCATGACGCCACCCCTCCAGGGATCGAATCCAGGACCTTCAAGTTCCATGGCCAGCACCTTACCATTGAGCCGCTGGGTTGGAATCTACTGGTTTACATTTCCAACTTCTGTCAGTTCACGACACAGCGCAACCGCCACCTAATGTCATCATGAGCACTTGTCCTCACCGCCACCAGGTGCGCCTCAGCGGTCACGACTTCGCCTTGGAACTTCCGGAATCACCTCTCGAAGCTAGTCACCAATGAGCACCAGGTTCCTGAGGTTCCAATGAGAAGTCGTGGCCGGTGAGAAAAACCTGGTGGCGGTGAGGACAAATATACCCAACGATGACATTGAATGGTGGTCACGCTTTGTCGTGAACTGACAGAAGGAAATATGGACCAGTGGATTTACACCCATTGGCTCACGGCCATAGAACCTGAAGGTACGGGGTTCGATGCCTAGTGGGGTGGGGTCATGGTTGCGCACTGCTGAGGAGTCGCATACTACGATGTAGCAGCTGTCTAGTGCTCCCAGGTTTCCAATGCTCCTCCAACTGATGTCAGTCCATGATGCATACCAACTGGAAAAATATTAGGATAATTCAGTTGATGTAAAAAATTTTATTAGAAAATCAACATCAGATGTTAAGGTCTACTACGCTGAGGATTCTAGAGGTAATAAAATGAAGCATGAAAACAGAACTCTAGATTTTTCCATTGAAGAACAATTGCTAACTTCACACTTACAAATGAGTACATAGTATTATTCATGAAAGAAAGAAAAAAGAGTTATGATTAGAAATCCTATTTCCGACCTCTCAATGCTACATAAATTCATAATCACATTCAGTAAGAGATGACTGAAGACATTTCAATGTTCAAAAAGTCTCTTTCGCTCAGTAAAATAACACAGAACCTAACACAAAGTGGTTTACTGATCTAAGCTGTCATTACATTCCAATAACTACACTAAGAAGATATGAATGAAGAGTATAAGAATCTAAAAGAAAAATTAAATAATGAGTCTTACATTGGTATAATAGTTCTACCGTTCAGTCAAGATACAATTAAAGAGTTACGAAAAATTTTAAGTAAACACCGAATTACAGACTTCTACAAGACAACAAATTCTTTCAGGAATGCTTAACAAATAGAATTCCTTTAACTTCCACACAGAATTGTGTCTACAGATTAGGCTGTGACGATTGTGATAGTGATTATATTAGCGAATTATCCAGCGTAATCATGCAAACTACACGAGGCGGCTTTCAAATAATCTTTTAGAATCTATAAATCAAATTGACAATTGCTGTTCATGTCATTTATTGAAAAGTGAAAATGTCAAAATTATTCAGAAAGGATATTCGAACTAAAAGCAAAGACAGTTAGCTAAGACATTTCACACTACATTGAGTCTCAATACACTCAACAGAAAAGAAAGACTAACTATAGAAACCACTTGGAAAGTATATTTGAAATAACAAGTTGTACACACTAACCTAATTTAAAGTACATACGCACACACAAACTGAATTTCTCATTCATATTACTTATCTCATATTCGCACCCAGTCACCTGGGCATACACACACTGATATATTAACCTTGAACTCACGGAAAGGTAAATGATAACAATGACCTTTATGTATATCCATGTTATTAGAATGTATCAACAATCTAATCTCATTTGTCACCGTTTAAACATGTGTGAACTTGAATAGGCTTTATTTGCTGAAGAAGCAAGTTGCACGAGGTAGCGAAAAGTTAGAAATTTATCTTTCTACTACAGTGAGATTTTATGGATATATTTCCTTTATAAGCTATTTGCTCAAACTCGCATAGGTAACTAGTTCACTAGTTACTAACCGATCCAAAGCCCGGATAAACAGGGAAGGTTGGGCACACGGCTAGCAACCCTACCCAGGAAAAACCGATCTAACCGCTGAAGAAACCTCAAAGCAAAAAGAAATTATAAAAAATTGAACTTATTCCTCGTCGGAATCGCAGAGACGAAATGAACCCCGTTGGTGAGAGCTTTCGGGGAGCCAATTAGCCGATGTGTATTCCCGCGATGACAGCGAAAGTAACAATGGGGACAAAGAAAGTCCGAACAATGTTTGAACATAGCAAGGCTGCATAGATTCCAAAAGAAATGAGAGGTACAGCATATGCAAGTGGACTCTCCAAACTGTCAACTGGAGAGGAGTCAATAATCTACTCCGATATTCTCACCCAGACGACAACCACGACCACACTGAGTTTTCGAGTGGCTATCACGATATCCCCAAGAGCATCAAAGGCTCTCATACAGTGGAAACCAATCTCCTCCTGCAGGATCATGACCGCAAGGTTCAACTCACAAGGAACGAAAGCCACAATCATACAATCCTACGCTATGCAACTATAAATAATGCAGACCATGAGAAGACGGAGGAATTCTACAGACAACTGCAACCAGTAACAGATAAGACCCCATCACAAATGGCGACATCAAAATTCATTCTAATGGGTGTAGTTACATGAATGCCAAACTGAGAGCAGACGACACAAGAAGAGAACTTATCATGGCTCGAGAAGCACTCGGTGAATTGATGAGTTGGAATGGAGAAAATAAAGACAATACAAGGAATGGATTTCCACAGACACATGCAAGCTGATAGAGGAGAGGAAGATGAACCAGTGTGCTGCAGGGATGAACAACAAAATGAGCAACGGAATACAACCTATGAAACACTACACTCGACAAAAAAGTGAAGAAGACACTTCTACGACACATTGGCAAGTGAAACTGAACAGACTGCTGGTATGAGAGGTCTGACAACACTAGATCAAATAACGACGTTACTATCTGGAAGGCAAGAGATTAACGCAGATGAAACCAATGAAAGATAATGAAGGAAACCTAGTTACCAAAGAGGAGAAATAAACGAAACAATGGGCTAATCACCTCAAAAAAACTCTTCAATCGACCACCGTCACCACCTGCAACTCGTTCACAAATACCACCAACAGCCCAGCCACAGAATTACCAGTGAACACAAGCCCTCCAACAAAAGCACAAGTGAAGTCCTGAAAGCCATAAAGTTACTGAAATCCAAGAAAGCAGCAGGACCAGATGGAATTCCTCAAAAAGCACTAAAACAGATGCACAAACAACAGAGGATATGCGACACCCCTACTGCAGAAGGTTTGGAAGGAAGGAAGGAAAGGTACCTGCAGATTAGAAGAAGGGCTACCTCATCAAACTCACAAAGAAGGGAGACACCTAAGTCTTTGCAGGAACTCAGGCGGAATCATGCTCCTGTCTCTGTCAACCCCAAGCAAAATATTAAACCGCATCATGCTGGACAGACTAGAAAAAAAAGACTAAAATTACGACCAGAACAGGCTGGCTGCCTTCAGGAAAAACAATTCATGTATACATCAAATTGCAACGCTACCCTACGCATCATCATAGAACAGAATACACGATGGCAGTCAACTCAAATCAACACTAACTTCATCGACTCAGAAAAGACCTTCGACAGTGTGGACTGAGAAGTAATATGGCAGCCAGCTGCTTCAACACTATGAAGTACAACAAACCTTTAACAACCTCATTCAACAGCTATTTGACGACGCCACGTGCCAAGTGATGCACAATGGAAAACAGCTCAGTGACGCCTCTGAAGTGAAGACAGGAAGAAGTAAGGCAAGGTGGCCTACTATCACCGATCATCTTCCTGATTGTGGTCGACTGGATCACGCAAAAAACCACGAGGGGTGAGAAGATAGGCATACGCTGGCTGGACCGATCAAAAGACCCTAGAAGATTTCGACTTCACCAACGATGATCATTTATGTCTGATATCTTATGTCGCAGAAAATCGAAGGTCTACAGGCGAAAACCAACACGTTGGCACAAGGACGAGGCAGAGAAAACGGCACTTCAGTTAATCATAGAGAAGACAGAGGTAATGAAGATACCCAATCAACAAAAACAACAACAACAAGCACTAATCACCGTCAACCGGAGAAACATAAGGGAAGTTATCTCTTTCACCTACCTCCTCAACTATCTAGGCAGCATCGTCTCAACTACAGGTGGCACAGGCACAGATGACGACGCCAAAGTCGGCATCGGAAAGACGGAAAGACAGGTCTTCCTTCATCATTCTGAAATCAGTGTGGAGATCTACTGCACTGCACCCACCATAAAGCGTGAACAACATCAGGATTTTCAACAATTATTCAGTCAAGTAAGTCAGTGCTTCCACGTGATGGTTGAGAGAATTGGCGTATTACGGAAAGCATTTCCAACAAACTATAGACATTCATCAACAGCTGCCACCTACGCTCACTCGATACTGAAGATCAGATAGATGACCAGAATAATGAGAATAAGCAACGAGGAACTCTAGCTGACTGGCAACAAACCAATCAACAACCCATCACCCAACAAATATGCAGAAGGAAGTGGAGATGGATTGGATTGGGGATACACTGAGAAAACCATTCGGAGACATCATGCGTCAGACCAAGCCATCGTGTGGAATGCAAAGGTGAAACGACGAGTTGGGCGTTCGAGGGTGACGTGGAGGAGACGGTGTGAGTGTGAGGAAGAAATGAAAGCTTGTGGACAGCCGTGGAGCTAGGTTCAAAAGACTGAGGAGAACAGAGTGAAATGGAGATATGCTACTGAAGCGCTATGTACAACCATAAACACAAGGGGCAAATAATAATAATAATAATAAGATTAGTTATTTACGCAATTCCTAACCTTATTCAGTCCTATCAGGTCAAGTTTTGACCCTGAATTCCGCATAACCAAGTTGTCATATTTAAAAATGGCTCAGGAGGGGGAATTTATTGAAGTAAGGGTGATAATGAAACAACCAGAGAGTATATGAGAGAAATAGAAGGAATAAATGAAAAAATAATCCACTTTTCAGGATTTTCTAAGATAATCATACCACTGTGATTAGTTATAAGAAATATCACCAAGAGAAGTTAACCATTGAGGCACACACTTCCATAAATGCTGTGTCTAACTACCATCAACATCACGGCTTTGTGCTATGTCTTCAATCAGTCACCTTCAACTTTAATCCGACTTGAGCTCAACTGAAATGTTACAGTCAATGAGGAAACCGTAAATGCAACATGTCTGAATCATGCCAGGCGGTGAGGGTTCACAGCATCATCCAATGACTCACTTTCTTGACGTAGCTCTCTACGCCTAACTTTCAAAAAAATACTGTTTTTCACAGTAAAATTGCTTATAACTTTTTATGGTGAAAAAAATTAGACAACAGAATAATTTTTACCTGTGGAAAGTCCTAAGTAAGGCATATTTAATTCTTGAAGTGGAATAGGTTCCCAAAAGTTGATATATAATTTTTCATCGATATTTTTCCCATCAGTTGGTTTCAGAATTTCATTTGAATTGATTTCAGAAACGGTCACGTTTTTACCAGATGTTATTGAAGATTGAACAGAAGAAGAAATAGATGATAATAGTCTGATTGTATTCGGTTAATGTTGATGGTTAACATGTCCATGTGTAGTGTTCCATGAATACTACCATTGACTGACTGAGATGAGTAAAAACTCAAGTCAGATGGTGATAAAATCTAAAAATAAAATAAGAATAGTGGAAAATCAGAGAATTCCACAATTAAACTAGCAACTAAAAATTACAATGAACCATTTTAGACTAAGATAAACCGGTAAACGATATTGTATTAAGAAAATATTTTAGTAAACAGGTAGATTTTTAGCAAGGTTCCAATGAAAATTTTTATCTGTGAAGAATATGGTGCAACAGAAGGAAGGTGAAGCTTCTTCAGAAAAAGAATAATCACTTTATCGATGTTTTGCCATGTACTCACTGGAAGTTTAAATGTTTATTTCAAGGGACTTAAGATCAAGGTCAAGTAATTCTTCCATTTTCAATAGATCATCAACCACAAAAAAGCACAGTTTGTTTTGATTACTGCATTTCTCAACTCATACACAAATTAAATTATGTATTTAATCAACTCTTAATTTCAGTAGCGGTTAATAAATTAGGTGAATAAGTTGCCCATTTTACGAACTTTAATGCTTCATTCATTCCAGTGAGACAAAACAGTTGGTAACTAAAAAATGATGAACGCTTCATCAACAACAAAAATATATTACCTTAACCCCGAGACAAAATAAGCTTATCAACTGTTTTAGATGAAATTTACAGCAAGATAACTAATCATCCCATGTATACTCTCTTATCCGGTCGACATCAGTCACCGAGTTACTTACGTCTTTAAAGTTATGTATCATATCCCTTCTAATTTCATTCATCCACCACGAGTACGTCTTTTACATACAGCAGAAGCCATCAGCATCTACCTGAACGAACTGAGTCTGTGTGTTCAGAAGAAATGCGTACAGCTCATCTCTTCGCCTTGACCATCTGTATAGCTTATCTGTAAAAAAACATCACCCTACTATTCACTTATTTCACAAACCTTTGGAATTATTATTATTATTACAGTCTTTAACTACTGTCAGCAAGTGACCGTTTGATATATTAATTCATTTTCTCTTACTATTATACAAACTATCAATTACACAACATGTTTGGAATTTCAAAAAATTTCCATGTAATTATTCTATACTTCAGCTACAGTTTCAACTCACGTAATGCTTGACGTAAGAGTACACTAATGATCATTTATTCCCTTGCACTTTTTCTTGTTAATATGTACTCATAAAACTGTAATGACGTTCAACAAATACGAACAAACTACACTTCTTATGATTGATAGAATGACAGCTGCTATCTTGACGTAGCAGACGCGATTGCCTATCACAATGATCAGATGAGCAAACCAGGTGGCTAAATCTATTCCTTGAGGTCCTGTCATGTAGGAAGATTCGATCAGGCAAAACACAGTTATCGTTCTGGTGTATATAGATCATACTATGATGAGGTTCAAAGGCGAGGTCGTATTGCTGGCTTGACAAGGCACGACAGCAGTAATGCATGATGGCGCTGCCTTCCATATCATGAGGTGCGGAAAGCGTCGATAACAAAAATAGCGACCCCCATCTTTTTTGTGGTTTTCCAGGGTCGGCAGTGTAGATTTTATAGCTGAATTCAATACAATCTAAGTGAAATGTCAAACGTCTATAAAGGCCATAGGCATGATCATCCTCAAATAGATATCCCTTCGGTGTTATCCATTTCACTTATATAGAGATTTGCACCAGCCAGAACGCGATGGTTGCTAACGAAATCGCAACTTCGATAAAAACATTCTTCTGAACATTTCTCGATTTACGACACTTCTGGGGCTGATAAGATATGTAATTAGATATCAAAGGATGACTGTATTGAACAGTAGTCCTTTCTGTCCTATTATGTGGCTGAGAAGTGGTAACTGAAAGTAGATGTGAAGAAGTTTCAGGTTTTCAAACACAGGCGTCTTCGCCACACCACTTACATATGGTGAAATCACCATGTGAGCAATATCGTGGTTAGGTGGCAGGTATCAGGCAAGGTAGCCAAATTATTCGATGAGTTTATGAAGCTTCGTCAACTTAGATAGCGTGAACAAGTGTTATGCGTGCTGAACCACCACATACCTCGACATGTGATATTAACCGAAGGAGGATTAGGTTGGAAGAACGCTCAAAGGCACCGAACTTAGATTTGACAGCAGTCGATGAAGTCTAATGACTGTTGTTCTGAGGTATAAAGGGAGGTGTAGACAGCCTGGATGAAATCCTCGAGAGAAAACGAAACAAAGGTAGACGAGTCTTTATTATGGCTGAAAATCGATTAAAATGGCGCAGATATATTCACATTTTGACATCTTCGAAATTTTGAGCATTTCCACTAACCTTCATTTGTTTATTCACTCTTTTTCTACAAGCTTTTTATACTTTGATGTCGCCATTTTTCCATTCACTTATTTTCTGCACGCTGAAGTAAAGTGTTGCAACTTAAAAACAGGCACTTCTGAGCGAGGTTCTGCGTTGATGTATTCGTTTGTGTCTATCTGACCAGCTTTTATTTAGGCAGCTGCTGATTACATACGAATGTAGACTTAAGAACATAAGAGATTAAACTCCAAAAAAGAGGCTTGAAGTCAACTATGGGTTAACAGAAATACTCCAGAAAGAAGTTTAACTCCATGTTTTGCAAACCAGATTAGAGTGAACAAAGCAGGCAACTGTCATTACGCTTGCTTATGATGAAGTGCACTTAGAAAGATTCAATGCAGAGATTAGACTCATTGTAAAAACCTGTATGTGATTAGTCAGCTGTGAAATACTTGTGTGTTTGCAGTTTAGTGAATAACTGATTTGTAGATTATATAAATTTTCTACATTAGAAAATGACTTTGGATAGGGATGAGCCTGTTAATGGAACACCTGTCGACATCTCAGCTAGATAGTCAATGAACTACTCATTTGTAGGAAATGGAGACAAACTGTACAATTCTTTATTATTTTGCAAACTGTTTACACATGTATGACTCAGAAGAGCATGAACTGATTTCACACTTGCTAATCATTCTTCTTCGATCTCCAATTACATTCAATTCTTGAAACCATTGACTTGATAGTAGTTTCTGATTGGTATTACTACAGAACTGACAAGAGTATTCTTGCCGTATTAAAACAAGTTCATAACTACAGGAGAGAACAACAACCGTCTGTTACTTCTAGAGCTAAAAACTTTGAGTGTGAATGTCTTATAAACAGACTTGATGACTGCGTCAGCGCTTATTTCTTGATGAAGCTGAATAAAAAATAAGAAACAAACATTTTGTGATAATATGCGACCCAATTCATTTCGATATTGCATTGATCTAGATTACGAAGCAACCGAAGCTCACTTGAAAGTTTCCCACGACTTCCCAATAGTTAATCAATTAGGCATCTGAATTATGTATACAGTTGATTGAGTAACAAAGAAGGTTAAGAATAAACTTACACTCATTATGAAACATACCTCCTTAGAAAATGTTCCACCAACTTTTTCATTGTAAGGGCAGGCGGCAACAGACAGACCATTGATTAAAGCGTTCATAACAATGACATCTTGCTGCATACTGTAGGTGAAGCTCAAGGCAGTCTGCAAAAATTAATGTTTAAAACAAGTGAGTTATGCTAATAAATGTATGATTTTAAAGAACTTTCTTGAGATGTTAGATTGTTCTACTGTTAGAAACGCTAATGTAAGAATTTATAATCAAGGCTGGATATCGTATTACGATAAAAGCTGGGAAATAATTTCGCAGTTTTTATCAACTAATCAGTATACCTAAGGAAATGAAAACTTTAAAAGGGCTTACAAACACTTGGATTGATCCCAGTGGGTAGAATAACTTTGTACAATTGAACATTGTCTTTATTAATGAGAACACAACCTCTTAGTTATGACAGTGTTACAAAATAAATATCAAAGCTGTGGGAACTTACAGAATAGTGAACAGACTTATAATAAACTATGGTCAAATATGCTGAAGAACAGATGATCATTTGCTGACCCAGATGCACTTCGAATAGTTTGAATTATAAGCCTAACAATGAAACATTCGGATTTAGCTAATAATCTAGAGGAAATTTTTTGTCCCATCTCTTTATCCAAAGCCCAGTGTTATATAAAGCAGTGAAAAATAAGATTCTAATATTTGGAATATTTAAGGAATAGATAATTTCGGCAAAACTTCTTTTATCGATATTCGAGTTAGATAAAAATGTCGTCGAATGATTATCCAATATGAGACAGAATTCATCCGTTTCAAGTTCGTCAGTCTAGTTAGGGAAGGAGTAAAAAAGTTTAATCTGTAGAGAGTATTATGACATTTCTCATTGATGCTTAATTATTATTTACAAAGTAATCACTGACCATCGTGAACATGAAGATGAGGAAACGAGTAACCAGTATTCATCAAAGCGAAAAGAGGTGCATACACTGGCTGGACCGATGAAAAGACCCTAGAAGATTTCGACTTCACCAACGATGATCATTTATGTCTGATATCTTATGTCGCAGAAAATCGAAGGTCTACAGGCGAAAACCAACACGTTGGCACAAGGACGAGGCAGAGAAAACGGCACTTCAGTTAATCATAGAGAAGACAGAGGTAATAAAGATACCCAATCAACAAAAACAACAACAACAAGCACTAATCACCGTCAACCGGAGAAACATAAGGGAAGTTATCTCTTTCACCTACCTCCTCAACTATCTAGGCAGCATCGTCTCAACTACAGGTGGCACAGGCACAGATGACGACGCCAAAGTCGGCATCGGAAAGACGGAAAGACAGGTCTTCCTTCATCATTCTGAAATCAGTGTGGAGATCTACTGCACTGCACCCACCATAAAGCGTGAACAACATCAGGATTTTCAACAATTATTCAGTCAAGTAAGTCAGTGCTTCCACGTGATGGTTGAGAGAATTGGCGTATTACGGAAAGCATTTCCAACAAACTATAGACATTCATCAACAGCTGCCACCTACGCTCACTCGATACTGAAGATCAGATAGATGACCAGAATAATGAGAATAAGCAACGAGGAACTCTAGCTGACTGGCAACAAACCAATCAACAACCCATCGCCCAACAAATATGCAGAAGGAAGTGGAGATGGATTGGAATGGACATACACTGAGAAGACCATTTGAGGACATCATGCACCAGGCCAAGCCATCTAGTGGAACCCAAAGTGGAGACGACAGGTTGGGCGTCCGAGGTGAGGGTGACATGGAGGAGATCATGTGAGAAAGAAATGAATGCTTGTGGGTAGTCATGGAGCCAGGTTTAAAACACTGCGGAGAACAGAGTGAAATGGAGATGTGCTACTGAAGCCCTATGTACGACTACGAACACAAGGGACAAATAGTAAAAAAGTATTCATGAAAGGATAACTTACGCAATCCACATATACCAAAGAGCATATGAACCCAAAATTATCAAAAATACAATACAGAAGGTTAGGTTATACTTTAAATGTTATACTCACCGTAAGTTTGAGTGCATTGCTATCTACATTGTAGATATCCTCCACAAGAACAAGTTCAGGATTAGCTATTTGAACCTTCAATTCCAAGCTATAGGGATAGGTGGTTGGCAACTGTTCAGTTTTAGGTCGTTCTAGGGATTCAGTAAAATAAATTTATAATAAATTACAACTGTCAGAGTATATGGCTAGCTTTTTCTTACGATTCACGTATAAATATCCCCGGGATGTGAGAAAAAACGTATTTTTTCGTCAACACTAATGCTATATAGGATTAAATGAAAGTTATAGCACAAGGGTACATTTTTTTTGTAACACCCAGAAGTACATCAGGCAATCAAAAGAAAGCCCCAATAATCAAATACAACGAAGAAACCAGCATAAAAGTGTATCCATTCAACTGGCTAGAAGTGATGAAACACATACGTACTGCTATAAACAGTATTTATGAGTAAAAGTAATTGGAATTGCACACTTGCTACAAGATCGCACACAAGAAAGAAAGTCACACATCGTGACAACATCAAACAAAAAATTCTTGTTTTCTAGAGATTTGTATCATTTTTAGTTTTAACACAGTTTAATAACGAATTGTATGGACAAGTAGATGAGGTTGCAATGAACTCTCCACTTAGTCCTATGCTAGCTGGTATATTTTTGGTCAAACTTGAAAACACCCCACTTAAGGACGCACTTGATAAATTAGAAAATTTTATTCGGTATACAAAGGACACGTTCATCATTTGTAACAATAACTCTAACAAAGATCTTTTGAATACTTTCAGTGATGTCCACCTAGCTATGAAGTTCACTTAAGAAAAAGAACAGGGGAATAGTATTTCTTTCCCAGATATCCTCCTCACCAGGAAGACGGGTGGATATATTAAGAATATTTTTAAAGCAACATATGGACTAGTCGATTTTATAGCTTCACATCAACTCAATGTAAAAGAAACCCGGTCAAATGTCCGAATAACAGGATAAGAAACTTATATTCTAATGACCGTAATGAAGAAGAAATGAATAAGCTAAAGATAACATTGGAGTAAAATGTTTATCCACTTAACGTTAGTCAGATGGAGGCAATTGATAGGAAGCCATCTACCTAGGTTTAGTGCTTGTTGGCGCCCGTCAGCAAGGCGTATCTGAAACCCCAATGGAACTGATAGTCCACCTGAGATTCGAACCCGCGTCACCCAGTGTCGTAGTCTCAGGCGGGCTATCAGTTCCATTGGAGTTTTAGATAAGCCTTGCTGATGAGTACCAACAAGCACAAAACCTAGGTCCAGGGCTTCCTACTGACTGCCTTCATCCAACTAACATCTAACAAAGTGTATCGTGACGCTGAACTGCCTAGTCTGGTGGCACGTGGCAAAATGATCGATAGAATTCGATCAGCACTTAGGACCAGACAACATGAAGTTGGTTACCTTCCAGTGACCAATCAATGTTATCCACAAAACTTCATAAATAAATGCATGCTGAGACGTAGAGAGAATAAAGAGAGATAAAATTGTGAAGAAGCCTTTATATCTTGAAATGATATTGCTTCAGATACCTTAACTGGCTGACTGAGTAGATCAGTCGAAAGAAACATTTCGTCAACTTCTCAACTAAACCACTACTGATACAGGGAAACAAGGACAAGTTACCAATGATGACCACTTCAATGTGCATTTATGAGTTCAACTGCTCCTGTGCAGCTAACTACATAGATCGCACTAAAAGCGCTCTATCCACGCGCGTTCGTGAACATACACCAGCTTCGTTAGGTAAAGGAATGACAAAGTGCATAAACAGTGCACTCCGTTCTCATTTATGAGATATTGGACATCAAATCAGGGTAGATCACGCCTTTTCTGTGATATATCGAGTACCTTGCAGTCTCTCCAAAGGGGCACGACTACACCTCTTATCCATAGACGAAGCCATAGGTATCAACATAAGAAATATGTGCATCCACTTTTTTTGTATTGGCCAATAATAGGATCAACACGTTCTTTATGGACTTTTCTACCACAAAAATTTCACATTTTGACCACCCACCCCTTTCTTTTACTTCATCTCTCATTTTCTTATGCTACGTTTAACGCACTTGTTTATTCATACCATTACCAGTAAGCATTTTCTAGCATTAAGTAACACTCCACAATTGTTATTTCCCGATTTGCATTTACAAGATTTTTCACCCTACTCTCTCAATAATGAATATATGACCCTTCCTAAACACACACACACACACACACACACACATACACACATTCGTACCCCAGATAAATGAATCATGATCTCTAAATTTTGTCTCCTTATATATTGACTGTTTTATCCATGTGGGTTTCATTGCACAACTAACATACTGAGCTGATTACTGTTTCGCCTGGTAAAAACTGATGTCCATTAGATTTGATTTCCACTATCCCATAACACTGGCCTTTTCGATACTGAGATAATTTTACACTATGCCTTACTTAGGTTATTGTATTTCACCTATTCTCATGGATTTGTAACTCTGGAGCCTGAAGAAGTTTTTGAAAACAATTGGTGGCTCAAACTATTCTTGTTTCCAAACTGCCACATGCGATACTAACTTCCAGATAATCGCGAATAACTGATGAATAACAAAAAGGGTAGAAGAAATACATCTGAAAGTGGATAATTGTCAGAAATCGTTTCCAAAAACAATGTGTCCATACTATCAGGAACATCAACATAAAGTATTGCAAAAGGAGTACTCACTTATTTTTGTAGACGATGCATTATTTGGACGTTTCTGTTTCCCTTTATCAGTAATTGAGTTCGAGTCATTTAATTCCTTTTTAGAAGTTGGTGTACTTTGTAGTTGGAAATCTGCCAGAGACATCAGGTAGTCCATTGAGGCACATAAATAGATACTACGCAGACTGATTCCAACTGGTAAAAAACATCAAAGGAAATACATGAGGAGTGAAAAACATCGATCTAAGTTTAGAGTGAAGCATCAATAGGACGACACAAAGTATATCTTGACAAAAATATGAATCTCCTAGCTTGATGAAAAATTACAAGATTATCGACAGAGTTCGATGAAAGATTATGACAAAATAACATGGATGAGACTGGTCGCTTCCTATGACTAATCAATGTATGAGACCAACTTCTACAGCAGGTCAATCACGTTATGACCAGCTCAGTCGTAAAATATCCGACTACTGTACTCAGTGACACGGGTCAAGATACCTGACGGACTATAAGTTCTTTTGCGGTTCCAGATACACCTCAAAAAGCACGAAATCTAGGTTCGAGGACTTCTCGTGAACCTAAACCGATCACCTGGAGTGCATCATGATGACTCTTTCAGTTTCACTGGGGAATGATACATGAAATTCTATCAGTTTTTAGGACTAGACTTCATGAAATTAGCCAAATTATGGTGACCAGTAAATCTATTTTAACAACTGAATTCAGTCTTCATAATCACCTATGTCAGTCAAACAAATAAACATAAATTTCGTTAAAAAAAACTGTCAAGACTCACGGTAGCATACAGAGAAGAATTGAAAAGAAAAGTAATGACAACAAAGTGATAAAAACTGTATGAGGAGAGATAATGAAATAGTGAAAGTTAGCATAAAATTAAGATCCTGAAGATTACAAAGAGCATATATAAGTTGACCATTGCAACTGAATCTGAGATATTCCAAAGAGTCTTCAACCAGTGATTTGTAACATCTCAATGGTTTTAAACAAGCAGTCTACACCTCCCTACACAACTCAAATCAATAGTCAGAGAATTCATGAATTCTTACAACGTCTTGGTTTGGCCATACTCAGTTTTCTTCCAACCTAATTTTACTTTGCTTAGCATAATACATTGATTTGCCATTAGCTGACATCCTAAAAGAATCGCCATTACACCATTAGTATAGTCGTCTAGTAACTTCTACAGTGTGGGCAATCTGGAAGTATCAACGGTACTCACAACTCTGTCAGTCCTGAAGTTCTCTCAGATCACTATCCACCTTCCATTATTTCCTTACCTACAAATCTTCATTTAACCTCACCTGGCCAATATAGTGAATCTACGAAATTCACCGTTCGAGCATTTGGAAATTCGATGACTACTTTTCGTTGTCTTGGAGGTGTGCGCATTGCACTAACTGCTAATGCGAAGAATTATCTGTGCTTAACTGAATCCCAGTTGACAGTTGCCAATATGCTATTCAAGTGAATGACAGAGTGAGGACAAAAAAGAATACTGAAATTTGCCATTGTCTCTTTTTTACCTCTTCTTACGTACTCACTGACTGCAGTTTGGATGAAGTGGAGGATGACTTTTATGAAAAACTGTCTAATCTTCTGCTGAAAGCTACGTGCTCAGATGTAACTGTTGTTGCAGGTGATTTTAATGTACAAGTGGGTTGACTAAGCAAGGCAGAAAGGCATTTAGGTGGCACTGTTTGTATTGCAGTCCCAAACAAGACGAATAGTGAGTCCTGGATTCAGCTCAGGACTGTTAGTCACCAAGATGAACACAACAAAATATTACTGATTAGAAGGAAACAGTTATCTTCTTTGAACACTATACACTCTTAGTTGTACACATCATCTACAATATTTTTGTAGGAAAGTAAACCTTTTCGAGATATATGAAACCAGTTCCAAATATACCAAAAACATTGTCTCCAAAGGATAAATGATATATCAAGATTGAGTGAATTTTGAGTTAAGACTGAATATCAGTAATATAAAGTAAGTGATATTTGTATTTACTTTTTTTATTCAACGAAGCATCTTGTTTGAATTCAACATAAATCAACTCGTCATGATGATTATCATCTGTATCAGGATGATCTAAAATCCTGTATAGAAGAGAGAGAAAAATATATATAACGAGTGAATAAAAGTATACATGAATTTCGAGCAAATATTTTGCATCAACATCAGTCAGCTAGAAGACAGGTAGACAATAAGATATCACAAGTAAATAGGTTAAACTTAGTTATACAAAATAAACATTTTAAATGATAAAACAACTCAAAAAGAAAAATAAAGGGGAATGAAGACACACTGTTTAGAGGAAATAGTAGCTTTTATGTATGTTTGGTGGAGAAGGATTAGGTAGGTTGTTGAAGCTATTAGTTACGCAGGATAAAATATAGAATATGCATCAAGAACCAGAAAATACATTTTTCTTTTCGATAATCAGAAACAGATAATGCTTCAGCGAGACATAGTAAATGATAGATGAATTCGCTTTTATTTAAACACTTTTTGTGATCAAATAATTGAAAGAAATTGCTGTTCACGTTACAGTTACAGAGATTATCTGAAAGAAGAGTGACCAAATTCAATTCATGTCCTAGAAAGTCACAATACTATCCAATATGAGAAACTGACGTTTCAAAGCACTCAAATTTACCGTGCAAACTACACACAAGCCTTATTTTATGCATAATCAAATGTATGTTAGTGTGAACTATGATCAAGATTTGATTGAACAGTATCGCAAATATTGGGGGATGAATAAAAAGTTGACATTGGATACAGTTTGTATTTGTGTAAGTCACAGCGTGTTTAAAATCAAATAATCCCAACGTTTCGCAGGGAAATCTCGTCCGAGCAAATGCCAAATATACACAGTTTAGCAATGGTCTGTTTTTTTCAACAAGGAATATTCTAAGCGTTCCACGTAGTTGTGTACTTTTTGCAACTCACATAATACTAAAACCGATTAACTTTAAACTCTGAAGAGTCCCATTAGCAGAAAACAATGTAGTTTAGGTAAAATTGACAAGAGTAATGCTCAAATGATAAAAACACTGGATCAATACTTTGTTTTGAACAAAAGTACAAATCATCTTTTGATAGCAGGCAGAAACCAACTGTCTACAAAAATAAAAGTAGAGTAGAAAGGTAGACAAAGTGAATACTGATGAGTGAAAAAGGACCACAGTTGTGAGTACTATTGATATGATGATAATTAATAGCCGATTGCGACAACAAATTGTTACATTTTTACAGGTTTCAAGTATCAACGCAGGTGCTTAACAGTTGAGAAGGTCTATTGTACTGCATACTTGCATATGACTTGCTAATTAGATATTGTGTAGCGCTACAAATATAGTAATGCAATAAATAGTATGTTTAAGATTTACAAACTGAATTTACACGTCTTCATATCTCCTACTATAAAACTGAGGTGAGCTTTATCCACGTGATACTGCATCCCTGTCACTGTCTGCCCTCCAAAAAGATAATCAAGAAACACTTGATGCATCTATTCGTGAGAATCAATCAGAGGATGAACGGTTATCCATGTGAAGACTGTATAACTGCGACTACTTAAATACTTAGGAAAAATATTCTACACGATTTATCATGTTTTTAATTCACGTTACTGCAAACAGCCAACACAAGTGTCAGCCACCAGTATGATTGAGTTCCAAAACCAGTCGAAGGGTGGAAATGTGACTACTACAACCCGCCCAGTTCTGAAGAGTGTTAGTTGTTCTCAACACCCAGTTAGGTGTCGGACGAAGATGGATCGCAAGATATTGGATATGATGTTAGTCCAACTGAGCCCCTCTGTCCACATAAAGAAGACCTCATTTCCTTTTCGATAAAAAGAATAAAAAACCACTCAGACAAGCTGGATAGGATTATCCCTGATTATAATAGACTAGGTAGTAGCTACGTTACTCTACTCAGTGATTATCCACCTACAACCTTAAAAGCTTCAGGTGGCAAATCGTGAGGCTATCCTAATTGGCAACAATTCAGTTCTAAAACAGTCTTCTCGACTTCGAAGAGATATGAAGGACCGACGTCTACGCCCCGTTTAAGTTTGAGATGGATGTCACTGAGCTGAATCGTTGTGAGCCACTTCGACTCTTTCGCAAAATGTTCGACCCAATGTTCCAGCCGCCTGAATAACTGTCACGGAACCATTCTATTTGGTGATGACATCACTACCCATCGTTCTCCTCTAGTAAGTATTCTTATTAAGGCTGGATAATTACCTAATATAGCCTAATGCCTTGTTCGTCTGCTTCACGATAACCACGAATAGATATCTATGAGCAACACACTATTTACAAGGTCATGGAGATCAGATCAGTTAGGCAGCACACTGCTAGCTGTCAGCCTGGATTCACTTGGGAAGTATGCCTTCTGCTTTACAACAAAATGCTACGCCTATGCCAGCAAGCTCACAAGAGTTATTTACCGTATCTGAGGACAATTTTAAAGCAAATTTTGTGGATTAACCACACTGGCTAGGTGAAGTCAAGTGAACAACCAGGCTTCTTCCCCGTATGCGCGTCTGAGAAACCCAGCATTCATCCGCGACACGGAATTCTTGTGTTTTAGCAAGAGATACCTGTTGTCATATTCGGAGGTTGCAAGATCCAGTGTAAAATTGACATGGTAGTTATAGGATATAAGGAATAGTGCTTTGCTGGCTTAGATTGCTTCTAATAGTCACAAAATCAGGATTTGTGTGGACTGTAAGATACCTATTGTTGTTATGATGAAGTGAAGGGAAGAGTAGCGACGCAGATAAGGAGGATGAGTTATGGGTAGCTGACTTCTATAGATAATTGGAAGTGTGTAGGTGGTTGGTACACCCACCTAGCCTCACCGCGGTAGCTGTTTCGGCACGGTACGTGAAAAAGAGAAGAGGTTAGCAATAGTTGTGCGTGACCGATCGCAAAGCCCAACAGACATCTGCTGGAATACAGTTACACATAAACAATCTTTTCGGAAGTTTGACATTTAGCTTTGGTTGCGTAGAATCCATCCAGAAAACCCAATAATCGCGATAGCGGGAGAAAGGTCGGTGTTTTCTACTGAGACAGATGGTATTATCAGCATCGACTACTGTCGGTTGGTCACCTTATTCTTGTTTCACTCCGTCGAGTCAGCAGTACAACTTTTCTGCCAGATCCTGATCATAGGAGTGACATACATACGAGCAACATATATGCAGCAAACCACATTAACTATCTAAGCAAAATGAAAACATATATTCTGTAAAAAATCGAACGTCAATGCGAGAAAGTCCTGATGAAATCAAACGAAAAATGCATTCTCTTGCTAACTTTTTAGATAGTGTTAAGTGTTCTAACCACGTATAAACAACAATATCGATGATATGTGAAAAGTGTCAATAGAATGACTGAGTCGAAAACATTTTCACATAGTCACATAAGTGAAGTTTGTATGAAAATTATGGAACTATCAGATGACATATTATTGAAATTTTTCTTATAGTCTAGTCTCAACATAATTTCGGTGTTTTACGCATGTAAACAAGCATGATGAAAACAAAACACTTGAAACATTTATTTAGACAATCACGTGAATGCGAGTAATACTTAAAACGAATCAAAGTATAATTGGTTCCAAAACAGGACAGGAATCAGTTCTTGGGATCAATTATCACTTGACGTTTTAAAGTATTATTTTTCATGACAAAAGATTCATAAAGTATCTTTCGCGTTTACAAAAAGTAGTATGTTTTATATTCAGTTTAGATATCTTATTTACTTGAAAAAAATTCCAGGCAATTATTCACAAGGGCTTCATGAAGATTGATCTAATGGTATCCCATTACAAATTTCGGCAGAATACGATCGTTAATAAATCAAATTAAAAACCAGCTAGCTTGGAAATTATACAAATGAGTGAGGCTAAAAGTTATCTCCAGGTGTTCTGTGTGAAAATACATATTTTTCTGTGTTTTGTGAGCATATACTTTGAAGCGAAAACTGCAATAATAAATCCTTTTTGATATAATTTGAAGTTCAATTTCACTTACTCTGATTTGGGAGCATCATTCTTCATAAAATAAATGTACTCACATCCCAACTGGAAAATGAAAGTGCAACCAATACTTTGCACATGAATAAAAAGCATGGAACATGATTCAATGATGCAGGGTGTTTTAAAAACTATACAAGTGGGTAAAATATACATACGGCATACAGAAAATACGCAAATTTGCGCATAGAGCGCTATATCCCATAACAGGCACAATAATACCCAGGGATAACTTTTAGCCTCACCCCTGTCTCATTCTTCTCCGATTTGAGTTTTCGGAGACTCAATAGATATCAATAAAACTAGGCTAGAAAGTAATCACTAATTCGATCAGATTGCACACCTTGAGTTTGACCAATCAATTATACACATAATTCAATTGGGCATCTACTGATTCACTGTACAGATTACCATAAAGTTGCGATTTTCACTTAAAGATAAATGAAAACTTCACGTATATTGAGATTATCACTGAATGTCTGATAGATATAACAATAAGACAATCAAACATTAAGCAACAATAACATTTAGGTGTATCAGAAGTACCAAGCAATTCGGAAATTATTTGTTCTCAAAGCTTTTTTATCTCGTTGTTGAAGTTTCATAATCAGGCTTGATGACAACAACAGCAATAGATTCACAGTGAAGTTGGAGGTGTTAGCAAGTTATATGAATATTTAATTAACACAGTCAGAGCTCAGAGAATATCTAAGAATTTCCCTCTTCAGCCTTAACCAACAAATCTGAGTTATCCGTTAAAGGAAATCTGATCCAAAGGAAAACTGAATATTATGCGTCTGAATCGCCTCAGAAATACCATACTATTTTCTAGCAGAAGTGAATATGACGCAATGAAATTCGAGTGACGAATAGGTGTGAGTGAACTGGTGATGGAATTCAAAAATCGAATAAGACTCAATTTTTGTACGAACCTCGTGACTTTCCATCCATCGCTAGATGGCAAAGAAAGTTAATGTTATTTACTCAGCTGCACAGAAGTGTACGAAAAGTTCGTTTGAAGTGGTCTATGCAGCATCAGGAATCTAGGCTTGACAACCTTTGGTAAAGAGATGAACTTGAAAAGTAATTAACAAAAACTACACATCAACTTATACTGAGTTGTAGAGCAATTCGATCCGATAAGAGTGCTTATGTACTGGGTGGTGAGCCACACCTATTGTATGAAAGCTTATTATACTACCCGGTTGTGCAGGTGGACGAAGATGGAGCGGAATATGAACGCAGGATTTACTACTTAGAAGTCAAGTGCTTAAGGTAACCGAACGAACAAATTAGATTGATTTTATGTGTCATTTTATATTGGTACACGGCACCTCAATATTAGAACTGCTGCAATAGCCACAATAATATTTTTTTTGAAGGTAAACAAAAATATGAAATAAAACTTCTAAATAAAATGAGTAGACGGAGCTGTTAAATAATAGTGGCGTTAAATACGAGCTATGGGATTATAAAAATCATATATCAATCAACAAAAACACCAATACATTCTCCACCCTTCACATACATGTACACCAAAACAGATAAATAAACATTTAGATAAAGTTTTATGAAACAGACTTAGACTCAATGGTGCACAATGTGAAAAAATGAAGCATACTAAAAGGCATGCTAATAAATGAATGAAGAATGGAGGTAGCATGACATTATTGAATAGAATATAAATGACTAGATGAAGTTGTTTTTTTTTTCAGAAAAATGTTTTATTCAAAGCACTCACCTTAATATTTGACCTCTGAAAATTAAAAAAAAGTACAACAATAAAAAATGATTATTCAGAATGACTGTTAAAGTATTATATAGTGTAAGCACATTCTTAAACAAACTGCTCAAATAACTCAGTTAAAATAATACACGTATACCAGTGAAACATTCCAATGCATGTAGAAAACATACTGCTACAGACCAAACTGTTACAATGGTAAGCATCTCTCGTTGAGATTGCACCTCAACTACTTTCAAGGTTTAGTTAACCCCTAATGATGCTGGTATGATTAGTGATACTTAGCTTATCTGATTAAAGAGTTCAGTGTTAATTCAATCGGTTTGTATACACGACAGAATGAAGCCATAGATTACTGCATGTAAGAATAGAAAGTATTTAGATTTAACATATGATTTATGTATGAAATCCCATTACAATAAATATGTACAACTTGTAATGCTAACACCTTCTAAAAGAACAGAGATTACGATTGAAAGCATGAACCTTCTGCTTTATGCAGACATAAAAGAGTTCTCCTCATACTATAATCAACAAATACATCTCTTTCTTAAGTAAATTTAAATTCTGATTGGCACATGATAATCACCGAGTGTATAGATAGCACTGTGGAATATGAAATGAATTTGCAACCAGAAACAACCGAAACAGGTTGATAAAATACGATGTAGTTCAAAGATTTGGATTTTATTCGCAGTTAGTACGACTATCCCAGCTGTATGGGATTAGAGATTTAGGTAGCACAACAAAGTATATTAAAGCAGATGAATCTCCTAGTCCAATGAGTAAACCCGAATATAGCTGTTGGGTTACCGGGTAATTTGACATACACATACGTATGCATTTGACTTAATCTAATCCTTCGGCGAATGTACGTAAATCTATTAAATTACGTTAAAAAAATATATACTTCAGTTATCAATGTCAAATTATCAAATGGAAAGAAAAATTCTTACTTCGTTATTTGCTTGTCTGAGCCAGGTCGACTATCTTTCAACTTGATATCATGAAGTTTAGCAGTAATCTGAGAAGAAGAATCTAAGGCTATCTGACCAGATACACTGAATTGTGTAAGATCAACAATAGCTAGTTGTTTATCTTCTGGAAAACTACTGTTCCATTCACTCTACAAGTATAAAAAGAAATAATATGGATGTAGTGATAGCATACCTTGGAAAAATAAGGAACTATGAACTAGTGAGACAATGATGAAAATATGTGAAAGTGAATGTTCATTGAAGACTGATTTCATTCCCATTTGAAACTTTTCAACAGTAAGCATCTCTACTTTCTTGGTCCCATTACGGTATCATAAGTTATCGCGTAAGCTGAACGAGAAGTTCAGATAAATACTTCTCAACATCAACGAACAACAGACACAAATGAACTGATGCAATAAGAGACAGGGAGAGACGAGCATAGCAGAATATGGTGTAATTGTATAATGACCCAAGTAAGCACATTTTTGGAAAAAAACTATAGAAATGGAAGCAAAAAAGGAGCTAAATTAAAGAATGAAAATAGTATTGCTAATTGTTGTCGAAAACTGAGATCGAAGAAAAAAAAGAGTTATGATATTTAATATTAAGATAACATAGGTTGAAGAAACCTGTCGAAGCACTGGTTTTCCAACCATATAACCTTAAGTCTACAATCATCAGTTATGATCGCCTCAATAAACAAAACTCTAAATTCGTTGAAAACTGTTACGCAAGAAGTGTAGTTTTACTTCCACAAAATTCCCATTTGCATCCAGAAATCAAGTTAGTAGTGTTCTTAAAGCTGATGCAAAACTTGTATAATTTCTTGTGACATTTACATTCAACATCCTAAGGTTGCAGAATAATAAGTCATTTTCCTTGTCACACATACTTAAAAGAGAAACTGAATGTCGACACGTTACATGCGTGCACACTCAATAAAAAAGTAACATCTGTCAACTTGACGTAGTGATTAGGATTGCATACTACCGTAACCTAACAAGGTATATTGGACAATTGTTCCCTGGGGTCCCACCATAACAGAGAGGTCTGACGACTGGTGACAAGAAAACACACAGTTTACGTCGTAGAATAATTAGATAACTCTATAAGCAGGATGCGACAGAGAAGTCATACTGTTGCCTCGATGGAATGTGATAACAGTAAGATATTTCTCTTGAATAACCAACCGACAGTAGTCAGTACTGACGTTGTCATCCCTATCAGTAGTAGGTGTTAGAAAACATTGGCTTCACACAAACTCTACTCCTTCCTAACCTGCGCTCTTCCGGTGTCGGCGTTATGGGTTTCTAGCTAGATTCAATACAAACAAAGCTAAATGTCAAACTTCGAAAGAGGCAGATATCTGTAGGGTTCTGCAGTCCCGCACAGCTATTACTAGTCTATTCCCTCCATTGACCTTGAGAAAACACTTGCCATACGCTCCCAGCTGTATATAAAGGCGAGCTAACCATGACCTATTTTCCCTATTTATGAAGCACCAACTGCCTTCGGGTCACCAAAACAGCTCACACAAATTCTGATCTTGCGACCAGTACAAACAATCTTAGCCAGCAAAGCACTATTCCTTGTCTCATATATATGGTGCTATCTTTACATCGAAGCTTGCAACCTCCGAATACGGCAACATCCATCTCTTCCTGGAAAACAAGAATTCCGTGTCGTGGGTGGATACTGTTTCTGAGATGCGAATACAGGCACGAAGTTTGGTTGTTCGCTTGACTTCACCTAGCCAAGACGATAATTCCACAAAACTTGCTTAAACGTTGTCCGGAGATACGGTGACTAGCTCTTTTGAACTTGCTGGTATAGCAATTTACTGTAGAGCTGAAACAGCACTTCTCGAGTGGACACACGTTGACAGCGAACAATGCTCTATCCGACTGTACTGATCTGTAAGAACTAGAAAATAATGTGATACGCGTCGATGTCGATTGGCAGTTTCCGTGTATGCAATCACCAACTGGAGTTCAGACGATGCAAAGCGTGATTGCTTTGGAAAGTAGTTGACTTTACTGTATAAAGCAATATCTCCAAATGTAGTGACAGTAGCAGGCAACGTTAACTGCCGACTAGGAGTAGGGAAGCTGAGTCACAGCGAAAGATATCTTGGTGGTATCCACGGTATCCACTGCCTATGGGTCAATGACACTGATGCTCTAACAAACTTTCTCAGATAACCAATTGTTTCTGGTTGGCACCAACTTGAAAAATAAGGAAAGACACTATTTTTACTTGGTGTATGCTGACATCAAACTAACGATAGACATAGATAGATTTTATGCCTGTAAGCTATTGTTGGAGGGGATCAGTTGATAACTGTCGATTCTTGCGTAGCACCTGCTTGGATCCGGACCTCACATTACTTTGAATAAGTGTCTGTTAAGGTTAATAATAAACACAGAAAAGAATCAGCAGGGAAACCTCTGTGAACCGAACTAGAAGATAACAACGTCAAATATGTATTCGACCATGAGATAGTTAAGCACTTATCTGAGTTTCGCAGAGATTCTCATCTTAATGTGTCGTAAAATATTCAGTCTGCTGTATTAAACACCAGTTGGTTTCCACCACCGCACCCGAAGTAACTGACGCAAGAACTCATTCCAACTGATCACGATGAAGAGAAAAAGCAGCTGAAACGTAAACTGTCTGGGAGTTTTCATAATGATCGTGAACAGTGGTAAATGGTGAAAGCGATGGGTATGGGCAGAGTATCAGCACTAGATAACACTCGGCAATTTTTTATGCTGTTTGAGAAAACTAGTAGGAAAAAGGACCGCTGTACAGGATGGGTTCTTGATAACTTCTCCAGACAAGCGGCTAGAAGGTTGGACGGAATACTTTGAAGAATATTTCGACTGGCGTACAGGTACGCTTCAATTGTCCAGCATCTAGCTCGAACCGCAATGCGACATAGATGTTAGTTCTCCAACACACCCCTAAGTTGAGATAGCTGTTTTAAACCTGAATCTGTGCAAATTAGTAAAACCTGATGAGTAGCCACGAAACATTTTTAAGGAAGCAGAAAAATTTTAAAAAAATAGTGATTAGAGTTTGGGGTGCCGAAATCAATCCATGCACTTATGTACCGCGTTCACAGTTGACTTGTTTATCCTTCTGTCTGCGTGATATAAGTACTAACAATAATCATTACAATTTACGAAGGCAGAAGCAGTGCTTTTCTATTATTTCTTACCAGGTGGATGTTACAATAAGTGAAAAGGATATTTTATCTTTAGGTAGTAAAAAAATAACTTTTAAGGCCAGTAGAAACCAAGTAAACATAATTATCATCTCTTGATTAACAGAAAAAAAAAGAAACTGCAAAACTGATTGCTAAGTCATTAATTTTCGTATAATTTCATGAAAAAGCAGTAGTAAAGTAATTAACTGAATGATCATCAGAAACAAACGGTTGTTTAAGGCAATAGAACCAAGTAGAGCCATGAACTGAAGGGTTAAATTCAACAATGGAGAATGAAGTGTGTTGACCACTTCAAACAATTGCATCGATTACAATTATTTTACTATTGACGACATTCAAGCTAGGTTGAGGAAGTTCGAGAACCTATAACCGAAATATGTGACCAGATAGCAGCTGAGGTATGAGTTTCTGGTGGAGAGATATGTTATATTCTAAATAGCAATCTTAAGACATGAACGTTGAGAGTGAATTCGCACTAAAAATCAAAGAGGGATTCGATCATTGATATTTTCGACAGCTGGTATGGTGAGAGAAATAAGCAAATCAATGCGTATACAAATCTGTGTTGATTGTTATGCACATTGAACACATCAAAATGTGATTTCATCTTAAGTGTGCTAGAAGATATCTATTGTCGATTGATTTGAAAATGGTACAAATAGATCGCGTTACCAACAATTAACTTCAGTTGAACAAGTGTACTGATTATTGTCTATAGACATGAAGAAGGAGCAGATCATTGTATACCTGAAACGACAGGAGACTCCATCTTCGAGGAAGTCTAACTATTCCTCAAACACAAATTGAGAAAAAGTTTGTATATTCTACGCTGGTATGAACATAATTCTGCATATGGAGTAAGCTGGAAAGGTACACTAGAACAATAAATTACAGATTTCATCAACTCATCATCATGTCACCTTTTACAGATAACAAATCAGGTATGAATTTGCAAAAAAGATTTTGCTCCATTAAAAATATACATAGATCACTAGCTATGGTTACCTTAAAGTATGTCTTAATTTCACTAAATTTCATGTTTTACATCCTATTAGAATCGTCATCAATAGAGAAATGCATTTAATTCATCACTCATCCGACAATAAACAATTCAACAAACCTTTGGTTGATCACCAGTGTACAATTTAAGAGTGATACTTTCCATTCCTAAGTTAAATCTGACTGCAGTTCTAACTAAGCCTTTGTTTTCAACAACTGGTTGAGGAGAGGTTTTATTATTAATATAAGGTTTTTGTGTTGACATCGATTCACCTCCATTAAGCTGTGCAGAATTCTGAACACTACTTGGTGTATGAGGAGAAGTAGAAGGATCTTTCGAAGAATCTGCAGACACAGTTGATGTCTTTTGGGATTTTACAGGTGGTGGTGACTCACTGAAATTATCAATTAGCACCTCTTGAACAATACGATAATCTCCTTGAGACATTGAAATCTACAATGTTAGAGGAATTGGAAAAATATAAATGGTAAAACATATCAAAGAACGATATCTCTGAATGTCAATAGTTGTGATAACGTAAAGACATAACGGTCATAACTAAATTCATCACAATAAAAAGCGTCACATAAAGTAGCATCGCTCACTGGATAAGCGGTAGAAATATCAAGGTTATATTTTGTCTACAACAGCTTATGTTCTAACGGTGATACAATCGACGCGGGGTTCTTACAGACCGGATACAATGGTGTGGAGCTATGGCTCACTGGATTAGAGAGCTGATTTCTCACCAGCGGGTCACGGGTTTGAACCCCACTCTACCTGACGACGTTTGAGTAGCCAGATAGTATCAGTAGCCTTTAACTCAATAGATGTGGCACAGTGTCTACCGCACGGATGTGCAAAAGGTGGTTGAATGCACTAGTTACTTTGCAAAAAAACACATGCACACTGAACGACAGCTATACAACTTATCCATTAGGACAGTTCATGATGGTGAAATGCAAAGCACAGCTTTGACTTGATTCACTGTAAATAAATTCATAACACACAAGGGATTTAAAACCAAACAAAATTATGGACAAATAAAACAATCAACTATAAAGGAGTGATAGTTGATTGGTTATTTTAGACGCAGAATATCATTATAGCGATCCTATGACTTTCTAAATCAAAAAGAAAAATGTTTCTATGAGATCTATTGTTTTCGCAAGCGCATCGTCAAACCAACCTAAAGAAAGGGTAGTCAATGTTGGATGGTTAAAAAAAATAATCAAGAAATCGTGGACCCAAGCTGAGTACTTGTTGGTACTCAACTACAAGAAGTACTTGAAAACTCAGTGGTAGTGATTCCGTTTGGGATACAGGAATAAACCTCGATCGCCTATGTGATCAAATGTCAACACCTACTCACTTTGATCATCTCTTAATGCTGCGCTAATTGACACCGAATTGAATCGTTAAGTATGTATATCCTTCCTCACCGTTAGTAATCTACTTCGCCAATGCATAACACAATGCATGAAATCAAAGTTTAGAGATCCCAGCCAACTGCCTATCCAGTACCAAACAAATTGTACCGTGAAATCAAGTCACTTAACACAAGGGATGTGGTTAGCACATACAATTAATTAAATACCGATTGATTACTATATAGTGACAGGCCAGATTTATTTAACTACGTCTAAATATACGCAATGTTCGAGGAGTAAGACTTTTCAGATATGTTCCTATGATGCTAATAACTGATTACAACTAAAGTGCTTTCAGTTTTCTCGATACATACGTGTCCGCTTACATTTGATAGATGGTTTTCTTAGGAGTCAATAACACTAGTCACTTAAGATGTGTATACATGTATATTGAATTGCAATGTTCAAGTAAACAAATTTAAATTAGTTTTAATTTTTAGATGACAACTGCATTTAGTTTGTCACCCATACACTCACATAAACTACTCGGTGATCTAGTTTTTATTGATGATCAATGGAGTTTAGTGTGCTGGTGTTAGATATTAAGATTCAGTTGGCAAGATGCTCTACACCGAGATTTCGAGCTTGTTGGCACTCATTAACAAGGCGTATCTGCAACAATGAGGAAACTGATATCCCCATCCAGTGGTTCAAGTCTGTGTCATTCAGTGCTTCAGTCAGGGACCTTAACACAAAGCTATTCACACCCCGACTAAATCCTCCCCTCTGTACGACTGAGTGACTTCTATAACCAGACACCATTGGATTACCGATGTAGCTATCTAGTCCCTAGTACTTAACAGCGACTGAAATTTAACGAACAAGTTCGCAATGTCAGCACTGAACTCGATGATAAGGCTTGAATGATCACTCTCACATAAAATAAGAAAAATTACAGTAAATCTATGTAGTGCAACTCATTTCAGAAGCGACAGGGACTTTCATACTCACCAGTGGACTTGTGGCCTATTGGTTTAGAAAGTTGGTTTTCAAACCAGTGGCTCACAGGTTCAAACAATGCTCCACCTAACGAATTTTGGATAGCCAGGTGGAATCATAAGCCCTCAAACAACAGGTATGGTTTATTGTCTACGGAACGAATGTGCAAAACTTTGCGGAATAGTTTTCGACTTCGATCTCATAGCCAGCAGAATAGAAACAATAAAAAAGACTAGAAAATCAGATTGGCTATCACCTGAAGAGTAATCAGTATGTACACTATTGAACCACATGCGGTGACTCCACTTTGACAACAAAGAAGCACCAGATAGGTCGGAGTATAAATCCAAATGTTGATGAAGAGATACCTTTCTGATGTGACCAAATAAGTATGAGCTAGGACTATTTTACCACTTATGTGCATAATAATGTGGAGTATAATAAATTATTAGATATGCAAAAAACAAAACCAACTTACACTAATTGCATTTAAACCACCGTTAACCAGCAAAATTGGTATTTCAGCAAAAATCTCAGGGTTGAGATTTCGACGCATTTTTAATTCAACATTAACCGGGAGTAAAACATGTTTTTCAGCTGTTACAGAATTCTCTGTAAGCATTATTCTTTTATAATTTTCATGTGTGAGAAAAATGGGAAAGGAAAAGAAATGAAAGGATAGAAAAAAAAGCATATTTATCAGTGAACAGATACAACATCATATGTGAACATGAATGGAACAAGAACGAAATTGAACTATTTGTCAGTTATATTGAACTGGAGATGATGTAACTTCAACGCATTCACATTGAATAACCAACTCAAACACTTACTTTTTTACATAAATATACTTAATATACAATCTTCTATGAGTCTTTACAGACGTATAGATAAATCTACCTCTGGAAAAATACAATAAGTTATATCACTACTCTTGTTAAATTAGTTTGATAATAATACCAGTAATAACAAAACTTTTATCAAACGAGTGGATGATAGATACTCACTAAAGTATATTTACCAAAATATGCATGCAACCACCTAACAATAGGTAATATATTGCCTGGGAGTTTTGACCAATTCATATGCCTGGAAAATTGCATCAGCCCTGGTGAGTCGGTGGCCAAGGGAATCTCCGACTTTTTTTCCAGCTTACACCATTAACTATGGTTTCGGCAAGATATTTGACCACTCATTAAGGGTCAATTGCCATGTTCAATTCTTCCCCGTGTCCTATTATATACTTATGAAATATGAGTGGCAGCGGACCCGTGTGTCATGGAAAATACTTGTTAAGCAAACGGTTGCAGGTTAGAGAGGTAAGTCAGTTGGTGAGGTCTTGAGTCTTCATCGAATGAGTTAAGTTGAAAAACTACCAAGCACAGCTAGATGAAAAAGTGGCATCAACCTGAGTCATGTAAAGGAATGTTGGCTTTCAAATTACAGTCACAGCGACATCTGAAGCTAATAGTTTGAGACTCTGGGTGACAGAGATCAAAATCGACCACAATGAGACAGATTCATCTAGGCCTCATCTTAATTTTAACCACTATATTATATTTCGTTGTTTGCTGCGATCCTATTTTTAGATTTAAGGCTTTCTATGACTTTTGATCATATCATTTTTTATTTCTGTTTTCTACCTTGATATAGTAATGTGAGGTGCAGCAACTTGGACGGCTAAGCAGAACTATTAGGCCCTAATATTGATACTGTCTGATTAGAACGTGTATTTCATAAGAGGTGCTTACAGACAGAGGTGACATCTACTGATCACAGTAAGGGATCAATTATAAACGTCACAGTCGATAATGAAAAGACAGAGTGATTGTTTAAGTTGAAAATCTCCACTATTTTTAAAAGTTCAAAAAACAAACATGTATTTCGACGATACATATGAAAAATTCTACCTTGAGATAAAGGAACTAATACTGCTGATTTGTTGAATATCAGTTAAGCATTGGATGAATACACATGACTATTTGTTATTAATATAGGGGTTCCTTGGAAGAACAAGACAAAATTGTATCCTTAATAACTTTAAGCAAGTAGTTATTTCAGCTAACTTTTGTGATTTTTTGTAATTTTCAGTCGTGAATCAGTATTACTACAGAAGTGAACAAATAGTCATCAATGAAATTCTTAGTTACTGACCACACAGTTAAGATTCATGTACTTCAATATGCTACAATAAGGACTTCTGAATTTGAAGGTATACTGGCCAACAGATGTATAAACACACATTATCCTCATCCTAACCTCTATGCTTAGTCTCGTCATTTTCTGCAGTTAGTAAAACCATCATCCATTAACGTCATATTTGAAATGGTTTTATCGTTTAAACACATACAGACATACGCGGGAATTGAAAGCAAATTATAAAACGCAAAAGTGGCTGAATGAAAACTTCTGAATTCATTCAGGAAAGTCATCACTAAACAAGTTCAAAAAAGGCGAGTTTACCTTGATAATCTTAGGTTTTCTAATTTGACTACCATATGTTCTAACATGATCCCTGGTTCAGGAACTAGAGTTTGAGTATCAGGTAACTGACTTGAAGAATGCATAAATTCAAAATGGTTCGTCAATGTGATACGACCAAAATCAAGCATTAGAGATACATCTGACAATGAGTGTTGCGGAATATATATAACTGGAGCTTGAGCAATGATATCTAAACTTAGACGCGTTTGTAACGAGTTATCAACAGCTTGCTGGACCTGAGAGGTAGAAATGCAAGTTAGTGATGAAGAAAAACAAAAAATACTTTTATATCAATAAATAAAAGGGTAAATTTGTAGACACCAGTAAGCAGATCGATAAAGGTTTATCAATATGATCAGGATTCATGACTGGTAGAGTTAAGTACTGCTGGAATTTTTCGCAACTGTTATCGAGAACACCTAGTAATTGTGAGCTAACACTATAAGTCAGATATCCGGATAACAACAAATTATTGCAATTTATATAACAAACAACTATACGGTTTTCACTAGAGTAGCAAAGCGAAAACAGTTGTTAGTAAGTGATGTGAAAATGGTAACTTCTATTGAAGTATCTTAGTTTCGTGTTTTTAAGTGTCCATAACGCTATGAATCTGCTGTTTTACGTACTGCAAAAAATGGAACTGAAGTAGTGGACAGTGAAGAGCTTTTTATAATTCATAGATCAAAAACGCTCAAACAAATTAAATATTGATTATTTGGAACTCAGACGGATAGTCTGGATTTGAAGCTTTGAGGTACATTGAACAATCATTTTCAATTTAAAAAATAAGGGTTTATTAAGCCCCAAATAGATATACCAGGAATCAAAAACCTGAAACAGTATACTTTCACGCTGCATCCGGTTAAATAATTGATAAAACGCCCACTATTGCATTGGAGAATTTCTAACATATGGTAAAGCATGGCTTTAATTAAACCTTTTAGGACAATAATTCTTTCGAAATTAGCTGACTTACAGTTGACGAAAGGTAACCTTTTCAACATTGCAAACATCTGGTCACCTGTCACTATGATTATATAAGAAACGTTTTCCCGTATATACCCGAAAATAGAAAGGATGTCATTTGGTAACAAATTCAGTTAATGAATAGGATTACATTTTAAGAGAAAATCATGATATCACTAACTTGATGAACAGCTGCATCAGAAAAGGCTTGAACTTTATTTAGCATAACATGAGCGGCATCCTGGTAGGCTTGCATAAAATTCTGCAATTAATATGATGTAAGTAAACGAAAATTACATTGAAACCGACAATTATCAGTTTAGAAAAGTAAAAAAAATAAATAATGCATGGAGAGGAATGGAATATGGGTTGGTACCTCCGGTTAGTAAAACCATCATCCATTAACGTCATATTTGAAATGGTTTTATCGTTTAAACACATACAGACATACGCGGGAATTGAAAGCAAATTATAAAACGCAAAAGTGGCTGAATGAAAACTAAGCAATAAAAAAAATAAGATATGCTGTAAATGATTTTGTTTTTAACAGTGTTCACTCCAATGTTCTTTCTGTAACAATGACTCAAATAAAAGTCCTCTGAGGTCCCTGTTTACAGCATTTTACCGTCTGGTGTGTGTAAAAAAGAACATTAGAAAAACCATTCCTAAATACCTCAAACTAACAATCGACAACTGATCTAGGTACGACTAAATCAAGTTTTAGGTCAAATCTGACTCCCTGAAGACATGACAGTAAGTTAGTATCAGTAGCTTTTACTTGACAGTTGTAGTTCGAAGCCTAGCATCATCATCAAGATCAACATAGGACGAGGCATTACTGTGTAACGGTCCAAGTTGCTACATCTTACATCAAGTAACAAGGCAGTAAAACAGAAGATGAATAGAGAGAGAAAAATCAGTCAATAGAGGTAGGAAGTAGTAAAAGAGAGGAAGGAGAAAATGATGAGACTAAGCATAAAGGTTAGGATGAGGATAATGTGTGTTTATACATCTGCGCCACTGACATCAGTCCCGAGTCATATCACTTAGAGTCTCCAACCACTGGTTTCTCTTGTCCCCCAGACCCCAACCGTCTAGTCAGCATCGCCCTACATGGCTCAAACCAATAGTCAAGGACTTCATGCACTGATGCTATGTTTTAGTCTGCTGGCCCACAGCCTTTTCCCGACCCGAACTTACTTCGACCAACATTGTGTGACGAGGCAGATCGTGGCTAGGCATACATAACACATTTCCCAACCAACCATCTCAGTTGATAAAAGTTTACAACCGCATCAACTGAGTAACCTCTCCTGCCTGAAACTCTCCGCCTGACTCCTGCGTTACTCACGTAGTGACACCACGAAACACGGCCTATGCTACGAAGGCAGCTGCGGTCAAATACCTAAAGCCTTCTGTCTCCAACCTTTAATGCTATCTGTCTGGTTTTCTCTGGCTTGCTGTTCCCGAGCTCCACTCAGGCGTCTAACGATTATAGAGCGTAGAATCTTAGACAATATGTTTGTTAGGGTGATTCCTCTGTGGTTATTACAAGAGGACTTCCCGCCTTTTTTGAAGACTGGGGTGATCAGTGGTTGAGATCACTCAGAGGGAATCATATTTGACATCGTAGTCTAGCACATAAACATATAAGGGATTGCTGACTCGGATTTTTATTTCATTCATTCAACACTGTATAACGTGCTGAAATAGGTAGTAATTAGGTTGCAAACTGTTGCTGAAAACATCTTGATTGATGTATGCTCATAATGTGAAAAAACCAGCCTACTTCATTCACTTATAAATTTATTCTAACCTAACGACTGTTCGAACAACGGATGTATCACATGCGTGTAATGCTCCTAAGGCATCGCTGATTGAACACTTATGGTTGTCATATATTGCATTATTAAGACAACCAAGTCTGAATTGTAATTCATCCAAGTAAAATGAAATGAAATTTCAACCCATAAAACTTCCAGCAAACAGGAATTCTGGCCCCACTTTACGGTTAGCTATTCTGTAAGCCAACTGGCACAAATCAAAACAAAAAACAAATTCCCCAAGTTTAGCATAGTATGCCAGTTTGTATACTAGACTAGAGGTCATATATTACATACAAGATAATTGTACTATACGAGGAGTAAGTGAAAAGGGTCTCGAATCTAAGATCCCCTGGTTGGAAGTTAGTTGTCGAGATTATTTTTCTATTTGCCGTGTTGAAGCAACTGATAAAGATACTACCGAGCGTAATGATTAAATCTTTATTACAAATTTTTAAAGCCCAGAAAGCAACATTTACATGAGATGAATATGTATTGATATAAAATAGGTCCCCCGGGAAATCTGGTGTTTATTGTTACTCTTATGATTCTCACCATGATTTTACTAATTACAATAAAATAATTACATCAAAATAAGATGTCCCTACTACAAAGATAATCATATATCAATGGACAAAATCTCCTAATAAACGGATGTCGACAATTACACAGAAAGAGAAAAAAAGCATACTATAGAAAGATTCTTATGAATTAATAGCTGAGTTACAACAAAATACAACAGTCAAATTAGAAACTAATAAATGAGTGAAATTATCATAATCAATGTTATCTTTTAGAAGAAAAATGAACATTAATTTATATGAAGAAATAAATCTTATGAGCATACAATCATAACTGCTAAAATATAAAATGATTCAGGTTACATCCATTAAGGAGATGGTTGTAGGTAATCCTTATGAGGTATTCTTGGGGTTTTGTGGGGATTTATTTATTGATTCCTGGTTGATATTCATCACAGACTGACATCAGTTGGAGCATTGTTGGAAACCTGGGAGCGCTGGAGAGCTGTTTCGTCCTAACATGGGACACCTCAACAGTGAGTACCGACAACCCCTCCAGGGGTTGAATCCAGGACATTCAAATTCCGCAACCAGCATGTTACTATTGAGCTACTGGGTTTAAATCCAATGGTCCATATTTCCTAATTCTATCAGTTCACTATATAACACATCTATCCAATGCCATCGTTGAGTAATTGTCTTCATGTTCATTTAACAGTACAGTATCGGGAAAAGTAATAACAATCACAATAATACACAATAAACTATACATTCAAAAGTAATCATTCAGACGCCGAAGTCTTGAGAAGCATAAGTAGACATCCATAGAAAAGTCAGATAAGAAATATTGTGAAAACGACGTAAAAGGATCCATACGAAAATAGAACTAAGTTAAAAGAAACTATTTCCACTGTTATGTACAAGATTTACCACTAAATTATATACTGATAAATTCCCTATCTAAACGCAAATGCTTTGTATTGCTGTTGTTCACACTACCATTTATGACATGCATTTTCTGTACACCCTACGTTATTTTGTAATAATTTAGTCTGTTCAGTAGAATGATAAATTCCTTTACGTGATTTCTTGTCATAAAGTGACCTGTTAATATTCTGAAAACAAGAATTGTAACAAGCCAGCTTTACCTAATGTTAGATGGAATAGATGACTAAATTAGCATGATTGTATACACTAGTATAATTTGATAAGAATAACCGAAGAAGTGACATTCGTTACGAAGCTAGGTTAACTGTATAGTATAATTGTAACGGGAAATCCTTCCTACAGGACCTTTGAAGTTATATTTGCCTTTACTGTTCTATTTTCCGTTTTTATATTGAAACATGTCCTTATTGCCCCGTTTTCTTACTCTCGGTGTTGCTTAAACCTACAGGAGTATATACTGGTAAAACTATAATTGGATTTGTTCTGTATAATTCAGCTTATTCAACTGTAATTTGTTACGTTCGAAGTTTTGTTTTACTCTGTTTACAGTGATGTAAGAGGCCATCATTGTTTTGGTTTCGATTTGGCTGTCTGTCTGAGACATTCCTGGTGTTTGATCTGATTCTTGTAGATAGATACTTTTGATCCCTTATGTTGAGAATATTTTCACTTTGTTGTATGTGGTCTTTATTATATCACCACATAGGTTAATATTTTGAATCAGAGGACTTATTGTTGACTTTATAGTGCCAAGACGGCATTGTTGAGGCACCTTTTTGTTTTATATTGCATAATGGTCAAATAGTACCGTATATTTCACGTAGATATAACCACATAAATTGTGTTCTGTTACATCATTTGGATATATTTTGCCAACGCGTTACTTGAGGAAGTTAAGTGCACTATACAGAAAGAACGCAGTTGTGTACTTTTGGTCAATTCAAAACTTATTCTGGACACTATGTTCTGACCAGAATAGTCGTATTTTGGTTGCTTCAATAGTAAAGGACAAACAGTTCATTACACTACATGAATGTACTATCTACTGAAAGCAATATAACACTTGATTCCGAAAGTTAATTCTCTTCGGTACCAAAGAATAATTCCACTCCGTACGGCAAAACTTTGTATAGCAGCCGATTGGTGTGGTATACACAAACAACAGTTGTGACGTTGGATGTGGGACCTTTGATTTTTGACAATAATAATCGACACTTCTAACTTTCGATAATACAAAATTACATTATAATCGAGCTGGGTGAAAAGTGATGTATAAAAACCAGTGACATTGAAAGTTGAAGCGTTGAATACATTCTCAACTGAAATCCTTACAACACTATCGCATTACATTCTACTATATTCATGAATATATTTTTAACCAAACAATAAACTGTAAACTATATCGTGAAATAGAAACGGAAAAGAACTTACCAATACGCGTGTAATAAAATGATACAAGAAAATCAAATGTAATTTTCCTATTTGAAGACTAATAGCCATGTCCACTTTGTCTGGATCAGTTGCATTCTCAGAAGATTTAGTACCTTCTTGGAAATGTGTAAATTGAAGTGAAACAATATTCTCCGTTGGATCAACCCATAAAATCTGGAGAGTAAAATAATAAAATGGTATGCATATCTTAAGAGAGAAAAAAACTTTAGGAAAGTGCCACAAAATGTAAGGGATTAAGGATCTGTAGGACTCTTCGTATTGGTAAAATTTTTCCAATTCATTATATTTACATCTAGGATTAGTTGTAATGAGAAAGTCACTTAAACTGGTTATTTTTGAACAGCTAAACACAAAAGCAATCTGATTACAGACAAAACGTCTCTCTAGAATTAAAGTTCTATGTACTGAATAATTACAAACATTCACTAAAGCGGTTAAATGAGATTTTGATGGTTTACTTCAAAGTGAATCCCAAAGCGGTTGACATCTTACTGACAAAACAAACTAATACGGACAGACAAAAACGTTAAATATATAGATGTTAGTTGGATGGAGGTAATCGGCAAGAAGTCTTACTCGACCTACGTTTCGTACTTCTTGGCACTCATCAGCACAGTGTATCTGTAACCCCCATGGGAATGAGATTCCAACCCGCATAGCTCAGTGTTCTAGTCGGAAATGTTATCACTGAGCTATTTGGTAAGTGATTGACCTCCTGTAAGACTGAAATGTATCAAACACATAGCATGAACAAACATTTGAAGTTGGATAGTCCAAATGGATCTACTGTAATCTGCATGCATATAACGACGTAACAAAAATATACTTTGGGTAATCGAAATTCTCAGCCAGTGATATTTTAAAAGCAGATAAATATATAGTCTTTTCAGTAGCAATGAGTTGTTAAGTATGGGAAAAGTAGTAGCAATTAATTTAGTAGTGCTTTGTGGACTCGTCAATCTACAGCCATTTTCATCGCTTCATCCAGTTGTCCCATATATCTATTGTAAACACTGAACACGCTATATTATTACAGCTATCTTACTATTGTTTTGAGTCAATCAGTCAATCTCATTCAAATATCGAAGCAAATCCGTTTGAGCACGGGAATAAACATAAGACGATTGCACCGAAGAAAACATTTTTTATCTTGACGAAACAATATATATGGTAGAATATGTAGTAAAAAGGATAGATAGTTTCAGAGTAATTTTCGACCAAAGTTACGTAACGTCATCTACAAATTTCAGTGAGTATCCAGAGATAAGAATCTAAAGCCGAAAAACGCCATGCCACGCGTACACACTGCTCCGAAAAATATTTTACTATAGATCCTAGAATCTAAGGGAGATAATGCACCAGATATCCTTGGAAAGCCACTGTCAAGATCCATGAATAGAACATTCTTTGCCATATATCTTAGAATTATATTCGCCTACCACAAACTCACTCGTCAATATACAGAATATAGACGTTTGTTTGGTATTTTTTTAATGCATAAAGGTCTTCTGGAGATTGTATATTTAAGTTTGATATAGATACTGTGAGGATAAGCGACCAGAGCAAATATCACAGTAACGTTCTCAAAAATATTGTAGCAGCTAGTTTTTCTTGTTACCATCACGTTTTTGGAAGCTTATTCTAGCTTTTGTTTGATAGTGTGTACTATCTACTTAATTGACTATCTGTTCATGTATCCTTATTGCATTCAAAGTCCTTGATATAGTTGAAGGTGGGTGAATTTCAAACATCCTCTCGAAATGCCTTCATATGGTCATCCAATAATACCCACTCCTATAGAAGTCCTATTCTACGCTAACAGTTTGCAGGGATATTTCCACAAACGTGAATGGGCGAACGTAAATGTCCGGTGCCTATCATAAGATTTCCTACATATTGTCCACATGGTTTTTAGGATTCTGAAGGGAGGGATAAGATATTAACATACTTCGGACACTAGCAATAAAGGAATTCAAATTACTCATTTTGCACCACTGCCTTGCGAAATAACAGGTTCGAGGAGTGCCCCCCTCCCAAAAAGGAAACAAATATCTGCGTAAATCTAGGTAATATTCCAATCCTTAAGCAAACCATGATGTCAAGTAATGAATAGTTATCAATAAAATAATGAAACTGATGACAATCTTAAAAAAGTGTAGCAAAAATATTACACAGATGTAGATGCATAACTAACTTTTCGATAAGATGTATTTGAGATATGGTCAATAACACTGAATTCGGATAAGATTGCGGAAACTTCTATAATATTATACGTTGTACGGACATCCATTCTTAGACCATTAACAGTAGTTGAAAATAAGTTGTTCTCTTTTGAACCTAGTGTGATTTCAACTTTGTCCATGGTTGCATTCACCATCCATTGAGTGATATTCAACTCACGAATAAGCGCAACTTTACCTGACAGATAAATAAGTATGCCGAAATTTAATGAAACACACTTAAAATAGTATTTTGAATAACTATAAATCCTATTCACAACAAGCAGAAGAGTAGCAAAGTACACTTAACAACTTAACAATTAATAAGTAATCAGATTTTCTGCTTACAGGTACTCACTCATTCCAAAAATGCAGCTGTTATTTTGCTTCATGTCATTGAACAGACGTTAGTATGCCTTGAAATCAGAAATCTATCACTGAGCTATTCAGAAAGCTACTCACCCCTAACAGAACAATATTAAGTAGATGAGTAAATCCTTGAGCAGTGATTTGCTTCGGTGGTAGTACTGACTTATGTACACCAGGCATCGAAACGACAGGCTAAAACAGTGTAAGAACAAATACTGTAGCATGTTATTAGTCAGTGCATAAAACGGTCGATAGACAAGGATCACTCTTAGACTACTGCATGATAATGGTTACTACTCAGTGACTAAATTGAAAACCTTCATCGAAATTCCCTACTATAACAGTAAGTAAATTCACGAAAGGGATCAAGATGATCTGATCGAGAATAGTTTCGGCATAAATACTATTTCCACAAAATATAGGTAAGCAGTCATTTAAAAGCCTAGACCAAGTGATGTTTGAACGTTTGTATCGGGAACAATTGACACGTTTCTCCCCAAGAAAGCTATAGAAGGAATTAGTCAGTCAATATCAACGTGGAACATGGCACTACTGAATAAAAGTCCAAGTTGTTACACCCTGCATCAGTGTATCAAGGTGGAAGGCACCAACATGAAATATAGAGAAATCATGAAGGAAGTAATCTAAAGCAGTAGAAATTCATGAAAAAAGGGGACGAAACGAAAACCTAATAAAATAAGTTACGACGATTGACAAAAAGATAATGTGTGAATATATTCGCGCCCATGAAATCGATTCTCAGACTTATCACCTAAAGTCTCCGACTACCGATTTCTATTGTCCCGCAGATCCCGGCTGGGAAATCTGCATTTCCCTATAAAGCTCAGATCAACAACCATAGACTTAATCGACTGGTGCCATAATTTTATCTGGTCACCTTTAAACTTTTTAAAGTCTGAACCCACTTCAGGCAACACTGTACGCCGAAGCAGAAGATGATTAGGCATACGTAACACATGTCCCAGTCACCTGAGTTGATGAAAGTTTACAAGCTCATTGACTGTCTTTCTTCATCCGCCCCAAACTCTACGCCTAACTTCCACATTAATGATGTATTAATTAGCATTAATGGAAAAGTAAAATGGAAAATAATTCGGAAATCAAAGAAATACTAATACTCTTCGAAGGCAGGAACGTGAAGCATTAGAACTATGGAAATCAAACCTTTAAACTGTTTGGTAACTTTAAAGTGTGTGAAACAATTTCCAGAAGGTTATACTGTTCTATGTATTTAGTTATTAAAAATTTACAGATTCAAAGACTGTTTTCTGCCCAGTTATAAGGGTATGCCCTGATTAATAACTGCTCAACTGATTTATTGATGACTACAACTCAATATTGCTCTAATGTTTTATGTACTAGGATGTGAGCTACAATTAATATGCGAGGGTTTATGATACTAATATGCTGTCTAAGACTGAATTAGATGGAGCGACTTTTAAACCCAGAAGGAAATATTGTCTACTGCTGCATGATTTTTGGAAACCTAGCTGAATGAGGTCCCTCTGTTATGAAACCTACCATAAACTACTGCTTTCCTTTGGCTAATACCTCTATCGAAGAAGCAAAGACAAATTTTAGTAGCAAAGATTAGCAGTAAGGAGGAAAAATATGAACGCAAATATAACGAAGAAAATGAGAAATCGAACAGTGTATACTTTGTAAATGATTGTGACGAAATAGAGTTAATGAGATAAAAGTATCTGCATTATTCACCTATATATAGTGATCATCAGAATTACCTGTTTTCTGTGCTACAGAAGCTGCTTCAATACGTATATTTCGACGTTCATTCTTTCGAGCAATATGGCTTTCGACTGCATTTGCAGCAGTTAATCGTCCAGGCAACTGTTCATTCATTTCAGCTTCTAAAGCTTGACGAAGTTTGGCTTGTTTTAAACCTTCTTCATCTCCAATAGTAGTAGCCCATTCAATTTCTGATGAATGATCAACCTTTTTCATTTCTTTAGACAGTGATAATAATAAATTATTGAAATAATTCATCAGTAATAAGGTAGCCTCTTGATGAACATAGACCTAAAAAGAAATTAATAACCAATGAGAAATAGGATAACGTAACAGAGTTATATGAAGCACTGAACAACTTTGTACAAGTTTCAAACTGTGCTAGCCTTCATGAGTAGTAACGTTTAACAAGGACAATAAATCGATAATTATGTACAGGTTCGTAAAATTGACTGTCCATAACATCTACTGTAAGTTAATAACAACGATACTTCTCAGGAAGCGGGAAAAAGTAGGTGATACATGCCTAAAGTCCTAAGTCAACACACAAGATCCTTGATCTACCACTCAATATGAAGCAGTGTTCCCTTAAGCTTGGATATTTTGTCATCACCAGACCATGACATCATTAGCATTTGCTTCATACAGAAGCAGCGCATGTTCATGAATGTTCAGGTAGTGTTTTTGTTTATCCTGAATGTTTTTTAACTATAAGTTGGAAAAGACATCCTTAATACATCCTAAACCCAAAATTTCTCTACGTCGAATTGGAAAAAAAAGTGTTGCTTTAGTGAAAATTTTACCATTTGCTGCTATCACTGCGGTTGATCACCGACATACTTGAACAATTTACAGTTTGCAGACGGGTGCTGTTTTTCCTAAGCAGACGGCATCTATGTTCACGTTTACTAACCCTAGATTATTCTGAATGTCAGACTCCTAGAAATGCTCTTGTAGCTTTCGAAATGGTTTAGTGTACGATATCCATATTCCCGCAACCAATGTGTTGATTGTGGTCGTCTATGTGCACGAAGACCAAGGATGATATCTCATCTCATTTTACCGCTGGTAAATGTTTATGATTTCTTTGAACAGTCCAGCGACTCGACCCCTCTACGTAGTTTTGTGGATTTTTGTTGATTTTCAAAATTATTCTTTGCACAAACGTTTCGGTACTGACTTTGTTGGTTTGTAATCCCATCCCAATACTGAAAAGATAAAGCGACAGTCGTTAGTCTAGGAGACCTTTTTGATGTGTAGAGCAGATCAGTGAGCCTAATGATGAGGTGATTACACTGTTCTCGACTCTGCAGAAAAATATCTTTTGATGAAGTTGGGTGGTTAACCACTAACTTTCACTATATGTACTGCTTCAGTGCTCCAGTGTATCTTATCTCTTGAAAGTAGTATTTGTACCAAACTTTACTGAACTGTAAAGTGTTTGTTGTTGTTGGTCAAAATTTGATTGATAAACTTGGTTTTTTTGGACACAAGAGTCTGCAACGTCCTGTCATGCGTTCTGCTTTTGGAAACCTTTATGACAAGGATTTCATTGTTTTCTTCCTTCTCAATTGTGAACAGAAGTCCTCCGATGATCAGCAGTAATCATAATAATGATGAAGTCATTTCACTAAACCACTTTTAAGATCATTTTAACATTAAAATCCCTGGATAAAAAGATAGACGATCTCAGTTTCATGAGGTCAAAGTCAACTGTTTAGTTCTGAATTTAGTAGTGTCAGTTTGTTTGGAGATCGTATCAGAGGCATCTCCTGACTCCTACATCAGTATATGCTTTCTCTATACGTAGAGGACGATAACGGATGCGTCAAAATCTCAAAAACACCCAGAGATTTATCAGGAAAGTAAGAATAAGGTGAAAGAAGAAACGAGATTTGATATTAAAACCAGCATAATAAGATATTAATTAATTAATGAGACTCAGTTCGTCGTAGGTGATGATTTGCTAGGCTATGAACCAAACGTTATATGTGTCGGATAAGGATATTACCCGACTGTCCATGCTGAAGTAGCTGGAATTGAGTTTGAATCCCAGATCCACTGGTTGGTAGTTAAGCGCCTAATCCACTGGAGCCATATCTTTACGAGTAGAAAATCAACAAAATAGTAATAGTAATAAAGCAAACCACACCTCTGATTCCTAAAACACACACACAAACGGACAAGCATTTTTGTAAACATGAAAATAAAAAACTTACATCCAACACTTTGAAATCACATTGCAAACGATGACGTATGTTCTGATATTGTGTATCAAAGTCGGGCGCATTTTTCTCAGCAACGGTTAAATGTACCGATAGTAGATGATGACCTTCTGTATGACGCTTCGTACGTGCTAAATACATTGGTTCATGAGTTTCTTTCTGTGTAAACTGTGGCACCAAAACTAGTAATGTACCAATATGTGCCTGATAAGTAAAAAGGAAAAAACAAAATCAGTGACTACAAGCATCCAAGCAAATAGGACTAAATAGCCTAATTAAGTTAACTGTATACAGGCTGGTGTTACTACATATTCACTGAGTGAGTGGTAAGTTCGTTTCACCTAGATTTTTCTGCTATCCATGTGTTGTTGGTCCGAAAGGCCTTCTTATTAAGCATTAACTCAGGTTATGGACCATATTTCAGATAGTTGGGCAATATTAGAACAAACATGGTAAGCAACGTAAAGAAAGCCCTATTATTGCGACCGAATGAAATGAAAACAACTCAGCCACCATGTGAATATCCGTACAGTAGGCAACAAGTCACATCAATTGTGTGACGGATAGCTATACCACCTACCTATGCAAACCTCGGTAAGTGGAGCAGTTTAGGTGGTTGACAGTCATCTCCCTAAACCACTGCGCTACAGCTGTTTATCGGAAATGCTTACAGTAACCGACTTACAGTGAAGATACTACACATTAAGACATTCACTTTTCATGCTTTTTTGACACGAACTAGCTTTATTGTTTGAAAACCAGAAATTCAATAAAACCAAAGCGACTCAAAGTTGCTGCGTCGTCGTTTTCTATACCAAAGCCCTGTAGTATACGCAAAACACAACTGAACTCAAGTTAAAGGTAATAAAAAATGTCGACTTATAACACTAGATAACCACTGAGTAACACCGTGAACTGATTGAATGTTGGGAATGAGCCATACTGGATTACAAGCAAATGGCTGGACAATAACATGCTGACTGATAAATCTTAAGAACATACGCTCTACTCCAAAATGGTTCAGGAGAGAGTACACATCTTCAAGAAGCGTCAACTTAGGACCCGAATAGCTGTATGCTAGTTCATCCTGGTTTTCCATGATTCTCTAGTTGATGTTAGACAGTGAAATGAACAGTCTTGTATCGTTCAAGAGCGTAAAAAACTACTCTCTAATTAAGTTAAACTTTTACGAGTTGAATAACTAAGTGACAGCAATTGTAAAGTTTAATTACAAGACAAACAGTAATAATGATAGTTAAAAGTGATGAAATTTTAATGTGTAGTAATAACGAAGCTATCAGAGCCTGGTACTTCTGATTTATATCAACCAATAACTTGACGAAGAAAACCTTTCATCACCAGCTATCAAAAAGGTGCTATGCTATGAATGCATATAAACTACTTAGGTTTTTACCTAACCTCTCGATTGTGAATCCATTCATTCTGAGTAACTTTTTCAAATAAATCTTCTTTTTTCTTTCTCTGGTTAGCTTCGAGACCATGTAACCAGAACTCTAACAGTAAATGTAGGAGTCGGTAACATTTCTCTTAATCCTCGAGAAATTCAATTTTTCAGTCTTTTAATATTACAAATCATAAGGTAAGGATCGCTTAGGGTGATGTTAATCATTTGTAATATCATGGGGTGAATAAATTATATACGGATAAGTCTCAGTGTGTTTGAAATAAGGAATTCCTACGTTTCGCACAGAACTCTGGTCCAAGATTCTTCGGGGAAATAATCAAAATCTACATTACCATAAATATATGTATAACAGGTCAGTGATCGAAGAGTTTGGTTAAATAAATAGTGGGACCACTTAACTGGATCAAATTAAAGAGGGAAACAGGAAGCCAGGTTGTTACAGGCAAGGAGAGATATTAGGCAATGACATGAATATCATGTACTAAACATTTACCTGAATTTCTTGAGTCCAACGACGTTTAATTAAACTAGTACCAACTTCATGTACATTGAGAGACAGAATAAGGCGATCGTCAGCACTTTTTACTGCTGGACGTTCCAGTACTTGAACTTCAATCTGTTAATCAGAATAGGATGGAGAGTAAAAGAGAAATATGGAATATACATTTACAAAAATTCATTTGAGTTTTAGATAATAAACAGTAGTTATAAAAATAAGTTTTAATATAATCCCAGGATGTTAGGAAATTAAAAACAAGACTTCTATGAAAATTCCGCAGTGTAAGTTACAACTACTTCAGATAGATGTTCGGATTTTCATACTAGACGGTGCTCAAATTCTTTCAAGAAATTTGCAACAATTATGATATGATCGTTATAATTCATCAAACCGTGGTTTTGAGAACCAAATAGTTCCGTGCTGACGTCTTTGACTGGAGCAGTGGATAACATAAGTTCGGATTTTTAGGGGGAAGCCACTTTCCTAAATTTTGCAGCTACGCTTGCCAGTGAATGTCACATCAGGTAAGAAATCTACATCCAGCGCTCCCTGCAGACTGCAAACTACAATCTGATATAGCAGCACCGATTTTTAGAACTATTGCAACGAGTAGCATCTTAGCAAGTTCAACAGGAAAGTAATTACAAGTGACAACAAAATTTGATTTCATTTATGACTTCGCAATGGATGCCGTCAAATTTTATGAAAAGGAAACATACAGTGACCTAAATCACAATTTTTACCTCAGTTTAAAATTTATGAAAAATGGATTACTGTCTTAGAACAAACGAGAAGAAATATAAGCAAAAAAGTTGATACGAATGACTTCTGACCAGATAAACTTCAATAAAGCATAACGAAATGTTGCAAATCTTGTGAGCAAACATTCAAGCTTTATGCAACAGAATATCAGAATTGATGACAACTAGTGGTGTCTACCAGGATGCCCATTGTGACCGTTCCCACTTAACTTCGTTATAGACGCACTCATGGACATAACATCAAGTATGTCTGACTTCACAGAGATTGATCCACTCCCTGGATGTCGTCTGATTCACTTGGAGTATGAAGACAATAATGTCCTACTGAGTGAAGACGCTGACAAAATGCAGGGTCTCCTAAACACGTTGAGCGGAAATCTGAGTATGTCTGGCAGGCGCCTCGCATCTGCCAAATGTAAGATGATGCTGGTCTGCTGGAAGTACTCAAAATTTAATGATAGATAGTGAAGTGCAGCATGTCGAACACTTCACTTTCTGGATTGCTGACGAAATCTCATCATGAATACAGAAAGTCCACTTGGCACTTGCCAACTTTTATAATCTGTGGTGCTGATTGGCGAGATATCCGCCTATATATAACAGGACGAGTATTCTGCGCTGGCCCGTTATACAACTATGAGATATGGCTATTAAAAGTAGAAGACATGAAGCGATTACAGGTTTCTGAGAATAGGTGTCTTCGTAGCATTGCTCGCATATGGTGGAATCACCATATGAGCAATGTCGAGGTCAGGCGAAAGGTACCAAGCAAGACAGGAAGATCAGTTGATCAGGTTGTGAACCTTAGTCGACTGATATGGGTTGAAAGATACTATACATGTCGACACGCCGCCTACATCGAAGTGTAATGTTAGGGAGGTGTGATTCCGTTAGAAGAGGCTTCAGGTTGACCAGACCAAGATATGGCGCCAGTCCGTGAAGTCTCTTACAGCTGCTGTGAGATGTACAGAAAGACGTAGACTACCTGGTTAGGGTCCACAAGACAACAGAAGTCAGTGTATGAAGACTCTAGGTTACATGGCTAAAAATCGGTTACAATGGTGCAGATGTATTCGCTCTACGATGTCTTCTAAAGCTTGAATACTTGCACTAACCTCTACCTCCAAATTCATTTTTGTCTCACATAACTTCGTCTACTTTGATATCATTCTTTTTCCAACCACTTGTTCATTTGTATGGCACGGTAAAGTATAGCGAGTTGAACCGATACACTTGTGTGCAAGATTCTACGTTGATTTTGTCTGTCTTTCGGACCATCACCTACTATAGTGCTGAGCTGATTCCCCATAGGTGTCGAAACCTAATCATTTTCAGATTCCACTCAAACTAAAATTCAATAGTCATGACCACGATAGTAGCATATACTCTGAACTCAAAGAATTGACGTACTAATTTTCTTAAAAGCTGCGCATAAGTACTTTAAAACTCATCAGAATAAAGGTTTGCTCAAATTTATGCCAAAAGCGCTGAATCCTGTTGTAATAAGTGAGATGTGAAAAATATATAAAAACAACTGAAATGAGAAAGAAGTGATTTCCTGTAATGGAGGTTAACTGGTGGCATTTTTTCTCTCCATCAATGCTTTGAAATCTGACACCTTTATTTACTGACATCTAGGAAGTCTTTCACTACATCTCGTAATTTTTCCTTCTTCTACATTTACATAATTATGCCACCAACCACTGCATACACCTCCCTCTCTCTCTCCCTGTAAATATATATATATATATATATATATATATCCCTTGGGTTCCTAGTGGGTTTTAGTAGCGCGTCACCACTGCACTCTGTTCTCTCTAGCCTTTTGAACCTGGCACCACGACTAACCACAAGCTTTTATTTCTTCCTCACACCATCTCCTCCATGTCACCCTTGGACACCCAACTCGTGGTTTTCCTTTTGGATTCCATTCGACGACCTGGCCTGACGCGTGATATCCCCAAATGATCTCCTCAGTGTGTGCCCAATCCAATCCATCTCCAATTTCTCCTACATATTTGTTGGGCGATAGCTTCTTGGTTGGTTCGTTCCCAAAGTTCCTTGTTGCCTATTCTTTCTGGCCATCTAGTCTTCAGTATCGAGGGTAGGCAGCTGTTGATGAATGTCTGTAGTTTGTTGGAAATGCTTTTCGCAACGTGCTAAGTCTCTCAACCATCAGATGGAAGCACTGACTTACTTGACATAAGTGTATAAATATGACCGACAGGTTTAAAATAGTTGTCATATTAACCCTAGAATGGCATTTTAAATCCCGAAAAAATTTGACAATTTTACGTTTTAATCCATGATATTATCAATGAAAATGTATGACCATCAATAACTGATTGATCAGAGAAATGAATTCAACGTAGATATAGCGAAATGGAACCTTTTGAAAAAAAAGGCAATCAACCAGTTAACAGGTAAGTCAACACTTACCCTGCGTATAACAAAATCCAATTTCAAATCAATCAACTGTGCTCGTTTACGACGTAGATTAGATATATCACGTTGACGCGAAGACTAAAAATTATTGTTTGTGTTTTTTACAAGATAATGTAAAAGTAAGAAAACAAAAAAAATTAGGATAATTAATAGTTCACAGTTGCCTTTTAACATACAAATTGTTACAAGAAAACGCTTAAGAAGCTAAAATATGAGTGACTCTTGCATTATCTTCCTTTTAAAAAGCAGTATGGTTTTTCTTAAATAGATTTGGTGTTGAAGGCATATACGGAATGACAAATTATACAAACGAAATAGTACATACAATGATCATGATGTTTTGTATGCAAGAATACAGAAAAATTGACATGTAATATAACTTCAGTGTTAAAATATAACTTCAGTATCGAAAATCGTCACTGGATGATTGGTTGGATGTCGAATACGCCAAGTAGTCGAACAGCATTCTACTTTCACCCGACTGGTGTATGGTAAACTCTTGTTACTTCAATAACAACAAATAGTGGGAACATCACAGTTTAAGCAAGCTGATTTAAAAAGACTCCTAAGTAGCTTAGATAACTGATAGATAGTTTTCGCTTTTGAATGAGCAGGCCAGCAGTGCAATACATTAAATCCAATGGGGAAGAGTTACGTTCATGAATATGACATTTAAAACTCCAAGGACATACCACCAAAATAATTAAATAAACCTTAACATTCATCACTTGTATTCAGAAAATGGAATAAAGTAGATGATTATATTGTTGACTAACTTTCCGTTTCAACAGTAGGGAAGCCTGTCAAACGACGCGCAAAATACCTACATCAGACATGATTTTCATCCACCTCTCAAAATTTACTGAATCATGAATAATAGATCTGACGACAAACAAGAGTGATAGGGCCTAAACTATGCATAAAATGCTTACTCCTGCTTATTTACGCGAGGATTTCTACAACGGTTACTCATTATGAAAAGCAACTGTATTATGTTGGCAGCGTTGCAGACTACAGAGAACCTTTATCAGCGTTAAGTAAGGAAAGAAATATATATCCTGAAACTGTAGCCGAAATATAACTTTAAAATATACATAAACGTTTCATAGATTTCAGCACTGTAACATTGCTGGTAGTGGCGAAAATATAGTGACCAACTGGTAACCTATATCATTATAATTAACGGACAAAGTTTGAAAATGATTTGCTCTGTAGCCTATTTGATGGCTAACAGTGGGATCCAAGACGCGAGTTTCGTCTTATTCGGGACTCGTCATCTGGATGCATCTGCATCTCAGTGAGAGGTGTCGTTCCCAGTGAGACTGGAACCCAATAGGTAGCACTTCAAACGCCTAAGTGTTATCGATAACAAATGATTTGCTCTGATTACCAGATACTGGAATATCGGAAGTTTGGAATAACACAGCACAAAAACCTCACCAAATCTAGAATAGCAAGCCCGAGTATCATGACAAATCTAGAGAAAAGTTCGACCACAGCAACGCATGTAATCACACAATGGCATGCGATAAGGTGACAGTATTAGCAACTTATTAGTGAAGATGGAGAGAAGAGATTGGTAACAAGCTTTGTATATCGGATCAACAACGAACACATGTAATAAGAATGACTCAACACCTATCCCACATATTTAGAAAATTCTACTATGCATGGGACAAATTATGGAGATGAAACGGACGTATAAAAAAAACTGTGTGAAAGATATGAAGTTATCTTCGATATGAATATGAACAATAAATTGTATTCGAAACGTCATCCGGTGAACAATACTGTTACCCTATGTGGAATATCCAAAAACAAAGTGATATGAATCCATTTATTTTTACTTGAACTTCTCAAACAGTTCTACAATATGACGTCGAGAAAATCTGACATAATGCAGAAATCAAGAAGCGAAAACTGAAGGTTATTTCTAGATACTGCCGAAAGAAGAAACACGAACATTCCATGAGTTTTGCTAGTACTATACAGCGTAATGCGTACGACTAACAGAACCGTCCCAAGTCTTTGCAATATTCAGTTTGGCGGCTTGTGCAGATTAATTGATTTCAAGTTGGCATTCATCATCGACTGACATTAGTTGGAAGAAAATATAGGAAATATGGGGGCATTGGACAGCTGTTTCGTCCTAGTATGGTACTCCTCAGCACCCATGACCATGCCCAGGACCTTCAGGCTCCATGGGCAGCACGTTACCATTGAGCCACTGGGTCGGAATCCAATGGTCTATATTTCTTAATTATGCTAAAATTCATTCGACTTTTATAGATAAAGAAACGGAGAAATAGATAACAGTTTGAAAAGGGTAATTTTAACTAAATCCACTTGATTTGTAGTAAAATGAACTAATATGCATTACCTTAACAGCTGATAATCTAGACTTGTCATGTTCCATCAACCGACTGGTATGGTCATCTTTTTCGTTTAAATCACCATCTGATCTTGATTGTTGGCTAGTTTGGTCGTTCTCACTTTCTTCCTGTAAATCATCTATTGTATCTGATGTCCAACTACTCAAAGTAGAACCACTGTCATTTCTTTTCATCTGACGAGTAACTCTAAGTAAATCTCTTGTAGCTAGTACAGACCCAGGGGTTATTGAGTTAGGTACGAGTACAACATCCTGTTGAGAAATAGAAAATGATACACAAAAGAATACATTTACCACTACTGTATTCAATAAAGATGAAAGGTTAACGCAGATAGCTATGGTGGTACAACAAACAAGCTTACAGTCAACTTAGAGAACTTCCATACGATAGATCGACAAATAAACAATTAAATGTGACGGTGGTTTATGTTCCCTGAAGTGCATCAGCTAGACAAAGCAGGTTAAATTAACCATCATGGTTAGTTTGTTGACTAATACATAATAAATAAAAATGTCCAGTGAGTGATTATTGATCATCAGTTTGGTCAATATGTCCAACAGTGCTTTTAGGACAAGTAAAGCAGTAAATTACAAAAAAATAATGAACAATCTGACGCAGAAGTACACACACAATTGTATTTACTTCTAATCACACCTTAGAAAATTGATTATGTAGCTCTATTCGTTTATGGGCTTTGATAAGCATATCTGATAAATATGTACAAATATTTTAAATTGATCTTATCAAACCATCAGAGTCAGTGTAGAAAAATGTTTACTGTTCATACACATATACAAATAAAATGTACGCTGAGTAGCAAAATTTCTTTTCACATACGTATGATCAGTAAAACTATCACAAAAACTAGTACAACTAAGAAGAGTGAACTACGCACTCCTGAGAAATGAACAAGTAAAGGACGAAATACACTGTGGAGACAAAGAAAGGTTGGTACATAAGAAAGAGCACAGAGGTGTCAGTGCATACCGTTTTCAGAGGGGACAGTATACGGTGAATCACAAAAGCCAATGAAGCACAAATCTTTATAAGATGACAGAATACATGCCGATTTTCGTAAATCAGTTCAGTCATAGTAACTACACTTTCCACATATTATGCAGACAGACAGACAGGCGAAATCAATGTAGAACCTTGAACTCAAACACATTAGATAAACTTGCTAGACTTCACAGTAGTATACAAAGTACAAGTGGTTAGAAAAAGACTGATATCAAAGTAGACAAATTTGTGTGAGAATAAATAATTTGAAGGTAGAGGTTAGTGTAAGTACTCGAATGTAAGAGCGAATACATCTGCGCGACTGCGACTAATTTTTAAACAAGTCACCAAGTGTCCTCAACCACTGATTCCTGTTGTCTAGGATACCCAGCCAGGCAGGATACATCTCTTTACGCGTCTTAGATCAGCAGTAAGAGACTTCACAGACTGGTGCTATATCTTGGTTTGGCCACTCTGTTGCCTCTTCCAGCTAAATCCAGCTTCTCTTAGCATGGGACGTCGAAGTAGGAGGTGTCTCGAGCATTTGCAGTACATATCAACACATTTCAATCGACTAAGGTCCACAACCTGATCAATCGGCTTTCCTATCTTGGCTAGTACCCTTCACCTGACCTCAACATTCTTCACATGGTGATTCCAGCGTACACAACTAATGCTACGAAGACATATACGAAAAAGTGTAACCACTTCAAGTTTTCTACTTTTAACAGCCATATCTTGTAACCGTATTAAAGGAAAGAACAGACTGCAGCACAGCCAAAAGAATTTTCTGTATCCGAGCTGAGATTTCGTCACCAACCAGCCCGTTTGAGCTGATGCAACTCCCGAGTAAGTGAGGTGTTCGACACATTTCACTACTTCACTCTCTATCATTAGCCTTGGAGTACTTGCAGCAGATCAGTCTTAGAGCATCATTTTACATTTGACAGTTGTGAGACGCGTGCCAGATATATTCAAATTTCTGCTCAGCGTGTTCACATGACCCTGCATTTTGTTATCGTCTTCATGTAGCAGGAAAATATCGTCTGCATACTTTAAGCCAAGCAGATGACATGCAGAGAGATGATCAATCTCTATGAAGTTGGACGTCCCTAAGGTGATGTCTATTAGTACGTCTATAACGAAGTTGAAAAGTAATGGTGACAATAGGTATCCTTGGTGGACGTCACTAATTATCATTAATTCTGAGGACAATAGTAATGAAAACAATAATTTACATATAAAATAATTTTGAAACGAGATTTTAGTGAAGAGAAGTCAGTATTTAACTGAAATCAATCACATTTACGAAAAATACATATTTCACCTATGAAGGGGTGGCTTGAGTCAGAATTGATGAAGCTCACTTCTTCTAGGGTCACAGAGGGGATGATATCAAGCGTATTACTGTGACATAGTACGTTTATACACCAGGCTGAAAATACTTGCAACGATTTTCTTAGATTGCACTACAGTACCTCATAATATGCATTGGCAATTCGTTTACTTCAGTCATTGCATTTTCAACAATATCAATAAATAAGCTGTCACAATAAATGCAAATAAAATATATCAAGAAAATATTCTTTCAATGAATGAACTGGAAGTATAGACGCTTACTTTTAATAATTCATCTGGATTTGCTGGTGTAGTGAGACTTTTATCTGGCTCTGGGAATGGAACATTCACAATTAATTCATATAAGGATTTTAGAATTACATCTGTGAAATCCACACTGAACACAGGTAAACAACCATCGACAATAATTCTACAAGTGAATCGGAAACAGAAGATATTTTTTGGCATAAAAATGAATTTATATAGTGAGGAAAACAGCGATTTTAATGATTGTGCCATTGGAAAGCAATAATAAAATTTTATGTGAACAAAAGTGTGCAACAGACAGGTAGAAACAAGTAAAATTAATATAAGTGTAAAACCCGGACACTGTAGCAGGATGTAATTTCATATTAGATTCGATTATTTCATTTATAACACAAAGTGATACAATATTATTTACTTCGAGCATAAATCATTGCTCATGATCATATAAATTTGTTTGGATATGTTCAGCAATTTTGTTGGGATAATCTGATTTGTCCATAACTATTGTTGAATTACCTTTATCATATTACTATGTGACTGCTATTTCGTAGATTATTAAGAGCTGAATTTTGTGGTTTCGTTAAGCTTCGTTGTCTTCTATTGTTTTTTCAGTGTACATTGATATGATTATGAGCGATAATTTGTGATTTTGACTGTCTGAGATAGCCGTGGTCTTGTAGATTAGTATTGACACTACTGGGTGATGATTCGAGGTGAAATGAAAATTTGGACCACGGCCGGATTCGAACCAGGGACCACCGGAGTTGCCGGCTCTGGGTAGTCAGTATGAGTACGATCAAGCGATAGTAGTGAGTCACCGATCCACACGGAAGTTCAGGAAAACTCTTGGTGATTGAAGTGAAATAGGAACCTGGTCAGAAATCAGATATCGTAGCTTAGTTGGTAGAGCATCAGGCCGGTGACCTGGTGGTCGCTGGTTCGAATCTGGCCGCGGTCCAAATACTTATTTCACCTTCAACCATCGCCCAGTATCAATAATTTATGTTCAAAACGTTATCAAGTAAATATTACTGTATTACTGTGCTATATATATCGAGAAAAATTCGTTTTTGTGGAAGGCGTATTAGCAGTGAAATAATCAACAATGTTGTGGTGAATGAACTTTACAATAAAGACTTCAACTTAATTGAGTTCTAAAAATCTAACACGTCGAAAGCAGGAAGGGATGATACAATCTGAGATGAAAACATATTTATTACCATCAGAGAACTATGACAGCTTATGAAAGTAAACGTATTTTATGGGATGGTGATAGTAGTTGAAGTAGTACTTAAGTCACAGTCAAATTTAAATCAATTTCCTCGTTGCAGGCTAGAAGCTCTAGTAAATGAGCCATGCAACCCGTTTACTTAGACGTGTTTAACACCAAGTTACCAACAAAGCACCGGCTTGGTAACTCTAAGACTGCTGGATTGACACCTACAACACCAACATTTCCTTTCAACTTCGGTCCTCAGTCCCACTATATACAGATCAGTTTTTGAATCTAACGCTATTTTAACTATTTACAACAAGAAAGCCTTGTCTAACTGATAGTTTGTCGGGAATGATAAGTTTCGATCAACGAAGCTTGGTGACCTGCAGCTAGATGATCCATCACAGCGATTTGGATGCGCATTGTTGAAGAATGCCAAATCAGGGCAAGACAGCTATTGAGCGCTTTGAGTTTTCTATTTTTTTGAACTGGTATCAATCCATGCTGAGAAAAAAAGGCTTCAAATTTTCGCTTAAATTTTTTCAAGCTATCTCTTTAAGTGCAAGACTATAACACTTGCGATTTAGTCAATATGTATACAAATAATCTTTGCATGTTTACCTCGGTAGATTGATATCATTACGCAATAAACAGCGTTTAAGTGTACAGTTCAAACCCAACGGTCTGAGGATATGACTTGATGATTTATTCATTTGTCGTAGAGCTCTCCAATCCTGACCTAAAATGCAAGTGCGAAAATAAAACGTGAATAACCTTTGAGGACTTATTTTCCCCATAACAATAACAACTTAAATGAATCGTGACTACTTTCATTTATTCCAGTATAGAAGCGAGTCTTAATCACCTCTATCGATTAGGCTACACCACAAGCTAAATCCAATAAGTAAGGGTTTATGACACTGATGTCTATTCACTCAGAGTAGTCAGAATGAGACGAATGCCCCGTAGCGTAGTTAAGGTCATAGACTACTGATATAAAAACCAGGGGTCTAACACTCATTTTCCAAATATGGATTTTCGGTATCGTCTACTGTGGACTGTCTTGTATTTCCCTAATAAAAACAATAGAGAAATTTCGCAATTGCAACTTCCTAATTGTTAGGCTTAACTTCGATTGCAGAGTTAGTAAAACCGCTAGCTGATTCTTATTTATGTGAAATTGATGATAATCAATCTGCAGTGATTATCATAACCCTTAGCACATCAAATTTTGAGTTTGACAGGAAGAAGCGTATTCTAAATTCACTAACCTTTTTAGTATGATGGATAATAGAAAAGCGTATTATTAAGTAGTAGCTGTGAATTGAACCTAGATTTATTTGTAGAATGCATCAACTGATGAATGTGTTGCAGTGGGAAAATAAATTGATTTCGATAAAAAGTGACCAGAAAGATCTCGCTGGTAGTGACGGTCTTCAATAAGCTCATGTGTAGTGGAATAATCGTGTGAGCAATGTTGAGGTCAGGCGAAAGGCACAAGGCAAGACAGGCAAGTTGATTGGCGAGGTTGTGAACGTTACTTGACTAAGATGGCTTGGATATATTCTGTGCATGAGGGGCCACCGCCCACCTCGACGTGCCATGCTAGGGGGAGGTTGGGTTAGGATGGAAAAGGGTACAGGGTAACTGGACCGAGACATGGCACCAGTCGATGAAGTCCCTGAATGTTGGCTTGAGCCGTGTGGAGAGACGCAGACTGCCTGTCTGGGGTCCCCGATAAGAAAGGAATCAGTGGTGGACGACACTTTGCGACATGGCTGAAAATCGGTTACAATGATGAGGATGTATTCAGTCCTTGACATCTAAAGCTTGAATATTCTCACTAACCCTTATCTTCAACTAATTTATTCCTCAAACAAATTTGTCTAATTTTATATCACTCCTTTTCTATCCACGTGTTCTTTGTGTACTTCTGTAAGATGTGGTAACTTGAACTGATACATTGCTATGAGTGGTTCTGCGTTGATTTTTTCAGTCAGTCAGTCAATAGGCAAAGATCAGATGCCATGAATGTATCTCATCCATAGTAAATCATGTATGATAAATTGTTCAAGAGCATCACAGAACATGTGATGAAGTCCAGAAATAACACCATTTCTTCAGTTATGATAATAATTTGATTCGTGAACAAACCAACTGATAACATCAAATAGCAGTATATTGCTGTACGAAAATAACAACACAGATAAATATAGATGGCTAGAAAAAAATCAACCATATTCTGACTTTCACTAAATAAGCACTAATTCTTTTGAAACAAAGATGAAACAAACACTCTTTCAGTGATTTCATTATCAAAAGATGTCCTAACGAAAAATATTAGCAAAAGGTAGAAAGTATCAGTCATGTTGTAGTAGTAAATTTAGATCTTTTAGTCTCCAATTTTTACTTGACACTGTCCATAAAATCAAATCATACCTACACCTACTACAAGCTCTTTGGCAACCCATAATTTGAAGTCGGAGCCTTGTGTTACCATGTTCATAACATGACTAACTGGGACCGTTTGATAATCCTGAATATAAATTACCGTCATATCTGAGTTACTCAGATTTACCCTATTATTGTTGCTTCATGGAGAAATTTTCGGTATTACTTACATTTCATGCACTGCTCTAAAAGCGTTATTTTTACTAGGTTGTTAAAATCAACGTAGAACTTTGCACTCCAGTGCATCGGTTCAACTTGTCACACTTCACAGTACCATACACAAAAACAGGTGGATAGAGTAACAGTAATATGAAAGTAGACAAAGTTGTGTGAGAGAATAAACAATGCGAAGATAAAGGTTAATGTGAATATTCAAGCCCTAGATGTCAAGAAGTGAATACATAAGCGTTATCGTGAATGATTTTCAGCCATGTCACCACGGGTTCCCAACCACTAATTCCTTTCGTCTCAGCAACCCCAACCAGGCAGTCTACATCTCTTCACACAAATCAGAGCAACAGCCAGGTACTTTGTGGACTATTGTCACGTCTTGGTCTGGTCATCGTGTTTTTATTAGAATAGTGTTACATTTACCAAGCTCATTTAAATGAATAAATATTGCCTCTCGAATATATTACATTTTTCCTTTACTAATAAACAATGTAATCGACTTTTTATGATTAAATACAACAACTCTTTTCCGTTCTTTTTCCCTTCCTCTTACACATAGTGATTCCACAATGAAAATTTAATATTTATGTGCGATTGTATAACTTTTGAAAATGGAATTGTTATACAAGAATTCCTTTACTGAAATATTTGTCATATAACCACGTAGGTATATGCGGCTTAATTTAAAGGAAAACCAACCACCTGCACAAGAGGTGGCTATCGCGCCAGTGGCTTAGTGGATAACGCACTGGCGTCTGAAGTGAAGGGTACTGGGTTCGAGCCCCACCGGGAACAACGTCATTTACTGGGTTGCAGGGGTACCCACCTGACGAGTGCCAAATAGGACGAAATGCGTGTCTTGGATTCCTAAGCTAGTCACCAAGATTAATATAAGAACCAGCTAATCTTTCAATGAATTGAAGAATACAACTCTGAATTAACATCTATTCCACACACGAAATTAACACCGAAAATTTACCTTCGTTAACCATTATAACTTGAACTGATGACAAATTGATATGGAATTTATCATAGGCTTCATCTTTCAATTCATTAAACGTTAATTTTCCAGATTTTTGTTTCATTTTACTGATAAGATTTGAATCGCGTGCCACTATCCCATCGTTTTTGGCAACTGGTTCCACATCAAGGCTCTTATTTCTTGAAGTATCTTCATCTGGTTTAGTTTTACAGATTGACGGAGCTGTTGTACGACTTGAATAAACTGTAAAACTTCCAAGATCCACCAACAATAGACGACAGTCACTGTATATTGACAGTAAAATAAGAAATGATAAGAAGATAGTCTAAATTCTTTGTGATTAAACGATAGTAAGTGATTGAAATTTCTGTTGGCTTTTGATAATCCGATCACCTATTTAACGTTCAATGTATTTTGCAGACGTAGTGCGAGTACTAGCCAATATCATCGATGAGTATCCGCCGCCCTCACAACTAGGCTAATCTCATCAGTCATAGCTTCTTACTACAAAATTCGAAATATCCATCTCAAAGCAAGTTACTAGTGGGGACTGGGTAGTATTTCAGTTGTTGGTTCTGTTATGGAGTGCGACAATATCTTCCTATATTCCTCAAATAAGCCTGAAAATCCCTGAAAGCCTTTACGGTCAATCATGGCATGCCGAACGTTCGCGAAAAACCACGTGATCACATGTGTGAGTTTTAGATTGTCCAAAGGATTTTCTAGAAAAGTGTAGCACTTATCAGGTTCATCAAAAAATGTATATAAACTGCTACTTTTTGTACATGCTTGATTCGATATTAAACCTTTTGTCTTTTTCGCCGTTTTTTTCTTTTTCTGAGGAACCCAGCGACCCTAAACAGGGGAGCTTAAGGTTATTGTTCAAGCCTCTATCTCTCCCTTTCTATATATATATATATATATATATATATATATATATATATATATATATATATATATATATATATATCACAAGGATATATAAGGTTTGTAGGGATTTATTAGTTTGAAAGAAGATTCCATCACGGATTGATCCGTACCACCTGTTGATGAATCAAGATAAATGCTAACACATCCAGCCAAACTTAAAATTATCAAAGTATACGCATGTGTTGCACGTGCAAAGGACAACACCAAGGCCAACAATAATGGATTCATTTTTAAAGTTTTCATTGAAGATGCTGTTTAACATGTTGATCAAATTTACACAATGAAAAGCCATACATCTGAGACAATAACAAGAGCATCAGAATAATTTACATCAGCTACCCTAGAATAATTCACTGTTTAAAAAAAATTGGTGTTTGTTCAAAACAAGTAATTCATTTTTAATGTCAATGAACTCAACATTTAGTTATGCAACGATTCTAAAGTGGAAACATTTTTTCAGTCTTCCTATTTCTGATATAAATTCAGGCAAACACTGATATATTCTTTTTAGGTTGATACAAAAAGGAAATAAAATAAGAACTAGTTAACTTAGTTTAACTTTCGTGGTATAAAACTTTTGTAAAACAACACATGTGTCGGTTTATCAAATCTAAAAATGTAACACTTTCCCAACTGTCTACATTCTAAGCTGGTTTCATATTACATCATATGATGTTACAATCAAATTAAGCTTCATTTGTTGCAGATACGTGAACTAAAGTTCTTTTTTTGATGTCTCTAATGAAATGTATTTGTAAAATTCAGATGAGGTAGAAAAATAAATTTCTGAGGTTTAGCGACTTCATAGAAATCGCCTGCTTTTTCACAGAATAAAACCTGTACAAGTTATCGAATGTTTAGATAGTAAATGGTTGACAGATCAGATCATGTTATTTATACATGATAATAACATGGGCATACATCTCCTTGTTATTTGGTTATTAGTCTACGAGGTCATTTATAACCCAATGCTCAACTTATTCAGTGCTATCAGCTCAAATTTTGATCTTGAAGTCTATAAAATATTTACCACGTTATGAAAATTTATTTGAAGGTGAAACTGATCACTTTTTGACCATATTTATTCTTTAGTAGCATTTGTAACATAATTCACAAATTATTCCGCCGTTATGCGTTCTACAACAGTGACAGTGAAATAGTTGGAAATGAATGTCTCTTATTTAATTTAGTACAATAAAGATATCGGAATCAATACAGGTCACCACAAACATGATAACCTTTGGATATGTACTACGAGCCTTAGAACTACTTATAGTTGACCCTCATTTCTCTTATTAATCAATAAGAAAATCGTTTTTCTTTTAAAAAATGAGCTTAAAGATGCAAAAAGAATTTATTTTAATTGCGAGAGAAGTAGAACTCACTTTCTGAAAACTCCAGAATCTGGTAGTATAAAGTAGCTGGGTTTGATGTCAATACGAACATCTGTGTAGGAACGATTAGAAGCTACATGTCGTAGACCACTTGTGGTCACTTCTTTAACTTCTTCAAAAGATGATAGTACTGTATTAGACAATCTGTTAACAAGGAATAATAAATATGAACAAACAGTGTTAGGGAAATAGCAACAAAAGAGTGCTGTCAACGTAGTGATACAATCAAAGCATAGTTACAGAAGTCAACAATAACTTACCTGTATGGCAGAGTTTACCTGTCTGCATTTAATATTATTAAATGCAGCTTAAGATTCATAAACCTACTTATGTTTTGAGAGTCGATGATAATTTATGATTGTTCAAGCTTTGGTAAGCAGGATACAATTAGAAGCCGTGAATTACAGGTTAAAAGTCGGCGCATGCCAAGTCACTGCTACTTTGACGTGCCATGTAAGGGGAAGTGGCATTAAGTTGAAAAAAGGTCTCAGGTTAGCCAAACCAAGACGTGACATCAATCAATGAAGTCCCTGATGTGTGGAGAGATGTAGACTGCTCGAGACGATAGGGATCACTGGTTGAGAACGCTTGATGACATGGCTGAAAATCAGTTACAATAGAGAAGATATATTGGCTACTTGAATTCTTCTAAAGCTGGAATATTCCCACCAATCTTTATTTTCAACCCATTTGTTTTCTCCACAACTTTGTCTACCTACTTTGATATCACTCCTTTTCTATCCACATGTTTTTCGTGTACTTTTGTGAAGTGTGGGGACTTGAACCAATGCACCTGTGTGCGACGTTCTACGTTGATTTTGTCAGTCAGTCGACTACCCAAACAACCGAGCCATAGATTCATATCCCCTGTTGAGACGAAGCAATTCACGGAATATGGGTACGCTATTAGCCATGCTTACTGTTCAAAAGCTAATGCTATTTCGTGAAAGTAAAAAACATTCACAGCAGTCCCTCAAAGGATAAGTAGTCTCAAGTGCGATAGCAATTCTGATGCACATGAGCGAATACTAAAATAAAATTCACTTAAAATATGAACTAGATTGATGAGATATTCCCACTTACATTTACATTCACTGGCATACAATTGTTCATCAACTCATCAAAAATTGACAAAGAACTTGAATAAACACACAAAACAGATTTTGATTTATTTAGGTATCATTCATATAACTTTAGACTTACGAAAACAAGTGAGAGAATCGTAAAAAATAATCTTAGTAGTTTAAAAATTGGATAGCTTACTCTTGTAAGTGAACATCCTCTGGTGGAGTGAAGAAGTGAGCAATCTTATTGATAGTTTCAGCATCATAAACAATTTGTAATGGGTCAGCCTGAATGCATATACGCTGATCAGCCTTACGATCAAGTGGATTCTTTTCAAAATCAACAACCAGTAAATGGTTGGATAGTGATGATGTCGTGAGTTTATTAGAAGTACTGTCAGATGGTGAATAGTTTACACGACTTGTTATGAGTACAGGTTTGACTGACGACTTAGCAAGACATGATTCTTTTGAGGTTGGCTGGGCTCCTACAGCTTCTAAACTGTCTAACCGTAAAGCAACACTGAAAAGAAACCCAAATTAGGCAATGTAATATAAAAGCGAGAATTAAAGATGTACTAATGAGAGAAATGTATTATGCAGATCAGATAAACACAATATATTTACATTCACATTGCGAAAAAAAAATTCACTGAATGGATACAATGATGCCTATAGTAAAATAGAAAGTATATAAGCCTTCTTAGAAACTCGACGGATATTTTACACCTTTATTACAACAAAATATAGTGATAAGGATCGTTTGGTAAATTGACACAAAGTTCATTCCTATTACAACTTGACTATTATACAGAATAATAGAGAGGTTAGTCTATTAAATCAAGCTACTGTGAAGTGTGGTAACTTGAACCAATGCATTTGTGTGCTAGGTTCTACAATGTTCCATCTCTCTCTATCTTTAGTCTATTAAAACTGGTATAAATTTGCCAGGAATGGTAAAATTCGAAAGTGAACATCAGAAGTGACGACAGCTAGTAGTGTTTGCTACGGATGCCCACTGTCACCGTTACCGTTACTTTTCAACTTCGCTATACACGTGTTATTGGGCATAGCCTTAGAGACATCCGACTTCACAGGGATTGAGCAACTATCTGGAGATCTCCTGGTTGACTTGGAGTATGAAGACAATATTGTTCTGCTGAGTGAAGATGCTGATAGAATACAGGACTTTTTGAGCGAGTTGAGCAAATACTAGTGTACGTAAGCTTCAGGACCCGTCTGATACTACTCTCAGTTTAATGACAGGGGGTGAAGTGGTGGAATATGTCGAACACTTCACTGACTTGAGGAGTTGCATCAGGCTTAACGGGGTGGTCGCTGACAAAATCTCAGCTCGGATACACAAAGCCCGTTTGGCAATTGCCAACTTGCATCACCTGTGGTGCGGACAAGAGAGATATCCGACTGTCTATCAAAGGATGAATATACTGTGCTGCAGTCCGTTATGTCTCCTTATACGGTTGCTAGATATGGCTGTTATAAGTAGAAGACATGAAGCGATTACAGGTTTCTGGCAATAGGTGTCTTCGTAGCATTGGTCGCGTTTGGTGGAATCACCGTGTGAGTAATGTTGAGACCAAGTGAAGGGTACTAGGCAAGACAGGTAGGTCGATTGATCAGATTGTGAATCAAAGTCGATTGAGATGGATTGGACATGTACTCCGAGTACCGAGACATAGCTTACCTCGACGTGTAATCCTAGGGGAGGTGAGATTAGGTTGGAAGAGTGTACTCGGTAACCAGACCAAGACGTGGCACCGGTCCGTGAAGTCTCTGATCGTTGGTCTAAGTCGTATGGGGAGATGTGTCCTGCCTGGTTGGGGTCAACGAGACAACAGAAACAACTGGCTGGGAATATGGCTGAAAATTGGTCACAAAGGAGCAGATGTATTCGCTCTTTGACATTTGAGTACTTGCACTAACCTCTACCTTCAAATTATTTATTCTCACACAAATTTGTCTACTTTGATAACAGTCTTTTTCTAACCACTTGTACTTTGTATACTACTGTGAAGTCTAGCAAGTTTATCCGATGTGTTTGAGTTCAAGGTTCTAAAGTGATTTTATCTGTCTATTTTTGTTTTGCTTCATTATTGATGAACCAGCTGCATGGTCACAGAGCGCATTCACACAAGACAGTCAAAATCTTTAAGTTTAACGTACTTTGAGGTTGTTACGTTCCTTATTTGATTGGAGAGAGGTAATATAATTATGTGAGAAATTCAGTGACTATTACCATTAAAGTTTTCAAAAAGATATACACAAAGAACAATGTACAAAAATAGGTATGTTTATGAAGAAATTGCAAATGTATGCGATAGGAAACTAGCGATGAAGCTCTAAAGTTAGTCAGACAGCATTCTAAGACTTAGAACTATACAGAGAAGTGTAAGCTACCTAGTTGAACTCCTAAAAATGTTAGAAATCAATTGCTTACAAGTTTATATGATATGGATCAAAATCGATAATAGTGGTGTAGATGAGATCACTCTTTATCATCTTTAAAATCTGGAAAATTGAATAAGCTCTCGTTTACTTTTACTCTCCTCTCACCTACCATCTCTTTTCCATCTATTTCACTTATGAGAAATACCACAGTTTAGCGAAGGGAACATTTTCGTTTTCAGCGATATCATTTACTAAAGTTGTACAATTGCATTTTTACACTAAAAACAACAATAATATTGAATAATAAGGGTGGTTTTGTAATAATAACATAATACTAGAGGGGAAAACAGAAACATGAAGGTATATGGGGGAACGACTATGTAATAGTCTGTCAGATGATGAAAGTAATAAGAAAAGCGTAGAATTTGATTTCGCTTGATTTCATTGCTTTTCTGTTGCTAAACTGAGTAACTTAGATCGTTTTACTTTTGTGAGGTCCTACATTGGTTCATCGGTTTTTATGGTATTAATTAGTGAACAATATCACCGGTTCATATTTACTTCTTACATTATCAACGGTTGGATGGTTAAAGAAATATTGAGCAAAACTGGTTGCGGTGAAGCTGCATTCAGACCTTATCTTCCTATTAATTTTATATATTATTCGTAAAATATTTCAGTTTGTCTTGTTTCCTTTACTTCATGTTCCACATCGTTAATCATCCTTAGTGAAAGTTTGCAGACTTTTGTTTTTCCTGAAGCTGATCTATCCTAGTAGCGCCAATATTAATTGAGAAAACTTCGACAAATAGGTGATAGCATCCATTCCTCCTAGGTTGTATGTATTTCTATGTTCGCCCGACAGCATACTCAACTTTCATTCATTGGTGATGGATGGTGGCTGGCAGTAGAATCCAAAACACGCGCTTCATTCTATTCGAGATTCGTTAACTGGATGTACCTGCACCTCAGTGAGCGATGTTGTTCTCACTAGGACTCGAGCCCTGGACCGACCGCTTTAAACGTCATAGCGTTAAGCACTAGACCACCGAGTCACGGCAGCCACTTCTTGTGCGACGAGTATAGTTTAATGTTGCTGCTTGTATTATCCTGTCGTTCAATGGACCGAATTGATCATTCTCTATTGGCATATGGGCTCCTGTGCAGATGCAACAAAATTGAAACTATACACATCGCACAGGAAGTGACTGTCGTGACTCGGTGGTCTTGCGTATAATGCTCTGGTGTTTGGAGCGGTCGATCCCGGGTTCGAGTCCTAGTGGGAAAAACATCGCCCACTGAGGTGTAGGTATATCAGGCTGAAGAGCCCCGAATGGAACGAAGCGCGCGTCCTGGGTTCTACTGCTAGCCACAATCAAGTCAAACATATCGCTGCATAATGTTCATCGCCTTTTCAACACCACTAAGCTACGAAGATCTCAATTTGCTAAACTGAAGAGTTGAAGGATAATAGTATACCTTACCTTTCACTACTGTGTACAAATATAGGTATACAAATATTTATGCACGATCGCTTCGTCACTCAAGTCCAGTCAGGCTAAGAGAGTGCTACTTTATATTCTTTCAACGAAACAACAAGTTATAAGAAGCATTCAACTTTGTACAAACAGCTATCATAACACTTACGCCAAAGCTTTGTCACCAGCACGTTGTTTTACATCAGCAGTGAGTTTATTCACAGAAAGTTTGAGAACTTTAGGGTCACTGAAACAAAAAAGCACTAAGATATAGTAGCCAAAATATTGTCAGAATGTTGGTGAATTTAAAGCTTCAACGATACATATTTAAAACGTCTCAAACCACAGGTAAGTGATGTATCTAAGGTGTGATATGAAAGCCCATATTGTAGAGGGGTAACACATAATAGTGAAACAGCTATTCAAAAGTAATAGAATTTCAGTATTGATGCACTCAGAATAGTTTACAATCTGAGTACATCTAGTTATATTCATGATGGATCGTGACTAGTAGTGGAATCCAGGATGCGCATTTCGTCCTATTTGGGACTCGTCAGCTAGATGTACCTGCTTCCCAGTGAGTGATGTTGTTCCTGCCGGGATTCGGACTTGGGAGCGATCGCTTCAAATGCCAGGGCGTTATCCACTACCCCACCGAGCCACGATAGCCAAATCTAGTTTTAAAGATTATTAATATTATTCTTTTTCCCTTGGGTTCCTAGTGGAACATAGGGCTTCAGTAGCACGTCTCCATTGCACTCTGTTCTCTACAGTCTTTTGAACCTGGCGCCACAACTGTCCACAAAGTTTTAAAGATATTCTAATTCTGCTAATATAGTACTAAGTAACAATCTATAGCAAATAACTGAATAATAGCAAAACTATGAATTAAGGTGAATGTTGGCAAAAATCATAGTATGAAATTACACAAGTGCATGCCTCTGTACCAAGATACTGTTACAAGTGTTAAGCGCATACCGTCAAAGGAAGCCTCAGCAGAATCTTTTCTCAAATTTTACCCAAACGCGTAGCTTTTATTTAGCATTATGAAACAACTAATCGCTTTGATGTTTTAACTTCTGGTAAACCTAAATACATAGTCATAATCAGATTATATGACACAATACAGCACTGAAATGTGAATCAATTCAAGTACAGCGGTAATGACCTTGGTGCCAACCAAGTGATGTTGCTGGATGGCCAGTAGTCGCTCATTACTAACAAATAACATATTCCATACACTTATTGCTAGACACCTGTGTGGAATGACATGTAGTAGGCCTTATCAATGGAAGGTGTACCCACGATGAAGTCCAGTGTATCGACGAAAAACAAAATTCGCCTCAAATACACCAAACTAGTTTACAATTCACTAACTGATTTCACATCATGAAGATATTATAGAGATGTTATTATATAAGATCTCAAGTTACAATACAACGTGACTGACAATCACCACCATCACCGTATAGTACTCATACGGTTATACAGATAACTGAGGTTATATAAAAGTGAGTAGAAGTAACGAAGGTGAAGTAATCAGCTGAGTGTATTTGTGTCTATGCTCAGCAATAGACAACCTAAGCGCGTCAGCTGGAAGAAAACCAAGCAGCGCATTGCTAACTCAAGAAGTTACTATGAAGTGAAGTACAAACCAGCTGTTTTGAATTCATCACAAAGATGATAGCGATATTTACACAGCAGAAATACGTTTGCATATATGAGGTAGAATCGGTTCAAGGTAACAAAACTGTCATAATTGATGATCTTAGGATTCTATCTGAGCGTATTCAGACCTCTTCACCCTTGAAAAACTATTTACATAATGAATAATACAAAGGACAATCGAATCCACCTCCCCTGATAGTATGAATTGAAAAAAGTGCTTACCTTAATTCATCATCCAGTAACACAAGGCTTAGTTGCCTTAAAGTAACAGCGATGGAAGAAGACACATAATCAGGTGGAAAATTCATAGCAGAACCTGAAACACCCGAGGCTGCTGTCTCTGAATAGTCAATAGCAGCATATAATCGCAACTTCTCTTCTTGTGTCATCTCAGTTTGTAGGCGTTTCATTAAGGCAACTTCCGATGAATTTTCTGATTCATCAGATGTAGTTGAACCACGTGAAAACCAACCAAACCAACCACCACTCTTTGTGCTAGCCTGTTGATCACGTTTCTGTTTAGAAGCACTAAACTGTGAAGTTGTAATGGAAGTGAAAAGCAGTTAGGGTAAATATTTCAAACTTCTGAGCTGAAATTTAACTCATGTAAGAACAATATAACTAAGAAGAAAATTCAACAGATAATACCATTCTGATATCATACCAGTATAGAGGAAATTCTTATGACATTACGCAAATTACTGAAGTAAGGAAATTAAGAAAGGTTAGTTTTGATGTTTTCTATTAGCTATATGTCAGAATCGACTGAGTTTAAAATATTTATTGATTACTACCGGAGCTGATCAAACAAGTACCTTAAAATTCCTACTCCACAGCTAAATTAACTTCGATAGGTACGCTTCATTCAATTGATGTACAGGCTATATATTAATAGTGTATGTAAAGCATTCGTGAACAAATACTTTTAACAATGGAACATTCTCTACCTTCTAAGATCATATTTCGCAGTTTTATACCTGCAAGCTCATCAAATGAAATACACCAGCAAGCATTCAAGACTTCTATTAATAAATCCCATTCGGTTGCTTCTCTGTTTCTGATAATTTCGACTAACATACGCTTTTCCTTATCCTCTATGAATTCGCATATTATTAATATTATCGTGTTACAGTCCTTAGTGTATAAACTGTTAGAAAATGACTACAGGAGGTGCAAGAGACAAACACTTCAGAGATTTCTGCCCATAACAATTCAACAGTCTGTTCCAAAAGTAAGTTGAAAATTAGAAATCTCAAATTACATATAATGAAAGACAACATTGAAAATAGTCCTACTGCATGCAAAATCTTGTTGGATATAGTCCAGAGTAAGACAACACATTTAAACGAAAAGTTCAAACACAAACAGATCGACAAGTGCACAAACAGAACGAATAGCGTAAAACACGTCTAGTTTTCAATGCCGCCCTCATTTTACAAATCTAGATAAAGACATAAGTGCACACTATTAAGTTTCAGTACGGATACAAAGGGATTGAATGACTTGCCCAATTATGCCGATTGTGGAGCCGGTAAGATATCTGGATATCTACAAAGGGCTGAGTATACTGGGAGATAGCCTGTTTTGCCTATCCTTTGACTGTTAAACATAGCCACTAAAGTTGAAGGACGTAAAGACAGCACAGATATCCAAACAAGATAAACTTCGTAGTAAAGGCAATGAATCACAGAACCAACATATGAACCATACAGAAAATAGACGTCGGTTTTAAATAAAAGAGATGAGTCAGTTGGTGAGTTTGTGAACCTCCATCAACTCAGGTAGTTGAGAAAATGTTAAGCATGTCTAGCTACCATCTACTTCGCCAAGCGATGTTAGCCAGAGAAACGTTAAAGGTTATGGTAGGATAAACATGGTATCAGTCTCTGACTGCTTATCTGATCAGAGTAGGAAAATTTAAACTCCCCGGTTGGAGTCAATTGAAATTGGTGACTAAATAGGACAGAACAGAAGAGTGATAGTAGCGATGATTAATTCCAATGAAACACTCTCTTACACCGTTGCAAACTACTACTCCTTAACGTATACAATGATAATAAAACTAGACCCGAAATGGTTGAGGACACCTTTAGTTCATGGTATGCATATAAAGGTAGAACGGTTCTCAGAGTAAGTATTCTTAGGGAGAATTGAATTTTTTTCAACTTTTACTGCAAATGAGATCCAAACGCCGGTGACGGCTTTCATCTAAACAGTAACAGCTCAGAAAACATAACTGTCTGAAGAAAACTGGAAATGATGGACATAAGGAAATCAAAAATGAACTTTACAACTTGGGAATACACAATGAGTGAAACCGCTAAATGGTAAGAGAAATGCTTACAGGTGAACACACTGCTGCCAAGTCTACCCGTTCTGTCCACACAAAAGAAACGGATCACATTATTTACTATATACAGTATGCCTTGCAGAAGCATTCTACATACTTAGAATACAAACTTGGTACAAAATGGGCACCGAAATATGCAACAAGCAAAATAATAAAGCGAAACTAAGAAGACATAAAAAATGGAAGAAAAAATGAAAACAAAAACAGAAATGGGATATTAAAGAAGCCGTTTCAAAAAAAACCTTAAAGAGAGAATTCACTTTCTTTTTACGTCTCAGCAACAGAAAGGAAATGAAAGCTGCAGCATCATCACCAATCGTTTCAATTCTGAGTCATATCTGCTATCGTCTCAAGCTACTGAGTTGAAGGATTTCTGGGACCCTATTTAGGGAATAGTGAGGCAACTTCAGATACCACCCTTCACCTCACAGTATCATATACACTTGCTCCATCTCCACTCCCACCCAAAATGGCACTCACCTCTCTGCCCCACAGCCTTCTAGTGCTGGGTGTATGCGTTTTCTTTAACCAGCCTTAGGACAATCAAATATCTCACCAATAATCCCCAAAACGCTGTGCGTGACAGGCCTCAAGCAGATGTCCTATGGCTTCTGCAGTCACACAATTCTTTCTGTCATTAAGGTACCCTAAGAAAAAATGGCCTTCCAAGATGTGGGCAGCCGGGAAGCGTCAACCGCCTACACGGTTCCAGTGGCACACAAGGTAGAATGAAACATAACCTATCCTCCTTCTTTGTCCTGACCTCCTGATACAAATATTAGGCTTTTTACACCTTTCCCAACCAGCAATCAAAGACATTGAAACCTCATTCCTAGCCTTCTAAGACACCACCATCGAGTTCATGAAGGAGCTTTCAATATCCAAACATCATACTAAATCGGACAGCAAGCATCTCTAGCCAAAACTCTGGAATCTCTAGCCATGGATGTATGCTCTGTATTTGAGAACCGGATATTTACGGAATTCCATCCTAATAGACCGATAAAGACGATCGTCTTTTGTAATAAGGACTCAACAACCTCTTGTTTCTGGCCAGCGTTAACTGTAGGCATCAGGAAAGATACCATCTCACATGTCATCCACCGACATTAAACCAGCGATGGAGACAGATCGTATTGCTATAACCCATTGTTACAGGACTGCCGCTTTTTCTGAAGTTCCAGTTCGAACTTCCATCATGAGCTAGTAAGGGCACATGTACGTCTGCACCTTACTAGTGGCAGGAAACAGATGATAGTGAAGTCTGTCTATGCTTGATTGGAAGACAGGGACGCCAAATACATATCTAGGGAGTTAGCTAAGCATTTACCTGGACATGATAGCAGCGCTTATGCTAGGGAAAACTGGCGATATTAAATCTGATGATGAAACAGCGGTAAAGACAGCTAGTAACCTACACCCGGTAATTATTCAGGATTATTATGGATAGAGGCAAGAAGACGATGGTTAGTGAAATCATCACCGAAAAGGATAAAACCTACACAACTCAGGACAGGCGGTTAAAACGTTGGGCGTAACACTTCGAGGCACAGTTCAACTGCCCGACACCAACGCATCAGTTGCTCAACAACCAGCTCGAACCTGAGTGGGACGAGAATGTCGGTCTCGCAACTGTCTTGAAAGTTGAGGCTATATCAAACTTGAAACGATGCGAACCAGCGGGACGTGATGGTTTGCCACCCGAAGTTTTCAAGGATGAAGGTAGGAAATGGCCAATTAAGGTGAAGAAGGTACTAAGTAGTGTATGGGAATCAGAGATGGTGCTGTCAAACTGGTCCACTTCTCTGATCATCCCAATCTATAAGAAGGGAGAGGATTTTTCCTGTGACAACCATAGAGGAATTAGTTTGCCCAATATTGTGTCCAAGATCCTAGGGGCCATGGTTAGTTGACATCTAACCGGAACTCGGGGACAGAAAACTCGAGAAAACCAGGCAGGTTTCAATCAGAATTAGACAAGGGCATACCGATCATGTTTTCACCCTCTGACAGGTTCTGGAACACAAGCATACTTATCGGCAGCCAACACTTACCACATCTGTGAATCTGAAGGTGGCACTTTATCGACCGTGAGGTGTTGTGGCAGTCTAACTAGAAAGCGAGTACCGAGTAAGTACATAATGCTTATCAAAGCTCTCTGTTGAAACGCAGCCGTGTAAGGGCTTATGGAGAGTTGTCTTGTGAATTGACGACAACTAGTGCTGTCTCCTAGGGATACCCACCAGTCACCATTCTTATTTAACTTAAGTAAGTCTGACTTCACAGGGGCTGATCTACTTCCTGGAGGTCATATAGCTAACATAAAGTATACAAACGATAGTGTCTCGCTAGTTGAAGACGCTGACAAAATGCTTTGAACGGAAATCTGAGTATGTTTGGTATGAGTTTCGTACTTGTCAAATGTAAGGTGATACTTCATGACTGGTTTGCTGTAAGTACTCCAAAATTAATGAAAGGGAGTGAAGTGGTGGAATGTGTTGACTACTTTACTTTGGTAGTAGCATCAGCCCGAACGGATGGTTGCTAACAAAATCTCAGCTCGGATACACAAAGCCCGTTTGGCATTTGTCAAGTTGCGTCATCTGTGGCGCCGACTGGCGAGATATCCGACAATATATCAAAGGATGATTGTATTATGCTGCAGTCCGTTATGTCTCCTTATACGACTGTGAGACATGGCTGTTGAGAGTAGATACGAAGGGATTACAAGTTTTTGATCATAAGTATCTTTGAAGCATTGGTCACGTTTGGTGGAATCACCGTGTGAGTAATGTTGAGATCAAGTGAAGGGTACTAGGCAAGACAGGTAGGTCGATTGATCAGACTGTGAACAAAAGTCAACTGAGATGGATTGGACTGAGACATCGCCTACCTCGATGTGTCATTCTAGAGGAAGCTGGGATTAGGTTGGAAGGGGGTTCAGGGTGGCTAGACCTAGACCTGGCACCAATCCACGAAGTTTGACTACAACAGGTTTGAGCCATGTAGAAGGATGTAGACTACCTTCTTCGCGTCTCCAAGACAACAGGAATCAGTGCTTGAAGACACTGTGACATGGCTGAAAATCGGTCACATTGGCGTAGATCTTCGACATTATCGAAGCATTAGAAGAAGAATAATTAACAATTATGCTACCAACTGAACAACAACTAATAAAAGTACCACTACCAGTGTTCCAAAATATATTCTGATGAGACGACAGCTATCACAGTGCAACACTAAACATACCTTTTTTAAACGTGGTTTCCGCTTTTTTGCTTTCTTCTCGGAATACTTTGTTTGATCAAGGTAAATAAAATTCAGTAGATTTGATATATTAAGTGAGATGCTACTATTACTAGGGTGAAAACTAACTAGTACTAAGCAGTGAAGATTAGTTATTTTTCAAAAATAAGTGAACAGAGAATCTGGTTATTATGGCTGAAAATCGATCTTCAGAACAGCATCAATGCAATAACTGTATCTAAAGCGCGATATCAAACAACTTTATCTCTTTTTCCTTGTATCTTATAGCTTTCAACAAATGCTGATATGTTATTTTTTTATGATTTGTCCTTTATTTTGTTGACTTTCACCTCGGTGTGCAAATATTGTGTGAAAAGTTGGAATGATAGGCAGTTACGCCATATCCTATGTTGTTGATGCCAATTTATCTAACTGAGAACTGCAGGATGGTTGTATGAGTTTAATCAAAGGATTATACTAAAACGCTTACAACTATTCAGCTGGATAACTTCACGCATTTAACAAGCTTTTTTTTGACTGAATAGATGCTCACAATGAGGTGAGTGTGACCTCATTAGGTTCAGCAAAATAGTTAATAAAAGCTATAGAAAGTGAATCACCTCATTGTTATCATCCTAGTAAAATGGAGGCTTTCAAAAATAACTAAAAGAAACTGAAGATATAGCTATTAAAGTTTTCTACTACTGCTTGATAAACGAACAACGACAGTAAACTACTACTCACAAGTCAAACAAGACAGATGAAAGTTAATGGAAACAAAAAGGCACTTTGGTTACGTAACCACATAAAATGTATACCTGGAGTTCAGCTTGTTGTCGACATAATACAATATTGAACACATCCAGAAATTCTTCATATTCCTGTAGGAAGCAGGAAAAAGAAGAAAATTACAACAGGAAAATGCTTATCATTAACACACAATAAACGATAAGGAACACAGCTGAGTGGAAACCAGTAACCAAATATTATTTTTGCAGGTCTACTAGACCATTTGATACAGAATAGTCACGAACTTTTGTCTTATAAATTAAAAGCCGGATTACGTGATTCTGATTTTTATGCACTTTTAGTCTAGTCTATAACCATCGAAAGTCGCGTTGTCTGTCCTCTCAAAAAGACAGTTCTTGATGTCAAATATGCATACTTTAGTCATCTCTCTTTAGAGAATTACAGACAATTTTAGGAAATATGTTGACCGAAAAGCTGATACAAATGTATGGTTACACGTGGTCTTGTCGTTGGAGAAATTCAAAAGTCAAAAACTGAAAACAATTTAGGGAAATTACAAGTGCCCTTAAATTTATTCAGTGCTAACTTTCACCAAAATCAATAGAACACACGCCTCCGAAGGACTGGCGTCTATACAACTTAGTAGCTTCCAAGTATGAGAGCAACTCTTTACATCAATTTTCGCGTGTATCAGTGTTACACTAAGAGGTTTTGTGAATGGTTTCCTTCTGCAGTTGCTTCATCGTAGAGTAATCATAATTTCATGAATTTAGGGATGGTATTAAAGATTTGAGGAATTCATAAGGAATCCGAGACGACAAGGATTTTATAAGGCAAAGACGAATAGCGGAAGTCTGTCTCATCCAGTGGTAATTTTAGCAGTGTCCCCTAAAAAATAGACCATAATTTGATTTAAAATGTCGTACAATTTTGTGATAGAATGATCGGGTTAATTGATGGGTTTTGGCTGAGTAACTCGTATGGAACAGTTTTCTGAACCCAGCTTGGTGTTTCTGAGCACTTCAAACGAATCCTTAGATAATATCACCACCGAACTTATCTTTAGATTTCAAAATGGGGATCAACTGAAAGACTGAAAACGTAGTCACAATTACACAAAGCTGATTTCCTCGGTTATCGAACGGATTTAATGTGCAGATAAACGAGAAACTATAGATTATTAAGATAAAATGAAACGTGAAATGTGGTTGGAACAAATCTACCGACATAGAGTATGCATTACAATCACAGTGGGTTACTTTTCTATAGATGACTAACAAGCTAACCGAAGAAATAGACTTCAGTTTTGTGATAACACTGTAAAGCAGTCTACCATCTTTATTTGTCGAGTTTTAAATGTGTTAAATATTAACTTGATCATAAAAGCGGTGAGTAAAATTACCATGAAGGGGTATACAGACTCATACCGAACAACATGGTAAGATAAAGTATGGAAAAGGGAAGATTTTCTACCTCCAGATTATTCAACTGAACTTGACTGAGTTTATCACCAGATAACTTCCTTTTCCAGATTGAAATGTACTCTCGACATATTCTTCTATGTTTTGCTATGTGTTCCCATGACCACATTTGACGTCGGCGACGAATAGACTCTTCTAAAATGGCATTGTATGCGAAGTTCCACCTTAAGGAAAGTAGAAATAACAAGTGCATTTCACTAACTAACGAGGAAATGAAAACAATTTGAGGATCATAAGGGGGGATAAATCTCAAGGCTTCAGTTTTGTAAATCCATATTTAGGTGATCCATACAGCTTACAGAAATCCTCCGACCACCTTCGGTGAGTACGAATGCTTAGTAGATTTTCGTAACTGTAATATTAATAACGTGCATAAAAGCTACGAAATAAACGGAACAACACGTAAACTGGTACAACAGAAATACAAAGAATTATTTCTCTGCAGACCAAACTCCTTATTATACTGGGCTGAAACCGATGAATAAACAAACCATTTATTCAAAAGCGAACAAGCACATTTCGATTTTTATCAAAAGACTAATATGTTTCGCGACACGAATGGTCCTTTAACGTATTCGTCAGAAGATCCATTGTAAGTGGGCTCTGGCGCATAAATGTTAGATCATTCTAGTGGTTAGGTTCCAAAATGTCCAAAACACTTCCCAACTAAATCGGTGAGGTTTCAACTACGACACATGCAGTCACGATTATAGGAAACAAATATTTCATGTTCTAAACACTAAGTTGATCAAAGTCGCATTGGTGGACGACCTACTCGATTCAAAACATTTGGTTATCTTAATCGTCACATATGCAGGTTAGTGGTCATCAAAAGGAGGTTAACATATGCTAGACTTCCATCACTTAATACTAGGTGGTTCGACCGAGAATAAATTATAATTGTGTATAACGATAATTCTGAAAAGTAGGAGGAATGAAGCGTTACCCTATAATTAATTTTATGATAGTGTTAGATAAAGTCGAAAAGTACTTTCAAGAGGATGCTACATAGCCATTTCACCAACACGCGTAAAAATTATCAACCGATCACAAAAAGCTTAGTACCAAGACTCACTGTAGTAAGGTTATCAAATAATCTTTGTAATGAAGGATGATACCACAGAAAGCTTCGACTGACAGTAAGTCCTTAAGTGACGGAATATCGTAATTAAAGTCAACTTTTTATCCAATTTCCTTGTTCTCAGACTCCTGTGGTTTGTTGAATGACAGCAGATTCAACGAATTCTACAGATTATTTTAAACTAGCTTATTCTCGTTTACTTATTGTAACTGGATTTGCTCTCTCATACTCTTCATTCTAGAGGAGTATGTTAGTTTTCACTATAAATGGAGGCTGTGGCTCACTGGGCTAGGTACCAACCTTCAAACAGATGCTCACAAGTGTGAACCACACCCCGTAATGTAGTCTCAGCAGTTAAAAACAACCATAGCTATATTGATGTGTTTGACTTGCACCCTGATGCACCTTATAATGGAGTTATACTTTGTCATTACTATAGATACACAGCCTTTTCTACATTATTATGAGCACACAGCTTTAGCAAATTGTGTACTGAGCCTTTAAATCTCTTACAATCTGCGCAAATTAACTTATTTCCGAGAAACTGATGTCAATATCCTAATCTAGTTGTAACTATGAAAAATGCAACTGAGTATTTCCTTTGATTAGGCTCTTAAACGTGCAGTTATGAAACTAAAGACATACTGGTTCTCTAGTTGGTGGACCCAGCATACCCAAAAGGATTTTACTGCAGCTGCGAAATGTTAGTTTATTAACAGCAGTGATACATTTTGATACCAAACGCTTTTGAATTGTTAAATGAATAAAGGTTACTTACCAAGCCTTACAATTGTGGGAAATGGATAATGTTGGCCTGTATTTACGATATTTCCCTTGGATCATCAGTCTGTCCTGAGCCTCCAAGAAAGATGTAACATCATGATACTGAGAAAGACTAAAACTTAGTTCAATTTCGGAAAAGTTAACAACTAAGTCCATTTGCGGAATGGAGTAGTTGGTTTCCTCCGGTCTTGTGTGGATATGAAGCATCGCTGTAGATGAAATTGGTCTTATCACTAAAAGCAAAATATAAATATTTCATGAAACATACAGTAGTGGAAGCCGGTATTTAAATTATCCGGGCTGGCGATCGAGTTGCGCATTGCACTCTAGAAGACAGCGTCTCACAAAAAATTTCCCACTTACTCTAAGAGGAATTTTAGCTTTCTCCGCGAACTTTGCAGATAGTGGATTCCAGTAAACCCCAAGGCTTGTTAGTTTTACAAACTACAATGTTAATGGTGACCTGATGCACAAACCTTATTAAATTCACGAATAGATTCATCTTTAATGAGAATGGGCTTTTGGTCACTGTCACAAGTCTAAGAAAATGTATGCACTTAAGATATTTTACCTGGAAGGTCAATTCACTCAGAGTTAATCCAAGTGAGAAAGTGCGGTTTGGAATACTGTAGCTGTCTTCATATCTGATATGGATATCTTTGATGGATATTTGCAGATTTTTGATGACTTGGGCTGCCAGCTTTTCACCAAAAGAATCCACCTTTGCATCATCTTAACAAAATTAATTTGGTTTGTGACTTTTTAAACACATTACCAGATTGTTTGGGCTTTAAGCGAGCTTCCTCTACATTTGCCAACTCCTTTTGTTTTGCCTCCTTAGCATAACGTTTTTCTTTTGATTCATCGTATTGAACAGCTATACAAGTAGTTTAATTGCTCAACTGATCTCACCTATGTTTGGAACAATAAGAACATAAAGTCCTGTCAACTCGGCAATCGTGGGTTCCGTGAATAGGTTCTTGAAAGGTATTTTGAGGGTCAAAGAACCTGAAAATAAAAACAATAACTTTATCCTTACTTATGTGACCCTGCAAGACTTTGACGGGCAAATTCAAATCATCAAATGCGTTAGCTTTGATATCCAAATTATCAAGTTGGGCATTTCCTATGGTATAAAAAGAACTATACATCAGCATACCTCCAAGAAGCCCAATTCTAAGTTGAGATGCATTAAGTGTTTCTATGTATGACCCTAAATATCGATTGATGAGCTCTACTACTAGAGACTCGAAAACCATCCTCTCGCGAGAACATGAACTGCAAAGCTGACCTTGACCTTGAAGACGAGACAAATAGTTTCATATATCTTCAGTCTACGCGGTAGAAAATGTACGAGATTGTCAAACGTTAAATCTTCTGAGTAGTCATTTAAAAATGAAAGTCTCATATGAACTATCATAATCCGATTCAGTTAGCTTTTTCATTTGAATTATTAGGAAGGTTCAGTTCCAATATCCAATATTGATGGTGCGAGCGTAGAAAACTGATAGTTTTTGATCTCTCGCGTCTAGTTCTTGGGGCTTGGCTCGAGTTCTTTAATTCACTCCCGTAGTGGATGAGGAAATCCCCTCTGCTTTCCTGCTTTAAGCCTTGGTGAGGTGGATGCTTTGTGGGTTAGTAAGTCGTAATTTGTAGTGATTGGAGAGCTACGGGTTGCTGGGACACTTAGGGGACTACAGTGACTCCTGTCTGTGTAAGCACCTGGAACAGAATAGTAGGTTAGTGGTTAAAGAATGAAGTAAAAAGAAAATAAGGGATAAGGAAAAGAAGAAGAAAGGAAAAGGAGAAGAAAAGGAGGGGTGAAAAGGGGAAATAAAAGAGAGAGAAAAGTGTGTGGGAATTGCCCGAACGGTAGCGTGGGTTTAGTTCTTAAAGAAGAGGTAGTAGGTAATGTGGGTGTATTAAGAAGAGAGATAACGAGTGGTAGGTAGGGGGAGTTGGGGCTAGTGAGGTCGGTGACTAGCTGATTACGTCAGTGGTAGACCATGCGAGGTGACATAAATGTCTAACCGTCTCCTGAATGAGTCGACTGGTGGGGCTGTAACGATATGTCACGACAAGACGTTCCCTAAAGCAAATGCTCTCGGGGAAAAAAATTGAACCTGAGAATGGTGTTGGCTGTCTGGTGTGCTATACTAATGGGGTTTCCTCGTGAAGTTCGCCGACTCGCAGGCGAAACTGATTTGTATGGTAATGATGGGCAGCGGCTAGCCGTCGAATCCAGGATGCGCGTTTCGTCCTGTTTGGGACTCGTCAGCTGGATGCACCTGCCTTTCAGTGAGTGATGATGTTCCCACCGGGACTCGGACTCGGGAGCGATCGTTTTGAAGGCCGGGGCGTTATCCATCACCCCCCCGAGCCACGATAGCCATTTCTTGTCACTAGCCTCAAATAGGACGAAATGCGCATCCTGGACTCCGTTGCTAGCCACTGCCCATCATTACTATACATGATTAAAAAGGCAGGCAATATCGAGGCATCCGCGTAAGAGCCCGTATGCCAACTGATCAATTCGGTTCAATCAACGACGGGGTAATACAAGCAATAACACTAAAAATTGATTTGTTTGCGTGGTCCGCCTGATGGGTGATCGTGTATGCCATGATAAGGCCACCCTTCTTCCTGCGATAACTCAAGGTAAATAGGTTTAGTTGTTTAAATCTTTCAGGCTACGTCTTTCCTCCTAGCCCCACAACTGATTTTGCTGTAGTCCTTTGTACTTTTTCAAGGAGACCAGAGTCTCCCTTGAGTATTGGGGGGGCACCGTTTTGAAGACCCCTAGATGCGGCCGCACGTGGGATTTGAAAATGCTGAGTGTGGGCTCAAAGCGGTCTTTGCAGAAAGTGTAGAAAGGTGTCCGCTCTGGTTGTCATACCTTCGTGGTTGGAGCTGGTGTTCAAGATGTCGGAGAAGCTGAGCCCAAAACCTTTCTCCGTGGACAGTTTGGGGATAGCACAGTCGCTCAACGTGTGCTGGAAGCCGGTCGCACTCGCCTCATATTTTCCGATGCGCATTACTTTGCACATTTCAGGTTGAAGCTCAGGCCATTTTCCGACGACCAGAGTTCGAGTTGCTGCATGTCCTTTCGTAGCGTTGTACAGCCAGCTCCTTAGCCTACCACCCTCCAAATTTCAACGTCGTCAGCGAAGAGGAGGGTGGGTGAGGGCATTTTGTCCGGCAGATCGTTGACAAACAGGAGGAACAGAAGCGGTCCTAGGATTGCTCTTTGGGATACTCTTGAAGTCGACGGTCTCCACTTCAACTTTATTCTGTCTATTTTGGGGCAGAACTGCCTCCCCTCCAGGTAGTCCTTGAACTAAGAGAGCAGGGGTCCACTCATACCAGCTGACATGATCTTGTGAAGCAGGACTGTGGGTGGGACACTGTCAAATGCTTTAGCTAGGTCGATAAATACAACGTCCACCGGCTTTCTGTCATCCTAGCTTAGCGTCCAGTCGTCCCAAGCGGTTAATAGGTTGCCGGCACATAAGCGATCACCCCGAAAGCCATGCTGAGCAGTATGCACAGTGTTTTCCAACACTCGACGCAACAGGGAGTACAGCAACTGCCCTGTAGCTGCCAGGACTTCTTCTGTCCCCTCCCTTGAAGATGGGTGACAGGATGGCGCTCTTCCATTCTTTACGGAGTTTGCAAGACTCTACTGAGTGCTCAAGGAGGTTGCAGAGTGGTTTTGTAAGCACTTCGGCGCAATTATTTAGGATCACTGGTTTGGGTTATTGCAGCCAGGGGACTTGTCTGGAAGTAGCCCAGATAGTTTCTCGTAAACGTTTTTCTCTGGGACTGAGGTGTCACAGAGGTTTTCGTTATTTACGACCTGGCCCGCGTCGTGATGACTCTGTGTGGATTTTGTGTCGGGTCTAAGTTTGGCTTGGAACTGTGGGCTCAAGAGCTCGGCAATCTCTAGACTGCCTAGTACACTCCCATCATGATCTGTCATAAGATCCACCCTCTTACTGGTCGAGTTCCTTCTCGACATGGAGCGGTACAGGTTTTTGGAATTGCTCTGTAACTTCTGCAACAGGTTTGTTTGATAGGGGAATCGGTCGCTACGTGCTTTAAAGCTACAGCGGTTGCGAATCTCTTTGTGGTTCGAAAACTCAGGCTCCCTGCGTGCTGAACGCCACTTGAACCAAGCCCGCTTCTTGCTTTGGACATGCCTCTCTGTTCCACGCTTTAGCCATGAGGTTCTCACCAACTGTCTGTGCATCGCCTCTGGTACACCATGACCGATGGCCCCGCCGATTATTTTGTTCACCCCTTACCAGTGTTCATCTATTGTGAAATGATGCATGATGCATTCCTGAGACAGTCCCTCATGGTCTCGTAGTTGGCCTTGCTGTAGCAAGGGAAGGCGTTGGGTGTCTCCAGTTGCAGAGCCACCCTAGTAATCATGGAGAAGGTTACTGCTGCGTGGTCACTGAGGCTAAGGGGAAGTTGGACGCATACATCTTCAATGAGGAGTTCATCGTTCTTCCGGAAGTAGCCAAGGCGAGGCGCGTCTCCGTTAGGTCCCCAGCGTGTGAAACCACCCACTTTCCCTGAGAGGCCAGCAGTCTTAACTGCGTTCTTCAGCTTGGGATTGAAGGACCTGCTGCGTCTCCTGTCTGTCTCGAAGAGGATGGACGGGGAGTTGGAGTTGCCGGCAATGATTGCTGAACTGTAACTTGCAGGGGAAGCCGTTAAGATTGCCTTGATGACCGTTTCCTTATGTGTAGGGGAGCTAGTGGGGGACTGATGTATGACTCTGGGCAGGTATTTGGTACAGTGAAGAGTGAAGTAGCACCATAGAGATTCTGGGAACTGGGTCAAGGTTGTATCGCTAACCACTCTCGCCTCTAAACGGGGACTATCGTAGAGAGCCACTCCCCCTCCTGCTCTGAGCTCTCTGTCCCTGCGGAGGGGTTACATGCCAGTAACACGAATCTCTGCATCGAAGATGTCCGGCGAGAGCCAGGATTCGGTGATAAATATGGTGTCAGAGTGCTGACGTTCACACAGCGTCCTCGTTCCAGCTACTTTCCCTCTTAGCTCCCTGACGTTGTTGTACACACATGTTAGAGTTTGCCTGGTGGGACGGGGGGCTGGTTAGGTATTTTCGCGAGAGAAGCGCTCACATGGTTACGTCTAGTGTCGCCAGTCTTCATAGGACTGGCATCGTTCCGTTTTTTGCGTTTTATTTTCCACCAGGGTGGGGCTATGGCAGTGGGAGATTCTTTACCCCATGAATGTGACTTGCTGGTCAGTCCCTGTGTGACAACCACTGGCTCCAGAGGTCTTCGTGGTTGCCGTCCCTCCTCTTGCCTTGTGGGTCTTGGCTCGCTTTCGCACATGCGTACTGAGCCGCCCATGCGGTCTTTCGCATTATACAATGCGTGTAGAACATCCGTGAGAGGGGCATGCGAGTCAGACTGGATGGCGAGTAGTCTGGAAGTAGGTATGGACTTCAGATGCTCTGGTCTTGGCGGTCTACTGACGCTGTTAGCCGGTTTACTGTCGAGACGAACTTTGGTTGAGAGCCACTGCCATTGTTGGACGCCGTGCAAGTACCGCTCTTCAGCCGAGCCGTCACTTGGCAGTTCTGGAATCCCGTGTACGATTATAGTGTGGTTTTTCTTTTGATTTCCAACCGTTCATGTTCTCTCCTCTTCTCTTATTGACCATGGCTTGTCAGGCCTGACCCGAATTTCGCAGGCATTAACACTGTCCTGTTGTCGCGGGAGAAGGAGGGTGTCTTCGGCCTCTTTGGCAGTGTTCAAGGGCAAGCGCGAAAGGGGTGGCTTATCTCGGGGTACCCGGCCTCCGCGAGAAAACCGGCGCAGCGTTACAAGGAGAGGAGGGAGTCGCAGCATCCGACGGTATTCGGTCCACATTCAGCTGTCAAACCGTTCCCTCTGGATCAACGATGTGTCTGCCGATACATCGACGTTGAACAACATGATCGAGCTAACCCTCCTGTGGCTTGGGTCCCTTGTGAATGGCACGCCCGACTTCACAATGGGCTTGTTGTGTGTTTCTACTAGTTGCTTCTCAGTCACGTTGTGTGGGATGTTTTGGGTGGGTTTCTTAGAGAGTCTAGGGGTCGGTGTCTTTAGCCGCGCGCTTGACGTTCTGTGAGGCCGGGTAGGATGTACGCAGATTCGACCTAATGTGGTCCCTGAGCGTGGTGGCGTACTCGCAGCTGGAGCTCTAGTTCCGTTTCCAGGTCCCTCTGTGTTGT